GCATTAGTTCAGGTTTCGATTTTGAATTATTTTTAGGTTTGGGTTTAAATCGACTGGAGGTCATAGTTTGGGTTGGAAAAACCCGCCACACAAATAGTTGAGATTGAAAAAGACCGTTTTCCCGTGTAAACTCTTCAAAACTACCACTTTCTTGTGGTAGAGATGACATGAAGAGACCAAAATACCCTTATATTAATAGGAAGCAAGACATATTTTTATTCTCTTCTTTTTCTTTATTTTAATATTTTTTGTCCAACATTATCAATTCATCGAAATAGTTTCGTCAAAGATGATATCACACACATATATGGACAACAACCAAATATACATGTCTAAATTTGTCCACCAAACTAAAAATTATAAGTATATATATATATATATATATATATATCATGAAATAAATACAAATAAGTCTGTAGTATCTGCTTCGCATGGACAAAAAAAACCATATATATACATCTTGGACCAATAATCGTCGATAACGTTTGCTTGAAATTTTTAATCTGGTAAATGGACAATATTTTTAAAGTAATAAAAGCATGAACAAAAAAATGTAATCAGATTTCTATTAGTCTATTACTTAAGTAGACAACATTTCAGATTCAGATCAATGATATTGTCCACAACATCTTTGGTTTCCTCATAAACATCTTCTTCTCTGTCTGGCCAAAATGACGAAGTATTAGAACTATATGTTGATTGATATAATAATAGTAGACAATATATGTTGATTGATATAAGAATAATGGACAATATACATCTTCAGTTTCCTCGTAGACATCTTTTTCTTCGTCTTCAGTTTTCTAGTAGACATCTTTGTCTTCTTTTTTCTCTCGTAGACAACAAACATTTAATATGCATAATATCGAAATTGAATAACCAATTAAAAACAAAATTAAAACCAGTGAATCGTCAATTTAGATGGGAGAATGAACTTGATTTAGATAGGAAAACTAAAAGATCTATTCTTGAGGATATCAAAATTTATAGATCTGAATTTTTTGATCCACAATAGTGATATAGAAGAGAAGAAGACGATGGTGGAGATGGAAATAGATCTAATTAACTTCAAACAAATCTTAGATCTAAACAGAGAAAGGAAAGAAAAAAGAGAAAGAGAGAAAGGAAGAGGATAAAGAGAGAGAGGAAGAGAGAGAGAGCATGAAACGATAAAAAAAGAGAAGAAGAGAAGATATTTGTGTGTGTGTTTGTGGAGAAAATGGAAATTTGTGTGTGTTTGTGGAGAAAATAAGGAGTAAATGGTCATTTCTAATTTTACAAAGTGGTATGGAGGAAAAGTTTTTTAAAATATGGTATTTTTGTAGGAAAAACTTGAGAAAGTGGTAGATTTGGCAAATTTCACCGTAATTAAGTGTCATCCTTCTTCATATACCGATATACAGGGCCGTCTCTGAGCACAGCAAGGTGAAACAATTGTTTTGGGCCCCCAAAATTCTAGACATTTCTTCTTTACAAAATAGGCCCCCAAATTATTTTATTTTTATAAAATGGCCCCCAATTTTAGAAACTACTATAAAACCCTTAAATTTTTTTAAACCCCCAAAATTTCAGGGCCGCCCTGCCGATATACGACACCGGTTCCATGATGATGGCTCACGACCGGCCCCAGCGTCTTATTAAGACCTATCTAATCAATATAATTTGATTATGATTTTCTACTTGTAATACTGCGTGAGCACCTTTAAGATTATCTTTTTCCTAATCGAAAATTAACCTTTGTAGATGTTTACCAAAATTTTTTTAAGTGTTTATTAATTAATATATGCGTAAGCAAAGGTGATATATCAACGACACTCACTTGGTTGCTCTAGGGCCGGGTCCTCGATTTGACGAGCTTTCTAATTCTTTGATCTTCTAATTAAGACAATTGATTTGGATAAGCTTGTCTGTTTCTAAATCTATGATCGCTCGTACACGCATGCAAATTTGATAGTAGTCTTACGTGCCCACTACTATAATTATTTTCAAAAAAAATTTCGTATGTCGATTTATCTATTGTTAGACACAAAAGTTAACAGAAAACAACTAATATTTTATGAAATGGAAAAACAAATGTTGCAAAATGTCTTAACAGATAGCTTTAATTAGATCTTTTCTAGTGGATCAGGTCTTTAGATCACATCCAATTAAAAACTATATAAAAGTAGAGGTTAATCTACTGATTTCCAACTTATATTATATACTATAACAAATATAATAAATTATTGATAAAATGCAATTTACTTTATAGGAATATGTTAACGATGAACAACATGCAAGGGAATATGCTTCTTTTGTTTGGCAGCAGAGTCTCTCGTTTCTGTCAGAATCTTCCTTTAGCTTTAGGTAGATTAAAAATACCAAACTAGTACATATATATAATTAAAATATTTATTTACTATAATCATGAGTAGTAAACCTTTTCCACGTTTTAAATCTTTCTAATGTAATTTAGCTATCAATATCATTCACAATATAATTATAGTATACGTTTCATGTTTTAATTTACTTGGAAATGATTAATTGTGTATATAGTGTAAGTGTATATAACGAACAAACTTTCATTGATCAACTAATAAAGACTAGTACTTTTAAGTACATCATCATTATTTTGCAAAACACTAAATATATAACTCTAGTGTGTTACAACTAATATTTTGCTCTAATTTGATAAACCGGTCACCATTTATTTTTTTATTCAAATTACTAAAATACAACTTCGTATATGTTGTTTGACCTAATTTTTACTAGACATTTTGTGTTTAGTAATTGAGTAAAAAAATAACATTCCAATTGAGATGTAAAACATGTGATTCAGAATTCATCTGCATAGTGGTGCAGATAGAACACGATCCTTGATGTTATAGATATATATGCACTGACATATATAGACTTATCAAGTGCTGACGATTAACTAATTGTAGAATCATATACCGTGTTGACTTATCCCTTGTCGGACATAAATGTTCATGTTTACGAGAATATATATAATGTGCCGTCAAATATATATGCGATTGATCGTTACTTAAAAAGTAATGCATATGCTTTTATTCTGCACCTGACAGTTGACTTCGATATAAGCTGAGTCTACTTCTCTAATTTGGGTGAATGGAATATTTGTATACGTCAAGATGAAAAAAAAAAAAAGGACGCCTTTTGTAAGAATATATATGACAACGTCACATGGAAATTATCCAAGTGCATGCAATTAGCCTTATTCGCTAGAGGAGTTTTTTTTCACCTAACGGATTTAGATTCAAATGTGCTACATATGTGAAAAATGATTTATGTTTTTACATGTTATATATAAGATTCATCCAAGGTGTAAGAAAACTATGAATCGGATTTGTTTTTTTTTTTCTTTTTTTACTAATTCTTGTTTTAAATCATTTGCAAAGAGTCATATTTGAAATTCTAAGTCCTAAAAGAGCGAACATAATAAGTAGGCGACATAAATTTCTGTAAATTCTCACAAGTTGACGAGCATATTTCTTTAACTGAATTTCTTTTAGAAATTTTATTTTCTGGAGATATATAGTTTATTGAAGACAAAAACTTTGTACATCCCTCGGTATATATAAGTAGTATATATACACTGAGATCAGTGGCGGAGGCAATGAAGAATCATAGGGATCATGTGACACCCATGAAATTATGATTTTTAGTTTAACTTTTGTTAAAATAATTATTTAACACATGTCCAAGTAGTTATTGACACCTCTAACAAATTTTATTGACCCCTCTCAAATCCATAACTGTAGTTTAAAGATTAATATTTAATATTATAAAGTTTGCAGTTTAATAATATTTAACACAAAACAAGTTTAAAATATAAATTTGCTACTAATTTTCTTTACTGTTTAGCATATTAACATTATCGTTGGGCATTTTTGACAAACTGTTGGGCTTTAACGAAATTTTAATTGATTTTGTTGCTTAATTACTTAATTAAAAAATAATATTTTTCGGAATAAGTTGATTAAAAAAAAATCAATCCCTAAATGTCGATAATAAAATTCTCCAAAAATGTCATTAAAATAAATATTTGTAGCCAAAAAAATTAAAGATGTCATTACAAATATTCACAAAGATGTTTACCAAAAAAAAAATATTCATCTTAAAGATAAATCATACGCTCAGTTACAATTTTTAGAAAATGTTATAAAAATGAATATTTGCATTGATATTTTCTAATAAAATTAATATTCACAAAATAAAAAAAAACCATAACTCATTTTTCTGGCCCCGCCATTGACTGAGATAGTGTGCATTGTGTCTCTGTGTATATATATGTGTACCACTAAGTGGGAATAAAAAGGTACATACGAACACAGACTTCAAAATGCATCTTAGTGGAATTTCATACACCCACTAATCTTTTGGCATTATTGTCGACTTTTAGGCTTTTGTGGGTGTTTTAGTTGTTTTTTTTTTAGATGAAAAATATATGCCAATGTATCGTAATTTGTAAGTGCATTAGAACATATCTGCTTTTAACATCTACCTTATAAACTTCTCTTCTACCTGAGTTAACATAAAGAAAGAAAAGAAGAAAGAAAGAACAAGTATTGCAATATAGCTAGTGACTTAATTTAATTCTAAGCCCACAGTCGACCCGCTAGGAGTATAACGATTAAAATATAGTTTAGAAAGCTAACAACAAATCCAATAGAAGCCAAAGATTTAGTCTTATGAGCTGGCATATAAATCAAGCCGAATCTATACCAAACATTTTAAAGCAAAACCGAAAAACAATCGTTTATAAATTCCTCGTTTTATTATTATACAAAACCAATAAACTTATGAAAGTCCGTGACTTGTTTGTATTTTTCATAGAGTACAATATTACAACTAAGCAAATTGTATCCTAAGTTCCTAACTATACAACCATAAGTCGATAACCCAAATATAAAACCTAAAGATTATCGTACATCCAATCTAAAGCATAAAATCTAAAACAGTGATGGGTAGGCCTTGCATGAAGGTTGACATACTGTAGCGGTGAAGGAAATAGAGAACCTTTTTACCTTGAAGGAAAAAAAAATGTTTGAGAAAGAAAGGTTGATTTGTGAACAAAAAAATAAAGAAGATTTTATTGGTTTGGTTTGGTTTGGGATGGGATCGGTTTATTTCAATTAACCCGCATTATACACACCTAAATTTTCTTGACCAATAGACTTAATTTGGTTTATTTTAATTTTGAGGGATTAGACAAAAATAAACAATGTTTAGGCGAATCAGATTTATACAATTTTTGTTATTGGGCCGAGTAAGGCCTACTAACGAGAAACTAAATAATTCGTTTTTCATCTCCTAATCAGAGAAATCTAAATACCAAAACATAGGAAAAACTACAAAATCTACCACATTTTTCTAATTTTTTTCAAAATCTACCACATTTCTCTTCATCTTTCAACTCATACCACATTTTACTGTAGATTGACAATTTTGCCCTCACAGTTGATGACAGTTTTCACGACTTGACAACCTGCACTTTTTTCCTTCCCTATTAATCTCTCCTCTCTTGAAATCTGTGCGCTTTAACCCCACATTATTATTCCCTTGAGAGAAAACGAAAAGTTTTCGTCTCTCTCACTTTCCCTTTCCATGTCTCTTTCTTATTCAGATCTTGTCTCATAATAAACGCTTTCGTTTTTGTCTCCAGATCTTGTCCCCAACTGGAAATTCTCTGTTGCATCTAGATCTTGTTCCCGATTTCATCATCTTGCTCTATTATCATGAATCCCACATCTTGTCCACCAATTGTTCTCATTTAAGGATTTCGAATTTTATTTAGATTTTTTACCATCTATTTTGGTCCATAGATTAGTTGAGCATTATTGTCTTCACCTACCCGGATTATTGAATTTTTTTTCCTTCTATTTGCAGAATAACAAAAAATCCAGTTGTCCCCGAGTAAATCCAGATCTCTGGCGGACACTTTCGTCTCTCTCTCACTTTCCCTTTCTCTTTCTTCTTCAGATCTTGTCTCATAATAAACGCTTTCGTTTCTGTCTCCAGATCTTGTCCCCGATTGGAAATTCTATGTTACGTCCAGATCTTGTCCCCGATTTTATTATCTTGCTCTATTATCATGAATCTCACATCTTGTCCACTAATTGTTCTCATTTAAGGGTTTCGAATTTTATTTAGATTTGTTCTCATTAGTTGAGCATTATTGTCTTCACCTACCCAGATTATTGAATTTTTTTTTTCTTCTATTGCAAAATAACAAAAAAAATCCAGTTGTCCCCGAGTAAATCCAGATCTCTGGCGGACAAAACTACACCATCTGACGATGGACAGTCAAGAAAATTGGATGATAAACATCATCACGCTCAATTTTTGATTTAATTATATTACTCATTCCTTTTGACTTGTCCCCGATCTAATTCTATTACCCATTCTATCTGAACTTGTCTCCGATCTAATTATATTACTCATTCGATATGAACTTGTCCCCAATCTAATTCTATTACTCATTCGATATGAACTTGTCCCCGATCTAATTCTATTGCCCATTCGATCTGAACTTGTACTCATCTAATTATATCACCCATTCAATCTTGAGCGTGATCTAATTCTATTACTCATTCGATATGAACTTGTCCCCGATCTAATTCTATTACCCATTCGATCTGAACTTGTACTCATTCGAAATGAACTTGTCCCCGAACTAATTCTATTATTCATTCGATATGAACTTGTCCCCGATCTAATTCTATTACCCATTCGATCTGAACTTGTCCTCGAACTAATTATATCACATATTCAATCTGAATTTGTCCATGATCTAATTATATCACCCATTCAATCTGAATTTGTCCCTGATATAATATATTATTTAAATAACTGTGCAGCATTTATTGCAGACCTGCTCCTTCTTTGGAAGCACCAAACGAAACTGTCTTGTCTCTGACACAGACTCTGTCCCAAGTCTGTCTCTGACACAGACTCTGTCCCAATCAGAGGTATTTTGGTCCAGCATTCCACATGTGCTATTGGAATATGGTAGATTTTGAAAGTTTTTTGAAATTGTGGTAGATTTTGAATGCCACTTGTTGAAATGTGGTAGATTTTGTAATATTCCCCAAAACATACCGAATCGTTGCAACCGGACCGACCATAATGCCAATTTTAGTTTAAGAAAGATAAAAAAAAAAAAAAAAAAGTTTCCCGCAATTATAGAACAAACACACAACAATGGGGGTAATTCAAATGCAATCACAATACACAAAAAGCGATCAAAACAATTCTCTTCAGGGCTCCGGAGACTTGTGGCTGTGGCTTTTGTCTCTTCCTCTACTGTGTTATTTATTGTGCGTGTGGTTTTGGTTGTGTGATTGTTATGAGCGAGCTTCATGATACTGAAACTACAAGTTTTCCGAATCATCTTCTTTATAATGTGTCTGCTCTTTCTTCTCCTTCTTGCTATGTTCTGTTTCTCCTCAATCTTCTTCTCAACAACTTGTATACTCTTTTCTACTTAAGCTTTTGTGCCTCTCTTCTATATTTCAGACAATATAACTTGTTAAACTTCTAAACATTGTCATTAGCCTTCGCTCTTTCCATCTCCCTCAAATTAAACTGCAATTCCTCTTCTTTATTGAACAAGGCATGCATCTTTCACAACTTGATAACTCTCTTCTTTAACATTCTTGCTCAGATTCTCATCAGTGACAAGAGCTTCAAGTAATCTATTGTTTTCATTTTCTCCACTCTTTTATACTAGTCAATGAACACAGATTCTTTCCCATCCACAGCAGAAAGTGATTCACCTGCTTCAATCCTAATTCTTGAGCAATTCAGCTTCTTTCCACACAGGCTGCTCTATCGTTTGGCTACACAATCAGTCGCTACATGTTTCAAAGCTAATGCCAAAAATATCATCCATTGCTTTCTTGCTAGTCATCTCTTGTAACAGCCTTCATGAGCACGTGCAAGACTCTCCTTGGTTGATTCCATCTCAATCTTCATAGCCTCAATATCCAAATCCTGAACAGAATTATCATCTTCTACTTGTTCTCTTTCGCTTGAATCTTGGCTAATGAGAGCACGTGCGAGACTCTTATTGCTCTATGCTTTCTAAGTGAAAAAAAAAGGAAACAACAAAGAAGAGTTTAAAAAAAAAGGAAACAACAAAGAAGAGTTAAAAAAAAAGAAGGAAACTTTGAATCCCAAACACAATTTATAAATAAAGAGAGTCTCGAGCCTTCTCTTCTCTATGTGTAATCGTTTTGGTTTCAGAGAAACAAACATAGAGAGAATTATAAAGTGAGAGAGATGAAATTACATACGCAATTGCTCTGATTTTTCACCTTTCTCTTCTTCGATTCCTGATTTTATTTCGTCTCTGATGATGCTCTGATTCTTCTTCTCCCTTTGTCTCTCGATATCTTCTCTCAGTCTCCGACGTCGGAAGTTTTCTACTGTTGTTTGACTTCAAAGGACGTCGGACTTTGTTTACACTCTCTTCAATGCCACAGTTCATCGGAATCTTTTGCGTTTCTCAGTCACAAACACGCTCTGGTTCATCGGATGATCGGAAGCTTTTGCGTTTATCAGTCCGTGACTCACGGACATGGTGGTGGAGGACTGCAATCTCATCTTCAGCCCAACGAAAAGCAAAAGGATTTTCAGCCCATATCATACTCACAAGCCCATGAACAAATTGAGGTCTATTTTCTATCCCAGTTTTTTTTTTCCATTAAGAATGGGTTTTCTTAAAAAAAAAAAATTATTATGGATTTTCAATCTACAGTACGTATCGATGATATGAAAACTAACAGGATTTTGGATCCAGCATTAGTCGTTAGAGATTCCACATATTCAATTTGTTTTCATATCATCTTTATTTGGATTTTAGTATCCAAGTTTTTAATTTGAGTTTTAAAAATAGTTTTAAAATTTTGTTATTTTTTATTCGGATTTTTAAAGATTTTTTTTAATTTTTTGGTTTTTTTTTTTCTTGTTTTGATAATAAATTTACATAAGGATGAAATGAAAATTAATCGGATTTTGGATCCAGCATTAGTCGTTAGCGATTCCATATATTCAACTTGTTTTCATATCATTTTTATGTGGATTTTTGTATCCAAGTTTTGAATTCGAGTTTTAAAAATAGCTTTAAAATTTTTGATATTTTTTTATTCGGATTTTTAGAGGTTTTTTGTTTATATTATTTTTATTTTTATTGTCTTGATACTAAATTTACATAACGATTATATGAAAACTAACCGAATTTTGGATCCAGCATTAGTCGTTAGCGATTCTAAATATTCAACTTGCTTTCATCTCATCTTTATGTAGATTTTATATCTAAGTTTTTAATTCAAATTTTAAAAATAGCTTTTAAAAATTTGGTATTTTTTCCGGATTTTTAGAGGTTATTATTTTTTTTTTAATTTTATTATTTTGATACTAAATTTACATAACAAAGATATGAAAACTAACCGGAGTTTGGATCCAACATTAGTCGTTAGCGATTCTAAATATTCAAATTGTTTTCAAATCATCTTTATGTAGATTTTAGTATCCAAATTTTTAACTCGAATTTTTTAAATAGTTTTAAAATTTTGATATTTTTTTCATATTTTGAAAGGTTTTTTTCTCTAGTGTTTGTTTTTTTAGTTTTGTTGTTTTCATACTAAATTTACATAATGATATATGAAAACTAACCAAATTTTGGATTCTGAATTAGTCGTTAGAGATTCCACTAATTCAACTTGTTTTCACATCATCATTATGTAGATTTCAGAATTCAAGTTCTTAATTCGGATTTTTAAAATAGTAGCTTTAAGGCATTGAACTCTGCTTCTCGTGGATCATGGAACTGCAACACATGAGATCTCCGAACAAGTGCAAGTGAAGTATTGTACATCATCCACCAAACTTTGATATTGTTGAATCGGCCACTATGGGACTGTTCTGGCGGCAACCTTTGACTTGGTGTTGATTGGAGCAAGTCAAGAATTGCTTTCTCTTTGTTGAATCACTATTCGAGAGCAGATAATAGAAGGAGAGGGGTGAAGAAATTGAAGTCTACTAATTTTGGTAAGACTACAAGGAAAATGGTATGTTCTATATATTTGGTTTCATTTATTTAGAAACTAATAAAACATGGTCACCATTGGCGACGACTTAGTTGAGCAACACACCAGCTTCCATAGCTGACTTTGTGAATGCTACAAATATTACACTTTTTTACTTACTAAATCATCAGACGCTGCCAATGTACATCCCCTGTAACTGCTTTCTGACTCTGAACTCAGCTGTGGTTTTATTGCCTTGGAAGAACCTAAACCCCATTATGGCTCCCAAAAGTCAGAAATTCTGATTTCTACAAGTGTAAAGCGAATTCATCAGGAAACTGGTTGCACCCCGTTCCATGCACGAGGGTCATCAGCGAGTTCATTGATCCTATTGTTGCGGCTCTCTTGCATGTATGCTACACCGGCCCAAAGTCCACGTATAAGTAGAATGCTCGTAAATACAATAGTTCCAAGTGTGCAAGCTACCTGCGTTCCACCATGGAAATGACATTAAAAGCCAAACCAAACCGAAAAAAATGCTACCACGCTGTTCAGTAAGTAACACAGAGCATTGCCCCTTTCAATGACATAAAGTTGGCTAAACATTGAAGAATATGAACATTAGCTCAAGTATTCAAAAACTTCAGGGCAAGTCAACTAATGAATTAAGTAAGATCCATTCATTTACTATGGATGAGAAGAACATAACAGAATGTATGACTTAAAGAAAATCCCTGAAACTGGATTCAATGCAACTCATCAACAAAGTTGTAAGCTTGATGCTACCCTCTCTATTCAAATTTATGGTAGATACAGAATCCTGCCAAAGTCAGTGAATCCAAAAACGACGATATAGCAACCAAAGGGCAACAAAACAAACCACTCCTTGTTAGCTTCCGAAAGAACTAAACGATAATCTAAAACATGCTGTGATAATCGAATAACACGGACATTGTTCCAAGTTCAATTCTTTTAACAACAGCTAATAACAATTCTTTACAATTATACAATTCAGTGGACTTCATAGTAATTACCTCGAGGAAAGCCTTCAAGATCCACAAAAATGCAAGAATTAGTACTCCATTCACTGAAAAACCCACCTAAATTGAACCAAAAGTAAGTCTCTTTTAAGATTATAGATTTGATTAAATACTCGAAAGGATTATCATTCATCAATGTAATCGAAGAATCAGCTCGAGACTTACGAGCTTCGTAGAGATCGAAACAGGCAAAATTGATCGGACAGCTTTCCTCGCTCTCTTCGAAATCTTTCTGAAAACGTTCTCAACAAATCTAAGTAACAGATCCAAGCTTCTATCTTCTTCCTCGTGATCATCTTCGTCTTCTTCTCCATCGTAATCCTCATCGAACCCATACTCCGGTTTGATCTTCCGGTTCCAGCTCCTCGTATCGTCGGCGAAATCATCCCTTCCCTAATGAAACCCAATAAAAAAGTTGAGAAATTGAAGCTCTTGTGTACAAGTAGAGGAACAGAAAATCGAATATATATACGTTGATGAAATCGCGGGATCGCCGGGAAGCAAGAAGGGGATAAGGGAAATCAGAGATCCTGGTTCTGGTGAAGATTAGGGTTTTGGGAGAGAAGATGAAGAAGGAGAGAGGCGATCGTTTTAGGGAAGAGAGAAGCGCCAGAGAAGAAGGCGATGAGATTGAGGCGGAAAATGGCATCGTTCGTTATGCATCCGAACGCTCACTTTTTTTTTTTTCCTCTGTTTTTGAAGAAATTTAGCTCCACGGTCAATATTATGTCATAGCCCTCACTACTTGAAATTAATCTCTTACTACCAAAAAGATTTTGGTATGATTGTCTCGGCTTGAAGGTCAAGAACATATATCCGTTCGTGTTCGATTGTACTATGAGTTTCTACTTAAGTGTTTTGTCCGTGCTAGAGATGTGGGAAACTGTTTGGCACAGCAATGCCTAAATCCTCAAATGCTAAAAATGTTTCCCTACCATTCTTCTTAGAAGCCACAATGTTTTGATATGATGTGTTTACAATAGTGGTAGACCTAGAAAATTGTAATCTAGCTAGGAGTAGTAAAAGAAAGGTCATTTTGTTCATTTTGAAACTAAAGGTGCTACTTTGGTATTTGGTAATTGGACTGTTTCATGGACATATGATCAATTAACTCTAAAAGGAAATCTTAAAACAACGAAATGTATTTTAAAATAGATGGAATAATTGTTTCCGATTTTATATACTACTAGATCATGACCCGCACATACGTGCGGGGTTTCATATTTTTTAAAAAGTTCTAACAAATTTTAATTCAATATAGATTATTTCGTTGTTTTATAATATATATTTTAGTGTATTAGATTTGGATTCACACGTACGTGTAGAGATATTTGTATAGAAATTGTTTTATAGATTTTAAAAATATAAAATATTTTGTTGTATTAGTGAACTTTATAATAGTACAAATATTATAAAATTAGAGTAATAAACGAAATTCAGATGCGTTAGTGCATAGTTATATTTTAATATCTCGACCTACACGTACGTGCGAAATTATATTTAAGATAAAACTAAGATATAATTTAGTTGCAAAAGTTAAATGATGTTACTTTTTTTATTTTCTAAACTAATCAAAACATTTCTAATAGTTTGATTACATGTGTTAAATAGGATATAGATTCGGTTTGAGTTTGGTTATTTCATGTATATTAGCTAGACGTAACTATTTTAGAACGGGAAACATATCCCGTCCTATATCTGTCATAAATTCTTGGTCCCATAACCCGTTTTGTATACGTGAAATAAAAATATGACAGTCCAGTATCCGGCATAAATAGAATATGTGTAACTGAAAACGTACGTATATGGTTATGTATGTAAACAAATTTATTTTATATAGTGCTCATAACCTGAACTCATACCAATTGGGTATTTAGTTTGATTTTTAATTTATGTTCCCCTCTCATCCCGTCTCGTAATTCCTATTTTCATTTCATTCCATTAAAATCATGTTCCAAATTCTTGTTTGCGTACTTTTAAATACCATACAATACATACTGTGAGTTTTGCAGATTAATATATATGTTGCTAAAGTTACAAATATATTTTAACAAATTTATTAATGTTTCTTTCCTTAGCTAAATTTTGCATATTCTTCTTTTTATTGTTTAATCATAATTAATTTGATTTTTGGACTAAAAATAAAAATTTGAGATACATCTCTAAAAGGGATATGCTATTGCTGCATAATTTGTTTTGAATTCAAAATATATAATTAGTTTACATTATTTGAAAACTGTGTGCAATATATTAGGGATTTATTTAAGGAAAATCCGGTTGGAAAACAAAAAATAAAACGCAAAATAATTTAGAAATTAATATATACAATCTATTGTTAGATATTTATCAAACTTGCTTTAAACGAAGGCTATAATGATAATTACTTTAAATTTATTATTATTTGAGATTATTTCATCATAAATATAAAGAGTTGTTAATACCTAATATCGTATTTTAGAAATTGTGAAATAAAATTTTGTTTTATATTTTAAAATTTGTGAAAATATTATAACAAAACTGAATCTTAAAATATTTGTATTTAGTTTTCTTACGAAATTTTAAATTTAATCTTAAAGTCCTCCATTGATAAATCTTTTAAACGATAGTGTTTTTAATTTTGAATTAAAATGATATTATTTTTCTTTTTATTTTTGATATAGAATAGTCTATTAAATGTTGTTTTATTTTTGAATTAAAATCTTAGTTGGATATCAAATCTTAGTTTTTCAATTCCTATTGGTTAACAATTTTTTAAAAATTACTTTCAAATTTTCGTTTATAATTAATAAGAGAGAGAAAATTATTTTATTTTTTTGGAAATTAATAATTATTTAAAAGAATTAAACAATTTTTTATTTAAATATATTAATTTTGTGATTACTATTGTATCCTTAATGAAGTTATTTAAAAACACTAAAAACCAATGGCATTTTTTGTAATATTTTACCCTTCATAAGGTTATTTAATATTTAGTGATTCCCAATTAATAATATAGATTAAAAAATACATGGCGTTGAAGAGAATTACATCTAATATATAATTTTATTATAGAGATAAAACAGCCCAGGTCTATATAGCCGAATTTAGAAACATAGTCGAATGAGCAGATCAAAGAGAACTATAGTGTGCACATAATGTATACTCGTTGTAATACAATAAGATAAAGATTATAAAATTAAAATTAAAATTATTAGAAGACATACTTAAGCAGCCCAATAACATGTGTATTCAAAAAATAGTCGTCCCAATCGATAACCTCTGGATCGAAATAGAACATCTCGCTTTCGACTCCCGTCTTCGATACCATTTTTTGCAATTTTTCTGTGTTTGTATCATCAAATCTGCATATATACATAATCCGGTTGATTAGTACAATATGATTTTAATCTCAAACCATATTAAACCATACAAACAATTAAGGAACCAAATTAGAAACTGAAAATTTTACTTACATTCCATAGAAAAAGAGGTAAGGCTGATAGAGATCAACAAGCCGGTATATAAAATTTATTTTTCTATGGAAGTACTTAAATTCCTTCTCCAACAACTTGCAAAGTACCATGTTTACCAATTCAAGTCCCTGAAATGAACCAAATAAATCATATAGTTATTTAGGAACCATATATGGGTTATTCATAGATCTAAAAAACACTAGATATATCGTTAGTACTATTACCTTCAATGAAATCAAGTAACGTATGGTCATGTATCTATGGAAACTACGCATAGAACTCAGAATCTCAATGTTCCCGACCCGAACGACCTTCCCTTCTTTGTTGATCCACGGGTTGGTTGAGAAATACCGATACGCTAATTCAGGAAATTTTGCATTTTTCATCGGATTCCTAAGTGAAGAACCCACATGGTAAATAATCTCTTCTTGTTTACCGGCTTGAGCGGCCATTGATACTAGAATCGAATTTACTACCATATCCGCAGGCAGCTGATCCCATCGTACATGTCCAAAATATCAAATGAAGATGAGTAAATGAAAAATATTAAAGTCGAATGTCGAATGTAGATTAAGATGAATGTTAAAGTAGGTACCACATCGGAAATAGCATTAAGATCACAAAGAAAGCACGTGAGTTTGCCTTTGCCGTATCCAACAGCTAAACTATCAATGGTCCTGCACATTGAAGAGTAGTTATTTCATTGCCTTGACTAGTAAACTATCAATATCATTTCTATATTTTCTAGCAAAGGAGAGTTTGATAATTTTACCTGATGCCCTCAGTCCAACCAGGGAATGGTTCTTTGAATGTGCTGGTAATAATTGAAGGACGAAGCAACACAAGTGATAGATTTTCCCTTTTTGTCCCAACCATCATCTCCCCCATTGCCTTGGTGAACACATATGTGTTTGGCCATCCGTACACCTTTGCCCTATCATTGATTTCAAAACATAACCATTCTTCTTTCAAAGTTTAACACTAATTGACATTTTTATTTGCAACATAAAAGATATATATATATATATATATATATATATAAGTAGGAATATGAACCTCCTGAGTCCGAGATCCTTCATGGCTTGTGTGACGGTTTCAGGAGAGGCTCCACTGGCTCGGAGCTGGTCAAGTTTCTCCTGAACGAATTTCTTCTCATGATTGATATCTAGACCGGTGGTTCCATTCAACGTCTCACCCATACGGTACGGTGTTTCCATTATCAAGCCAGATTTTTCTCCGCACACGTAAGCTTTGATACAAAATTCGTTAGTTGGTGGCATTTAATTACGAAAGAAGCTTTCTCACCGACATCTTAATAGTAAGCCAGATTTATTTTCAAACGAAAATGATCGGGTTACCTACCTAGTACAAAACCCGTCTTAAATAATTCAGGTTATATATTTAGTGTAAACAGTGATCAATGTCGATAGATTGTAAAAATAATGGAGAGTTGTTAGTTTTTCTTTTATTCTAATGTTGGTAGTTTTAGATGTCAAAATCGAGATAACCTATAGGCTACTTTACATTGGGGTCCTAATATATAGTCCTTTTCAATTGTTAATTATCTTTTGATATAAAAGTCTCGCACAAAAAAAAAAGGTATGGAACTCCAAAATAATGTATTAATATGTAGTTTCATACTTCTAAAGCAACCTTCTCGACCTTAAAAATATGAAATTGTAATTAAACGTGCGTATTGAGATCCTTCTAATCAAGATAGGTATTAGGAAATCGGATAGACTAGATGTTTATGTTCAATTCAAAGACTGGTTGACATGTAAGAACTCTGGTATGTAAATATATTTCACTTGCGATCTAATAAATACAAGTTATTTCAGTCTCATTGACAGCATAGTACTTTGAATATACCTGTTGATACATGAACAAGGATCTTAACCTTTGCACATCTCTTGGCAAAGTTCAAGACATTGAGAGCACCCAATGTGTTGATCCCAAGAGCTACATCGTATCTACAAATTAATTAAAATTCCTTTAATTTTACAGTATAAAAATGTAACTAAAAATTATAATTAGTAAAAAATATCCCTCGGAACAATGTTGATGGCGCTAATATGTTGTGGTAACATATTTTTTTTTCCGGGAAATCAAAATTTATTATTGCTAGGCGATATATATTTCAGAGAAAAAAAAATTACTAATTATATAACTTTTTTTTTAGGACTGTTAGTGATAACTAGAAATTGAGTTCATATTACAGATTCAAATCAATAATAAGATATTAGAATCAGTACGATGGGATAATTTTATTAAAACATAAACTTTTAAGATCAATAGGTACCTTTCATCAAACTTCGTAGTTGCAGCTAAATTAACAATGGCATCAACTTGGTGGATCATCTCATGAGCCAAGTCGAAGTCGTGAAGACCTAAATCCTCAAGGCAAATGTCTCCATCGATAATTGTGACTTTCTCTGATATAAGTTGATTTAGATTGGGACCATACTTCTCCTTCACCACCTTGAACAAATCTTTCCTCAAAATCTGCATTGATTTCAAACACCTCAAAAGTTCTAAAACTTCCATTATCATCAATCCACATGAGCTTTGGAAATATTTGAATAACACTATCACTATCATATACATATTAGTCATTATTTTATCAACGAATTTAATATATAAGGGATAATTGATTAAAATACACATGTTTTATTTAATTTATATATTAAACTACTAATATATACAGGTTTATTTTAGTAATATTTGGTAAATTTCCTGATTTTAGAAAAAATTATTATATATATATACACTAGTCACTTCATATTTCAGTTTTAAGATTTACATGTAGATAAAATATACACATAACAGCTAAGTTATCCATGGATGCAGTTTTGTTGTTGAGCTTTTTGTTTTTATACATTTTTTTTTTTTTAATATTTGGCATTCTAAGTTGAATAAACCAAACCAATGATTACATGTATATGAGTTTTTAGTGTTTGTTTTTAGTTGTTTTTTTCATAGGATTTTAATTAGTTAAGAAAAAGAAAGATGGGTGTCTAAACACTTTAAGCGACGAGTTCTTAAATAGAGTTTTTTTACCACAAATACCAAGCCTATCTAACAACCACAGACATTCAAAGCCTAAGTCTGTGGAAACAAACCTCGTCGTTAAACCTCTGGGTAGCAGATTTTCCATTTGATGCTCGTAGAAGGAGATACAGTTTCTTCACGTTTGGTGCCACCCTTAATATCTTCTCCACAAAAACTGCAATTAAATTTTATATGACTTTATAACCATACTTTAATAAATTTCAGAGCTAGTTTCATTTAATAAAGAAAGTTTATATATATATATATATATATATATGACGAAGAAGCAACTTGTGTTAATTACGACAATATACATATCCGCAGCCTGGTTTGGACCCCCAAATCTTGACCGGTTAAGACTAATACAAATCAGTGTTCTAAAAAGCGGTCTAGGCGGTCGCCTAGGTCCCGACTAGGTGCTAGACTCTCATGCGACGCCTAGATAACCGCTTTGACCGCTTAAAATTACATAGATTTTGTTTAATATATTTTTTCAATTTCAATTAGAGTTTTATTAATATATATAGTTATAAATATTCATATATTGTTTAATATAAATATAAATAAATTTTAGCTAGTTTTGTTTATAATTTCATAATTTTTAGTTTTATATAGATGTTTTATATATAATATTTTATGTTATAAACGTCTAAACCGCCTAGATCCCGATTAGACGTTCTAGGCGCTAGGCACTGGAACACCGCCCGCTTAGCGCCTAGCGCTTTATTGAACACTGATACAAATCAATTAAAGTGAGTCGCATAAGCTTTTCTTATATCAACCACAATTGTTATCGCTACAAGCATTTCCAATACGTAGAATTTCATTACCTCTAGAATTTCATTACCTCTACGTCAATTCGTCATACATGCATATAAAGTACAATCTATATATACCTTGATTATTATTATTTTGTTGTCACTAACATTCATTATGCGGGTAGGAATTCGCATGATAACACATCAACAGTTTTAGTGCAAACCACTTAAATATTGTTCTAGTCATACTTTCAAAATTTATAATAAGCTAATTGTTCAAGTGTAGCTCAAGTGTTTTCTTCGTAATATATACATACATAAATCATGAATCTTGTCTATAACTTCATAACTTATAAATAGTAATGATTCGTATATATATATAATTAAGGGGATAGAGAAAGAGAAAGAGAAGAGATTTACTATTTGCTAAGAACCCAGCAGCTCCAATGACCAATATGGACTTGTTGTCAAGGTACTTAAGAACACTTACGACCTCCGTTTCTGTCGACATAACTTATGTTTGAAAATGCGTTTGAGTGAGAGAAATAATGCAACAGAGTACAGCTGACATATCACATATCGGTTACTAAGATTTATAGTTTTTAGTCTTTACAAGGTGATATTAATGTGAGCACCTACCTACATTTTTGTTTTGTCCCAACTACTTTAAATTAGCTGTCAACAAATTTCACAACATATAGTATATCTTATAAATTTCAATTTTATATATCTAGATATGACGTGTTTAAATTAAACGTGGCTTAACTTGAGTATTTTGCCTACGAACCTACCCATGTTGAAGAACGAAAAAAAAGATTCCAAATTACAACAATCTTGATCCTAATTAATATGGTTAGTTAAGATATGATTCGGTTCTAATAATGGAAAACGTACATAGAAACGAAACCCAAAATAAAAACTACAAAACAGTATTTAAACACATTAATTTTTAAAATGTAAATTTCAAATTAGAAAAATAGAAAGAATAGGAAAAAATGTGCATTTGGAGGCAATTTCTGTTGCCACAAATGTATGGTTGGGCGAGATAGAATCCGACAGAGTAAAAGATAGAATCCGACAGAGTAAAACAATAAGATGATATGGAGATATCTAATTTTAGGCTTAAAAATTAGACAGCCTACCTTCTTTGTTTATAATAACAACGACTTTCAAGAAATGTTCAAAATAGCGGTTTGAGTGGTGCTCTAGGTGCCATATTTCATGACGATTATTTGATATATCATGACGATTATTTGATAGTTGCTGAGATTATACAAATTGTTATTTAAAGAAAGTTAGCGAAATTCATACAACAATAAAAAAAAGTTAGAGAGTTAGACAGTTCTAGATGGCATTAGGCGGGCGACGATATCATACGATTTTACATAGTCAACTACCATCTTATCTGTTCGGAACGAACCGCTATCGCTCATGACTTGTATTGTAGTCAGCCTCGGTGAGCGCCATAGTTTAAGTTTTCCTTATTCGTTAGCTGCTCAGTGCAGTCACGTCCGGGGTTCTTCACACCTGGATAGTACCATGACCCGTGTGCGCACCTCAAAGATATTGCATGCAAATGCAGAATTAACCACACTTGAGGCAAATGAGCGGTCAAATAGGTACCTACTCATGGTGACATAGTAGAATTGGGGGAAGCTGTAGGTATTATCACGGATCAATCGACGGGCGAACCCGGGACACATAAGAACTCTTGAATGGAAATGAAAAAGAGATGTAACTCCAGTTCCCCAGACAACGTCCTAGGCGTAGGGTAGATCATTCATCAATTTATTTTTTTTGTTCAAAATCATTAATTATTTGTTTTTTTTGTTCATTTCAGTGTAGGTTTTTTAATTTTTAATTACATAAAATTCATTATACGTTTTAACTTAAAAAGTACATGGTTTTCATAGATTCATAGTTAGCATATATAGTTTGATGTCAATTGAATTGATGTTAAGGTTATCTTGAAGTTGAATCTAATATTTCTGTTGAAATTCTGATGTAATTTGAAATTTAAGTTTACTTACAAAATTAAAATATTTTTGCAAATCATTATATTTTATAGAGAAATACTCTAAAATATCACACTACTAAATTTTTGTTCTATATTGTAAACGTTTAGACCTTCTAAAAACGTTTAAATTCCAATTAAACGTGTTAGACATTATATTTTATAGAGAAATACTCTAAAATATCACACTACTAAATTTTTGTTCTATATTGTAAACGTTTTTAGCGTAAACGTTTAGACCTTCTAAAAACATTTAAATTCCAATTATACGTGTTAGACATTAAATCGCTTCCTATTTAATGTCTGCCTAACCATCGCTTTTAAGTGGTTATTTGTCATCAAATCCAACTCACAACCATCTATACTAGTACGACTGGTTAAGGCATGATTCGACCCTACTCATGACATACGCAAAACAGCCTAGAATATTAAAATTCTAAAATTAGATTATTAAAGTTGTAGTTTATGTACTCGTATTCGACATTCAGAAAATAGAACAACTGCGATAGCTGATGATAATACTTGAATTTTTATATATGAAAGTGGTAGATTTGTACACTTATATTTGGATTGGTTTGGTTTTTTTTTTTTTCTACAATTTAAGTCAATTTAGTTTTATATTTAAGGTTAACTGAAACACCCTCAACTACCAATTAAGTATGTTTAGACAAGTAACATTAAAATATTAATTAAAGTCAAGCATGCAAATTATATAAACAAAGTATATTCCATTCATGAAAATTATTTACTGAAAATTTTAAAATTGCAATTAACTTCGGCCAAGCTCAGATATGGACCAGAATACCATCAGGCCTATTCATTCTTGGGCCGATTAACACCCCCAATCTCGCTAGTAACTCAAAAGAGCAACGATAACGGACTTTCAACATGATCTGTTACATCAATCTGCAGAATCTCAAAAACTGATAAATCTCTTCAGAATTAGCTTTTCTCTGCTCGAGACTACCTCAAACTTGAAACCTTAAACTTGTACTGTCAAAAGAGGAATGCATCAAGCCGATAACTAGATTTGGATAAGCTTCTAATTTTCCCTTTTATTGCTTTACACATTCTTCTAAGTTTCAGGGTTAGCATTTTGGTTATAAATAGGTTTTCGTGCTCTGTTAATTAAAATAACACATTTTATTAGTTTTTTCTTGAAACTTTTGAATAGGCCCTCTTTTTCCTCTACTTCGAATAATTCTTATTTTGAGAATTTAGCAGCTTTGATAAGAACCATTAAGAGCATTTTTTGTTCTAGATATTTCTTGGAAGTGATCTTCCCCACCAAAAGAAAAAAAAAATGAAGAAGCTTATTATCCTTTTTTTTGTGCAGAGTAAGAAGAAGCTTATTTAGGTACTGAAATTTGTTACGCTATGAGCGAAGATTGCAATGGAAGTGTTATAAACCACGAGTTACATAAAAGGCGGCTACAAAGAAAACTTGTTTGTGAAGAAATTACAAAGCAAAAGAGAGGAAAGATTCAGTTCCAATTGAGAGATTTGAGAAACTGTTTTTCGTCCCTTCATTGTTGGTTTCTTTCTTTAGCAATTTTTTGCTTAAAACTCCTTCCTATCTTTCATATTTGGACTTTAAGATTCACTTTAATCATTACTTGAATCCATAAAAGCTGCACAAATGTCCAAAATAGCTGCTCTTATCAGTTTGATCCTCACCTGCTAATTTCAACGTTTTAGTCAGATTGGATATATTCTTCATAATGTAAGAATAAACAAAGTAGTGATTACATGTAGAGCAAGATTATATAATTACTTAACTGGTTATTTAGAATCTGGTTTCCATATGCAAATAACCATACTGCTCTTGGAATGCTGTATTGTCCTGCTTGTTTTCAACACGCAAATACAAATATACTGAGACTCTTGAGACAAGTCACGTGTACTCGACAGACCCTAAACAGAGAAATAGTGAAGAGAGAGAAACCTGAAACTGAGTAGCCGAGAAGCCTTGTGAGTAATCCAATGTACTTTCTGGAAAGTTTTGCTCTATCTTATTACCACCAACACTTTTCTGCAACATCTACAAGAAATATTAAAACGAATGTTAAATCCCAAAAACCTAAAGAACAAATCTCTTCTTTTAAAAGGTAAAAAGAGAGTCTTTGTTTTTCTTATAAGCCCTCTAATCCACCATATATCGACTAGGTAAAAAGTAATCATGGTTCATGGACTTCAATGCTAGGTAAATTCTGTATAGTGACTAATGATTATGTGTTTGTGTTTACGTTTGCGTTTCTAATATGATAACAATCAGGACTTAGTGAATCTACGAACACATTAATTTTTGTTCTCGAAGAACAGAGCGGACTATTATCAGTTGGTTTACAAAAATTAGTTGAAAATAGAAAGACTTACATGAGGGAAATTGAAAAGAGGAGAACTAGCAGTATCATCAAGAACTGAGTTCATTTTCTCATAATCTCTTCTTTTCTTTTCTCTCTTGCATTGTTTCTTGAGACCAACAATATTTATCTTCTTATTCACAGAATCTTCCTCGGAAATATTTCTTGGACCAGAAGAAGCATCTGAAATCATTGACAAATCGTCTTCTTCCTCTTCTTCTTCGTCTCCTTGATGCACGTTGTGTTGGTCCCATGAATCTTTGCTTCTTCTTCTGTTTTCAAACCCATTGCTGTCTCTATAACAAGAAGGTGTTGGTGAAGAAACCGACTGGTCTAAGTACAGAGTCCATCCTGACTCGCATCCACTACTTGAACCCAACATTTTCTTCTTTTATGTTTTAGAAAAAAAAAAGATATAAATACTTGTTGAGATCGAACAGCTGTGTTGAGAAAGATTTTGGGTAAGAAGCGACTTAAACACTCTGTTCTTTCTCTCTATATATCTAATATTTATACTAACACATGCATCTATACCTCTCTCTGTTTCATTGTTTAAAGTTATTTATTTCAATTTTTGGTCTTATCTTCAAGAGGTACGGAGTATAAACTTATTTTAACTTATTATCATCGTCTCCTACTTCTTCTGCCTATTAATTTTCAAATTATAGGTTGGTCTAATAATTTGGGCTTTTGTTTTGTCGTTATTATAGCAAAATATGAACGAAATAAATTTTCAAAGAGAAACTAATGGATAAGTCGGCGTTGTTATTAGGCACACTCAAGCGGTCTTTGCAAGGTCGCAACATGTGAACTCGATTTAGATTGTATAAGAAATTCTATTCTATATTTTTGTTAACTCTTTTCCTACAATGCCAGTTTGTAACATGGGAATGACATGCAGCGTTTGTATCCAGGCATTTTTCATATTTAATCCAAAGATATAACTGGTATTTCGGATTCATAAAAGTATGTAACTAGAGTGAAACATTATACGTGGATGTCTATTAAATACCATCCTAATAGGAAAGTTAATTCCCACGTGACATATGCCCAGAACTAGTCTAGAAGAGATAAATACCCATTGATCGTGTATTATATTTCAATTATTCACTTATTATGAATATTTATAGTGTATTAGTGGGAGTAATTAGATGGTGCATGGGTCAAAGCGACTTCGACAGACAAGAAGATCCGAGCGGTCTATTGACTACGCTTTTATGATATCACATGTCCTCACATTTCGTTTTGCATTTTTTTTTTAATTTCCTTTCGTACTCTCTAATTTAATTCTTACCTAAATCTTTCGTGTATTTGGCACTCTCTATACCTGGGATAACGAGATATATATTGGTGTCATTATAGCATTATAATGCTTTGAAAAGAGTAATAATTATATAAAGTTTTCAAGAAAAAGTTTGAACAAGGAAAAAAACTAGAAAGTTATTGTAATTTTTTTTTGTATCATTCCATCATAGGAAGTTAACATAATATTTCGGTTGATTTTTGAAATAAAAATTGAATGATATGAAGGAAGAAATTTGAAATGTGTGAAGAAATTTCATATTTGTTGGAGCTTTATCATTCCATCTCTGATTTGGCACACATGCTCAAATAATTTAAGAAAAGAGATGAAAGAAAAAGAAACAGAATTTTGATTGATTTCATTGAAGGGGTTCGAATAGCTAGCAAAATCAGGCATGCATGTGGGCACGTGTGCACGTAAAAAAGAGAAATACGCAAGGTTCAACAAATTCACACATGTGTGCACGTGCAACAACACGCATTTCGACCAACTGCACACTTTTGCAATTTAGGCTCTTAAATGTGTCACCTTCTGATTTCTCTCTTTTCAATTGCTGATAATTTCTATGCTTTCCCGATCGATTTCGATGGTCTCGTCCTCCATGTGTTCTCTTCACTTTTTCACTTCCTTCCATATATACATATACATTTTTTTGGAGTAAATGTTAAATATCATATATAGATAAATATTGATGTGGTTTCCAAGATCCGGTAGGAGAAAACACGATTTTATATATATGCTTTACGTCGAACAAATTACATATGTCTCTTTTGCTATTCCACATCGACGACATGTTTTAGCTATTTGAACATATATACCCCCTCTTTTCAGCTATAAGTTGGTTCAAAAATCTTTTTTTTTTGTTTGTTTTATAGTTTGTTTATTGATAACCGTGTAATTCTCTATCAAACTCTTTGTCGTGCACCACAAAGACTAAGTTGTGCAGGAATTTTAAACTTTGCAGGAAATAAAAATGTTAAGTTTACGTGTGGATTTCTAAAGGACAAAAAAAATTACCTTGGTATGTGTATTAAACTAACTCTGTTTTTTTTTTTTTTTTTGATATTAAAGCAATTAAGTATCTAACTCTGTTTTAGAGTTAGAAATTTTCCTATGTGTTTTGATAATAATGCGTGGTTAAAAAGTCTATAAACTTTAGACATTACTCTCTTCAAGAAGCTCCTGTAGAAGAAGACGTTATGATTCATGGTAGAAGACTTTTCGAGCTTTATACGATTAGGAATTTATGAAAATATCACATATTATTGTAATTTCAAGCATTAATTACAACTCTAACCACCTGACGCTGACCCATCTCCTTAGTTACCTCCAAACTGAAACTGGTGGACATGTTCTTCATCCATGTATGACTTACATTCACATTGTAATATCCATGCAACAATGAGACCTCTTCTTCGTCATTCTCGGAATCCTTCATAAAAATCTTTGGAATCTCTGAAGATTGCTGCCACTCCTTGAGCAAACTGTCAATTACATCTCCTGTTGCAGTGTTGTTGAAGTCTTTGTCCGCAAGTGTTAGCTTGTCGAAACCAGACACCTCAGGCCCAGCAAATATTATGATGCCTTTAACCGCAGGATGCGAATATGCTTCCCTCAGAATTTCTTCAATGTATATCTCCTATCAAGAAATTGAATTAGTTAACAAAAATTTTATGACTATGATAATGAATAAAGATGGAACAAAGCTTTCTTGTTAGGCAAGGTAAGCTGCTGACAAACCTGATTAGGGCACTTAGGCATATCAAGCTCTGTAAGCCAAATAGGCAAACCTAATGAGCCTAAAGTATCCAATGCAGATCTCATGTAAGCTAAGTTAGGCTGAGTTGGACGAAAGTGACCCTGAGCTCCAATTGCTCCTTTAATGTTCATGTTACCTGGGTATGCAAGAATCTCCTCCATCTTCTCTTTCACCTTAACCGGCGTCGCGGTAACCTCTACACGATTCTCTATCGTGTTGTACTCGTTAACGAACAATGTCAAATCAGGATCTAGCTTAAAAGCCAAATTGTAGAAAATTGACGAAGCGTTTGCACCAAGCATTTTCTCAAAGTAATCCCAGTGCACGTTCTCATTAACCACATCCCACCCGGTTAACTTCCCTTTGTATCTCGTCATTACCGAGTTTATCCGGTTCAATGTCACGTTCATCAAATCATTTGGGTCTTTTATTTTTTGTACCCAACTTGGTTGCATTATTGGGTCGTCCCACAGCACAGTATGACCTCTAACCAATATTCCATTCTCTTCCGCAAATTTCAGCATTGAGTCAGCTGCCGTGTAGTTCTCTTGACCACGTTCTTTCTCCGTTGTATACCATTTCATTTCATTGGTGAAGGATGTGATTTTAAACCGCGACGCAAACCAATTTCTGTACCCTTCGCTTTGTAGGATCCGGAAATTCATTGCGCACCCTAAGAGGAAAGATGGTTTGGTTTGTTCTATGGATATCACTGCGCCTTTTACCGCAGTTTTGTTCTGATAAGTTACTTCAAATCTCACTTTGCTCTTCCTTATCTGCAATTAACATAAGTCATGTAAGAGCAAAACCAACACACTGACCGGACCGGCCTTAAAAAAACTGGTCTGGGGGCTGGTCAGAGTCAGACCATGCTTGTTTCAAGCCTAGTTCGGCCATGGCCCTCCGACTCCGAGCATGGTACATTGGTACCCTTTTGTATATTTTTTTCATGTATCCGTAAGGTAAAATCAAAAATCGAGATCAACTTAAAACAATTATAGGCCTCAAATGGGCCGAGATCAACAATAAATCGGGCTTCATTGGAACGGCCCATTACAAAACCCTATAACTATATAGATGGACAAAGATCAATGCTACCTTTTCAATAAGTTGGTCTTGTTTCAGTTTCCATTCTTCTTTGCTGAACTGTTTCAGCGACACATCGCTTGCAGAAATCTTTGCTTCTTTGTCATCAGTCTGCTTCCACATAGAACCCGCATTGACGCAGTGTTATATATACGTATAGGAATAAACATATATAGCTAGTTGTTGTACCTCGAAGAAAATATCTACAGAGCCTGAAACATCTGGCACAATGCCACCTTTAAGTAAAGTCCAACATCCTTGCTTTGCCCTAACTTCACCTCCATGAACAACTCCATTTTCTGTCCTGAATACAACTCCTACTTTCTTCTTGTTTCCTTCTCTCAACTTCACCCAAGCTGTATTTCCATTAACAAAGAAACTATGAATGTTCAATCTTAACCGATCCAAACTGAAAGAAACCATTCTAAAATTATCATTAAATATTGGTTATAATGATTCTATCCGAAAAGGAAAAAAAAAAGTTTAAAATCATTTAAATTAATAGAAAACTGAATCTAACCCAAAAGTTGAGCTGCGCTGTACCAAACTGATCTATATTAGATTTTGTTAAAATTTGAGTAATACTCTTAAACCAAACACCCTGAAAACAAAAACTTGAAACCAAACTGAAATCAGACTGAGCACAACTATCAAGATTCAAGAATCTCTGGTTTAAAACAGTAACTTATTAGACAAGAAACCATGAAACGATGGTGTATTATATTATATATAAAACTAGAGAGAGGGTTGCATGCATGTGGTACATATAATTACCGGAGAAGCTGTAGATGTTTCCTTGTTGAAGCTGAATTCTCTGTGTCATTTCTCTAATGGATCCATTTTCATCTATTTTCCATTCTTCATCAGAGTCAGCTTCGACAGAACGGCTAAATTGTAATAATCCTTGCGTTTCACTGCTTCGTGGAGGCTTCATTACACACTTCATTCATATACACCAGAATTTACCAATGTTAGAAAGTTTGAATTTAGTTACAAAAACATTAAAAAATCACTTCTATTTAGTATTTATTGAGGTTTTATCAGTTTTGGTTACCTCTGTTTTGAGAGAGTCGCTTTGGGAGAAAGGATCAATGGAAATCCCCGAATGCACAAAACACCAGAGGAGTAAAAGCATGCAGAGGAAGAAGCCATTGTTGATGTTCTTCATCTTCCTTTCTGTGAAAACAGAAATATCCCTACAAAACGCAATCTATAAAAGCTTTGGGGTTGTCAGATTCTACTGTATTATTATACTTGAAAAAAGGCATTATACTAGCTAGCCAAGTATGTTTTATTTTCCTATGGAAAATGACTACAAATTATACAATTCGAAGCAAATATGTAAGAAAGAACTACATATATAGACTAAAACGGTCAACCTAAAACTAGAAGAAGTCAACACGTAAGAAATATATATGAGTAGATGACATTATTTGTTGCGGATGATACCTTTTTTCCCTCTAACAACACGTATTAATTACCAAGTGCGTTGGAGATACGAATCCCGTATCCCACAAGTTTAGGATCTTAGGGATTATTGTGATATTTCTTGTTAATATTTGACAATCTTTATTTAAAGAAAATTAGATATAATCTTCTGCATATACATGTATGTATATATCGACACTATAATGAAACTATCCAGAAATTCTCAACTCTTTAGTCTTTTTCCTCTGTTATTTTACAACGTGGGTACTAATCCAATAAAAGTACTAAAGTATGATTCACTCGTAATAGTTAAGAAGGTTATATATGTATTTTGACTTGAAACGCTTGGAAGCAAATATTTTGTTTGGTTGGAGTAAAAGCGACAAAGAAGCAAAATGGTAACATAGCCGTTAAGCAATATATCGATAGGTTTCGTCCTCTACATTAAAGGCAAAACCCTCGCGTGCCAAGGTGACAAGCACGTGGGCCGACCGCTAGCCCAGGGACCATTTGCTATTTATTTTAACAAAAATATGTAAGCCATTTAAGAGATAAACTAAATTTTAACCCGCGGTACACTGCGGGATGATTTAGTTTTAAAGTTAGTATAAAAATATTTTGTAAATTGTATCTCCTTATAACATATTTATTTATATTATAGTTTGCAATTGTTATTAAGTAACGGTATACCACGAGTCCACGAAACAATTATTAATAAACTGAGGATTTAACCCGTATTAAAACGGTATATAAATATTGATTCAAATTCGTCCGCCTATAGAAATCCTTTCCGAAATATAACCCGTTCCGTAATTTCTTAACTCGTCCCGTGATTTGTTTTTATTTTTAAATTTAATGATTATTTATTATATATAAAGTTTATAAATCATATCATTCTCTAAGACATTTATATTTTAATAAACTGAAGATTTAATATGTATTAAAACGGCATGTTAATGATATTTTAAAATTTTAAAATATTGTTATTAAGTAACATTATACCACGGGTCAATTTTTGGTTTTATACAATCTTTTATAAATGAGACTGATTTAATATGTCTAATATTGGTGGTATTAAAAAAAGAAGGATTTAATCCGTATTGAAGCGGCAGATTAATGATATTTAAATATTTTTATTATTGTTGATTCAAAAATTCGTCCCGCCAAACTCGTCCTGCCAAAAAACTCATTTATTTTATTAATGTTGATCTTATTTATGATATGATTCTGAATCATTGTCTAAATATTTTAATCGATGTAGAACGTTGAACACACATTTTCGTCAATTGGATAATATATATCCGTTTTTAAAATTTCGAATCATGTTTTTACTTTATGTATTATATGATGATTCAAAACAGTTAAAAACAAATCAAACTAAGATAATAGGAGAATCATAATTCCAAATCTTCTAAATATCTAAATTATTAAATAGGGAATATCAGCTGTATGAGTTGGGTTAAATATAACCCGACCCAACAAATTTTTTTGTGAAGGAATTTAAAAAACGGATCGAATATCCGATTAACCCAAAAACATTTTTATCACCCGTCACAAAAGTGTTGCGAAAATACTAGTATAGATAACAATCCTTTTTCCTTTTGATGATACCAATGCATTATGTAGAACGAAATGCAACATACTATTGCTGACCTTGTTTGGCTGGTTAACTCTATAGTGGGTGTGGTTGGGACTTGGGAGACGAAAAGCCATGCTTATACATACACAAATTCATATATAATGAGATGTTTTTATCATTTGACGCAAAAATAGGGAGATGTTTCATTAAATTTTCTAATACGATACGAAATGAAAATTTCCATATATTTTCTTCTCAAGAAGTTATTAGTCTTTTTTTTTTATTAGTTCAATAGGCATCACTTTTCTTCCCGTAAGAAGACGTTTTGACTATGATAATCTAACATTTTTTTTTGTAATTTTAAGCATTAAATCCAACTCTAACCACCTGATGCTGACCCATCTCCTTAGTTACCTCCAAGCTGAAACTGTTGGACAGATTTTCTATCCATGGATGACTTACATTCACATTGTAATGTCCATGCAGCAATGAGATCTCTTCTTCTTCATTACCGGAATCTGCTGTGAAAATCGTTCGAATCTCTGAAGATTTTTGTTGCCACTCCTTGAGTAACTTATCAATTACATCTCCAGTTTGTGTGTTGTTGAAGTTTTTGTCCGCAAGTGTCAGCTTGTCGAAACCAGAGACCTCAGGTCCACCGAATATTATGATGCCTTTCACCGCAGGATGCGAATAAGCTTCCCTGAGAATGTCTTCCATGTATTTCGCCTATGAAGCAATCGAATTAGTCAACAAGTTTTATCTTTATGATAACGAATGAAAGATTTCTTGTTAGCTAAGGTAGTTAATGACAGACCTGATTAGGGCATTTAGGTATATCAAGCTCTGTAAGCCAAATAGGAAAACGTAGTGAGCCTAAAGTATCCAATGCAGATCTTATGTAAGCTAAGTTAGGCTGAGTTGGACCAAAGTGACCCTGAACTCCAATTGCTCCTTTAATGTTCTTGTTTCCTGGGTACGCAAGAATCTCCTCCATCTTCTTCTTCACCTTTATCGGCGTCGCAGTAAACTCTTTAGGGTTTTCTATCGTGTTGTACTCGTTAACAAACAATCTTACATCAGGATCAATCTTAGAAGCCATATTGTAGAAACGTGATGAAGCGTTTTCACCCAGCATTTTCTCAAAGTAATCCCAATGCAGATTCTCGTTAACCACATCCCACCCGGTTAACTTCCCTTTGTATCTCTTCATAACCGAGTTTATCCGGTTCAATGTCACGTTCATCACATCTTCCGGATTGTTTATCTTTTTCACCCAACTAGGCTGCATTCTTGGGTTGTCCCATAACACCGTATGACCTCTAACCAATATCCCATTATCTTCCGCAAATTTCAACATTGAATCGGCTACCGTGTAATTCTCTTGACCACGTGCTTTTTCCGTTGCATACCATTTCATTTCATTAGTGAATGATGTGATTTTGAACCGCGACGCAAACCATTTTCTGTAACCTTGGCTTTGTAGGATCCGGAAATTCATTCCACAGCCTAAGAGGAAAGATGATTTGGTTTGTTTTAGGGATATCACTGCGCCTTTTACCGCGGTTTTGTTCTGATAAGTTACTTCAAATCTCACTTTGCTCTTCCTTATCTGCAACAAACATAAATCAGATAATAGCAAAAACAGCACACATGTAGATAAAAGAATATAAGGCTCAAGGCAACCAAAGCATTTTATATGGATTCAAACATCAGAATATCAGATACATGTAAATTTTATATGTATAGATTATTTCTACCTTTTCAATAAGTTGGTCTTGTTTCAGTTTCCATTCGTCTTTGCTAAACTGTTTCAGCAACACATTGTTTGCAGAGATCTTTGCTTCTCTGTTTTCGCTCTGTTTTGGCATAAAAACCACATTAACAGAGATAATATAAGTATGTAATACATATGAATACACATGTATAGTGCATGTACCTCGAAGAATATATCTACAGGGCCTGAAAAATCTGGTACAATGCCACCTTTAAGCAAAGTCCAACATCCTTGCTTTGCCCTAACTTCACCTCCATGAACAAGTCTTCCATTTTCTGTCCTGAACACAACTCCTACTTTCTTGTCGTTTCCTTCTCTCAATTTCACCCAAGCTGTAGTTTCCATTAACAAATATGTATGTTCAATATTCTAGATAAACATAACCGATCCAAACTTAAACCAAAAATCTGAAATTCTAATTAAATTGGTTAAAATGGTTTTACTTATTTCCGTATCCTGAATCAAGAACCGAACCAAATCTCATTATCGTTGACAAAAACCAAATTTAAATCGTACCAAACCAATCTAAATTAGATTCGATTTTATTTTTTGGGGATAATATACTTTCTCAACCAAAATATCTGGGAAAAAATGTCTACACTGAAACCATGAAATGATGATGCATTATATTATATGAACTAGAGAATGGGTTGCATCCATGTGTATATATATTACCAGAGAAGCTATAAATGTTTCCTTGGTGAAGCTGAATTCTCTGTGCCATTTCTCTAATGGCTCCATTTCCATCTATTTTCCATTCTTCACCAGAGTCAGCTTCAACAGAGCGGCTAAATTGTAATAATCCTTGCGTTTCACTGCTTTGTGGAGGCTTCATTACACACTTCATTCATATACACCAAAACTTGCCAATGTTAAAAATTTTGAATTTACAAATCTATAAAAAATCACTTTTGTGATATATCTATTTATTGAGGTTTTATCAGTTTTGGTTACCTCTGTATTGAGAGAGTGGCTATGGGAGAAAGGATCAGTGGAAATCCGTGAATCCACAAGACACCAGAGAAGAGAAAGCATGCAGAGGAAGAAGCCATTCTTGATACTGTTCATCTTCCTTTCAGTTAAAACTGAAATATCCCCACAAAACTTATTATATATATAAAGATTTAGGTTTGTAGACTCTACTGTATTCTTATACTGAATATAGGCTTTATAACTTATACATATATTTTATTTTCTTGTGGAAAACGACTATAAAATGCACAAATTTGAGACAAATTTTGTAAGAACTACATAGACTATAATACGGTCAACCTAAATCGTATACCTACCTTTCAAGTAACAGTATCCTAAAACCTTTTTCAAAGACCAAAAAAAATGTAATGGGTGGTTATAACTTTTAACCAATTGAAAGATATGTAGATTCTGCTGATTATTTATGCATTAAAAGGAAGATGTTTCATTAAATTTTATAATATGAAGAAATAAAATTTCCCAACAATTCTTCAAAAAAGGTTGACCACTGATCTGTTAGTCTTCATTTTGTCATCTAATACATTAAATTGTTGGCTCAATATTTTATTATTTTAACGTCTAAATTTTTCAAAATGCTCATATGTAATTTGATTAGTTTCCAAAATAGACGCATTTGATTTGATCAACCTTCATGCGAGTTTGGCAATTAATGTTGGGTCAAAAATATAAAATTGTTTGATTTCATGAACAAAGATTGGGCTAGAAGTTCTAGAACAAGAAAACTTAAGAGCATGTGCAATGAGGTTTCTCACAAAAGTCTCTCGAACAAAATAAAAATAATAAAATAATACTTTCTCTACATTTTTTTAGAGACTCTCATAATTAAATAATACTTATTATTATTTTATTTTTATTTTTTTGCATGAGAGATTTGGGTGAGAGATTCCCACTGCACATGCTCTAAGGTTCAACAGCTAAAGACTAAAGGGAAATCGGCTTTTTCATGCCTCCACAATTACACTATGTTAAATTTATACTTAAACTATACCGTTGTGCTAAAACATGCCTCCACTAATGAAACATTTGAATTTCATACCTACACTTTATATTTTGTGCAAAATCATGCCTATGACCTAAATATCGATTACGTGGCATCCACGTGTGCACCTACGTGGATTTGTTTTATGCGAGTTTGTTTTATACACAACTGTGGAGGTACGAAAAAGCCGATTTCCCAAAGACTAAACAAAAAAGCTAGAGAAAGTTCAATATTATTGATAATAAACCATTACAATATATCAAGGAAGCCAACCCAATGATGCTCATGAAAGTTTCCTCTCACACAAGTATAATTCAAAATAGACTATCTGCCACAATTTTTCACTAAGAATCAAACTACTCAAATACAAAGTAGTCGTAAACTTAGCATCTCAAACAGAAAAGACAAAAATTGATGGTTGGGTCTGTGAAGAGGAGTCATCAGAAGTCAACGTAAAGTTGTAATAAGCTTTTGAATTGGCGAGAGGGTGAGAAATATTGAGATCATAGTCACCATGAAAGAGTGAAGCTTCAAAGAATCCATCAGCATCAGTGACTCCAGTGGTTTGGCTACGTAGCCCTCCCCATTCACGTAGCAGCTTGTCCACAACGTCTCCAGTGGGTAGGTTCTTGAAGTTTCCATCAGTGAGGCACATATGGTAGCAACTTGGTGAATAAGCTGTCCACATCACCATTCCTTTCACATGCGGATGCGCATGTCCTTCCCTTAGGACTTGCTCAAAATACTTGGCCTGCAAGAACCAAATATCAGATATACAAGTGCTCAAAACCTCAATTATATATAGGGATACAAACGAGAATTCGAGACCAGATATTGTGGGAAAAAGAACATGAAATTTTGTAGCCTACTTTTATAAGAGAATATGAGTTACCTGAACATCGGAAGGAGCTTTAACGTCGATCTCAGTGAGCCAAATAGGCAAACCAGTGGCGCCAAGAATATCAAGACCTGATCTCATGTACGGAATGTTAGGAGTACTGAAATGAGACTCAAGACCGATCCCCAATGGAATGTTTCCACGAACCCGAATAGATTGAAGCTCCCTAAGCTTCTGCAAATACTTTGCTGGACTCGCTTTCAGATCCGTAGGGTCCTCTAATGTATAGAATTCATTCATGAACATTGTTGTCCTTGGATCGATGGCATGCGCCATTGCGAAGATGTTATTAGAGGCGTTAGGACCAAACTTACTCTCAAAGAAGGAGTGATGCAGATTCTCATTCACAACATCCCAACCAGCAAGCTGGCCTTTGTATCGCGAGACCACAGAGAAAACCCTTCGTTTCACTGCATTGTAGATATCGTTACGTGACAGAGAAGTAACCCATTTAGATTGGTACTTAGGGTGGTCCCATACAACATTGTGTCCACGTACAGCAATGTCGTGCTGCTTGAAGAATCTCAACATCGCGTCCGCGATCGTATAATTCTCTATGCCTCTTACAGATTCCGTGCTGTACCATTTCATCTCGTTTTCGAATGTTGTCACGGTGAATCTTTGAGTGAACCAGTTTTGGTATGCTTGATTCCCAAGTATGTTCTGTGCTACAGCGCTCCCGAATGGGAATCCGAGTCTGTTCTGTACTATGGTAATGGATGCGTTTGGTATCTTCTCGCCTTTGTTATTCACGACTCTGATTCTCACGGCACCTTTTCTTGCCTTCTCAATGCTCTGTTCCTGGTGAGCGTTCCACTCTTTTTGGGTGAATGGTTGCAAAGAGACGCTATCAACCCAAATCTCAACCGCTGTGTCCTCGCTCTACACATGAACAATGAAATATGAATCATCATATATAGGTTGAACAAGAGCAGCTTGCAAGATGCAAAAATGTAGACAAACAATCAAGACCATGAGTATGTTTGTGTATAGACATACCTCAAAGTAGAGATCGGCAGGACCAGATTCATCAACAGTGATACCACCTTTAAGCATCGACCAGCATCTGGATTCAGCAACAACCGAACCGGCATGCTTATCTTCACCATTTATTTTGAAAACGGCGCTCACCGGAGATTTTCCTATGCTTACTTGTAACCAAGCTACAAGTATAACATAAAATACATCAGATTCCATTCTAAAGAGTGTGCTTCAAGAAACATAAATTCGAAATTATTTTTACCCGAGAAAGTGTAAAGAATTCCTTTTTCCAAGTAAACCATCTGTGAGACGCTGTCAGAAGATTGATTCCTCTGTGTGGCAACAACAAACTTATTGCCTCCAAATTCTCTGAAATCGACTTTGGCATTTCCAAACTGTGACCAGCCTAGTGAACCATTTTGCAGGTCAGGATTCACGATGATCCCTCCATTGTACTGTGGTTTATAAGGGGTATCCAGACACTGCACCAAGTCAAAAAGAGAATCAGAACAAAAGTTTCCAACGACCATGACTGAATGAGCAGAGCATTGCTTGCCTCTATTGTTGCCGAGTAATCATAAGGAACGAAAATATCTTCACACCCTGCAAATATTTTCGTAGAAAAAAATGTTCGATAAATTTTTTTTTTCCGTTGATGGTTAACTACGTAATATGAAATTCAAAAGGGGTTTCCTATGAAAAATATGAAATCCGGAAAAAAAAATCTTATAGGACATTTTACATAACGACAAGGGTATAGAAAAATCATAGAATGAGATGGAGAATAACTTGATAGAGAAAGACCGCTGAAAGCAAGAAGCAGCAGTAGTAGAAGCTTCATTGCAGAACTAAAGAATCACTTATTTTTGTTTATGATTATGGATTTCCAATATATATATATATGGTCTTGGTATATTTATTTCATTAACAAAAACATATCTTGACTATACTTTATTTTTGCAAACTTTTACCACATTTGTTTACAAGATAAGATATTAACCGCCGTTAACATGCAGCATATTAAATCTTGAAAAATTCTCCTTTTTGAGCGGAGGCCAAATATGGAAAGAAAATGCAATCAATAGCTTAAATTCTAGTCAATAGTCAATAGATACGTTTGGTCAGAGTTAAAACAAAAAGGCAATAGACACGTAAACCATAAATCTCCAAAAACCCTATAAAGTTTTTTTTTGTATCACCTTAAATAGAGATGGTTTTGTCTATCTTTTAATTGATTTTTTTTTGTTTCTTTTTAAATGATTTGATTTTTGTATTGTAAAATTATATAGGTGATGGCTTCCATTGATATTCCGGCGTAAACCACATAAAATCTGATGGAATCTACATATTCTACGCATTTGGTCAAACTTCCTGCGAATTTGACAGTAAATATTGGGTCAAAAATATAAGTTTGTATTGAAAGATTGCCCTAATATGTTCTCCCTGGACCCTGGGTGTTTGTTTAAGGAAAATTAATGTTTTATACAATGTATATTTTTTTGTTAAAGGATTAATTATATCTTCATTTTATACAATTTTTTTATATAATGTAAGTACTCCACAATAGCAAAAATCAATAAACAAATGAATGATATATGAAATAGATTTGGAAAAATGAATAATTTTAACTAAAATAACTCGAATAAAGAAAATTTCAATATTCAAGAGCTCAAAATACTTGACGAAATAGTTAAAGGAAGTTCAATAATATTGATAATTCTATTACAATTTCAAGGCTTAATTAAAGTATAAGAAACCAACCCAACGATTCTCATGGATATCCCATGGGAGTTTCCTCACACACAGCTATAATGCAAAACACACTATCTGCCACTAAGAATCAAACTACTCAAATACAAAGTAGTTGTAAACTTAGCTTCTCAAATACGAACGACAAATAGAGATGGTTGGGTCTTTGGAGAGGAGTCATCAGGAGTCAACGTGAAGTTGTAAGAAGATTTTGAATTGGTGAGAGGATGAGATATATTAAGATCATAGTCACCATGAAAGAGTGAAGCTTCAAAGAACCCATTAGCATCAGTGACACCTGTGGTTTGGCTGTGAAGCCCTCCCCATTCACGTAGAAGCTTGTCCACGACATCTCCAGTGGGTAGGTTCTTGAAGTTTCCATCGGTGAGGCACATTCTGTAGCAACCTGATGGTGAATAACCTGTCCACATCACCATTCCTTTCACCTTCGGATGCGCATGGCCTTCCCTTAGAACTTGCTCGAAATACTTGGACTGCAAGAATAACCGAACATCAAACAGGTAAGAGATATTTTGGGAAAATGAAGGAAATGAGAATTCGAAAATGATGATTTTTTTCTACTTGTATAAGAGAATAATTAAGTTACCCGGACATTGGGAGGCGCATCAACGTCTACCTCAGTGAGCCAAATAGGCAAACCAGTGGCACCAAGAGTATCAAGAGCTGATCTCATATACGGAATGTTAGGAGTGCTGAAATGAGACTCAAGACCTATCCCTAACGGAATCTTTCCGGCAACCCGAATAGATTGAAGCTCCCTAAGCTTTCCCAAATACCTTGCTGGACTAGAAGTTAAATCATTAGGTTGCTCTAACGTATTATATTCATTCAGGAACATTGTTGTCCGTGGATCGAAGGCATGGGCCATTGCGTATGTGTTATAAGAGGCTTTAGGACCCAACTTGCTCTCAAAGAAGGAGAAATGGAGATTCTCATTCACAACATCCCAACCAGTAAGCTGACCTTTGTATCGTGAGACCACCGAGAAAACCCTTCGTTTCACGGCGTTGTAGAGATCGTCACGGGACAGAGAATTCACCCATCCAGGTTGATACCTGGGATCATCCCATAAAATATTGTGCCCACGTACAGCAATCCCGTGTTGCTTGAAGAAACTAAACATCGCGTCAGCTGTCGAGTAATCCTCTTGGCCTCTTATTCTTTCTGTGCTGTACCATTTCATCTCGTTCCCGAAAGTTGTCACGGTAAATCTCTGAGTGAACCAGTTTTGGTATGCTTGATTCCCAAGTATGTTGTTTTCTACTGCGCACCCGAATGGGAATCCAAGTTTCTTCTGTTCTATGGATATGGTTGCGTTTGGTATCGTCTCGCCTTTGTTATTCATGACTCTGATCCTCACGGAACCTTTTCTTGCTTTGTCAATGCTCTGTTCGTGGTGAGAGTCCCACTCTTCTTGTGTGAAAGGTTGCAAAGAGACGCTATCAACCCAAATGTCAACTGTTGTGTTCTCGCTCTACACATGAACAAAGGATTATGGATCATCATATATAGGTGTATAAAGTAGCTTGCAAAATGTAGAAATGTAGACAAACAGTTGAGACCATGAGTGTGTATATACGTACCTCAAAGTAGAGATCAGCAGGACCAGATTCATCAACAGTGAGACCACCTTTGAGCATGGACCAGCATTTGGATTCAGCAACAACAGAACCGGCATACTTATATTCACCATTTTTCTTGAAAACGGCACTCACGGGAGCTTTTCCTCTGCTTACTTGTAACCAAGCTACAAGGTTAACATAAAATACATCAGGCGATAGTTCTAAAGAGTGTGCTCCAAGAAACACAAATTCGAAAGTTTTTTTACCCGAGAAAGTGTAGAGAATTCCTTTTTCCAAGTAAACCTTCTGTGAGACGCTGTCAGAAGATTGATTCCTCTGTGTGGCAACAACAAACTTATTGCCTCCAAACCCTCTGAAATCAACTTTGGCATTTCCGAATTGTGACCAGCCTAGTGAACCATTTTGCAGGTCAGGATTCACGATGATCCCTCCACTGTACTGTGGTTTATAAGGGGTATCCAGACACTGCACCAAGACAAAAAGAGATTCAGAATTAAAGTTCCCAACGAACATGTCTGCTAGAACAGAGCATTGCTTACCTCTATTGTTGCCGAGTAATCATAAGGGACGGATTTTTCTTCACACCCTGCAAAGTGCAAACGACGTTTACATGTTAAAAACATTAGAAAAGTTTTTTCCCCTGATGAAAATTCAACAAATAAAAGACTCAAGAAAAGTTTCTTGTCGACGAACAGACAAAAGATAAATCATGGGGAAAAAACCTAGCTAGGACCATACAGGAGATTTTACATAAGAACAAGAATATTGTAAAATCATAGGATAAGATGGAGAACAACTTGATAGAGATAGACAGCAGAAGGCAAGCAGCAGCAGTAGAAGCTTCATTGTAGGACTAAAGAATCACACGTTGTTGCTGATGGTTAAGGGTTTCTGATAACATTAACATATATGTACATTTTTATGGTAACAATTAACAAAAATATCTTGACCATACTTTAATGAAACTTTTACCACACTTGTTTCCAAACAAGAAATTGCCACACGTGTTCATTAACCGTTAATAGAAGAAGCAACATATGAAATCTAGAAAAATTCTCAATAATCTTCTTTAGGGTACCCTATTGTTTATTGCGCGAGAGGCCAAATATGGAAAGAAAATGTAGTCAATATATAGCATAAATTCTAGTCAATAGTCAATAGATATATGTCTGTTCAAACTTCAAACACAAAGCCAGTAAATACATAATCCTAAAATTTACAAAAAAAACCTAAATGTTATTGTTTTATCTGTCTTTCTAACAGATTTTTTTCCTTTTTTGTATTGTAAAACTAGATTTTAACCCGCGGTACACCGCGGGGCTATATTTTCTTAAAAAAATCAAAATGTAATTTGTTTGATAGATTATTTTGATTGTTAATTTTAGGATTTCACCCGTGGTATACTATCTTTTATAAATATCAACCCAAACCCATCCCATCATATTACCCGTCCCGTGAAATTAAACATCATTTAGTTATTTTTCTTTTTAATAATACTTTTATTTAAAAGCTATATAATTCAAGTCAATTTAAAAATTTCTTTTAAATGGTTCCCATAAGATATATATACATATATATTAAATTTGTATAGAGTTGAAATAATATTAATATTACAAACTTTTTATATAATTTAAATATTATAAATATTTTTAAAAATATGCAATATATATTTTTTGTTATTGAATAAGAGGATATTATGTGTAAGAAATGTAGAAAATAAGAGTTTAATATTTTTATTATGGAGTCGCAAGAAAAATCTTTTATTTCTATACATGTTATTCGTTTATTAATAATAAAAGAAAACAAATCCTTTAAATTAGATATTAACTAAAATAAACGCACCATAATTACTTATTAAGTAACAACCAATAAATTTCACCAAAAAATAGGTAACAACCAATAAATTCTAAACGCAGTAATTAAAGAATGAGATATTAAAAAAAATATCAAATAAGATATAAGAATCTTAAAATAATTGAATATCTAAATAATTTAATTGTTAGTGTCGATTTTAATGCCTTCATTAATGTGGATTTTTTTTTTTTACAGAGAAATATTTCCTAAAGATTATCACATTAATGACTCGGAAAATTAAGGAAGATATGAATTTATGATTCTCGAAATCGTGTTGGTAATATCTTTAATTAATATTTTTCAAATTTAAATAATTAATGCCAATGGCATTCATCCGTAAATACATTTCAACTCCAGGATTTATTTGCTAAAAGTAATCCAAAAATGTATATATAGATTGATAGATTATTTTGATTGTTAATTTTAGGATTTCACCCGTGGTATACTATCTTTTATAAATATCAACCCAAACCCGTCCCATCATATTACCCGTCCCGTGAAATTAAACATCATTTAGTTATTTTTCTTTTTAATAATACTTTTATTTAAAAGCTATATAATTCAAGTCAATTTAAAAATTTCTTTTAAATGGTTCCCATAAGATATATATACATATATATTAAATTTGTATAGAGTTGAAATAATATTAATATTACAAACTTTTTATATAATTTAAATATTATAAATATTTTTAAAAATATGCAATATATATTTTTTGTTATTGAATAAGAGGATATTATGTGTAAGAAATGTAGAAAATAAGAGTTTAATATTTTTATTATGGAGTCGCAAGAAAAATCTTTTATTTCTATACATGTTATTCGTTTATTAATAATAAAAGAAAACAAATCCTTTAAATTAGATATTAACTAAAATAAACGCACCATAATTACTTATTAAGTAACAACCAATAAATTTCACCAAAAAATAGGTAACAACCAATAAATTCTAAACGCAGTAATTAAAGAATGAGATATTAAAAAAAATATCAAATAAGATATAAGAATCTTAAAATAATTGAATATCTAAATAATTTAATTGTTAGTGTCGATTTTAATGCCTTCATTAATGTGGATTTTTTTTTTTACAGAGAAATATTTCCTAAAGATTATCACATTAATGACTCAGAAAATTAAGGAAGATATGAATTTATGATTCTCGAAATCGTGTTGGTAATATCTTTAATTAATATTTTTCAAATTTAAATAATTAATGCTAATGGCATTCATCTGTAAATACATTCCAACTCCAGGATTTATTTGCTAAAAGTCATCCAAAAATGAATATATAGATTATATAGGAGATTGCTTTCATTCCGGTTTTAACCATACCAGAAAATTCGTATGGAATCTACTGATTCTCCGTTTAGTCAAACTCCAGCGAATTGCCAGATATTGGATCAAAAATATAAGTTCAGGCTCCAATATATTGAGGTTTTTGTTTGATGATAATAGATGTTTTATATAATATTAGGACTCCATAAATAATTCAAAATGAATGATATTTGAACTGGCTTTAGAAAAATGGATAAATTATGCTCAACCAAAATTTAACGAAACAGTTAGAGGAAGTTCACTATATATATATATATTATGATCATTCTATCACAATTTCAAAGCTTAAAGTATAACAAACCAACGTAATGATGCTCATGGATACTGACACGTAAGCAAGTGAACTTGAACATTTCGCTTACCTCCAAGGTCGGGAGGAGTCGCTCGGCATTACAACGGTTGAATCGATACGTAAACCCTAAAATCCACAAAAAATCCTAGTAAAGATTTAGGATAGAACAAGGCAACTAAAGTTAAGACTTCAACAACTCAAAAGATTTATTGAAGTAATTAGAGAATGTTATTGATAAATATTCATTACAATACAGAGGCTTAAAACTTTGAGAACCCAACACAATGATGCTCATGATTAAGCCCTTGGTGGTTTCCAGAGACACGGCTATACATATATACCATGTCTAGAATAATAACAAAACAGACTATTTGCCACCATTCTTGACTAAGAATCAAACTACTCAAGTATAAAGTAGTTTTATACTTGGCTTCTTAAACACGAAAAACAAAAGAGGATGCTTGAGTCTCTGAGGAGGAGACATCAGAAGTCAGCTTAAAGCTATGAGAAGCTTTTGAATTGGTGAGAGGATGATCAATTTTGAGATCGTAGTCACCATGGAAGAGAGAAGCTTCAAAGTATCCGTCAGCATCAGTGACACCTGTGGTTTGTCTGCGGAAGCCTCCCCATTCGTGGAGAAGTTTGTCCACAACGTCTCCAGTGGGTAAGTTCTTGAAGTTTCCATCGGTTAGGCACATTCTGTAGCAACCTGATGGAGAATAACCAGACCACGTTACTATTCCTTTCACTTGCGGATGCGCGTGGCCTTCCCTTAGGACCCGCTCAAAATACTTGGCCTGCAAGAAAACTCAACATTAGACATAGAAAAAGTGCTCATAAGATACAGGGGTGGACAAACAATACAGAACAGGATCGGGTGGGAGGTTTTTAACTTTTATAAGAGGATATGAATTACCTGGACATTTGGAGGAGCTTCGACGTCAACCTCAGTGAGCCAAATAGGCAAACCAGTGGCAGCAAGAGTGTCAAGAGCTGATCTCATGTATGGAATGTTTGGAGTCTTGAAATGAGACTCGAGGCCGATCCCTAGCGATATGTTGCCACAAACTCGGATAGATCTAAGCTCCCTAAGCTTCTGCAAATACCTTGCTGGACTAGAATCTGAATCTCTTGATTCCTCTAACGTATTGTATTCATTCATAAACTTGGTTGTCGTTGGATCAAACGCTTGCGCCATCTTAAAGATGTTATATGAGGCTTTAGGACCCATCTTGTCCTCAAAGTAGGAGAAATGGAGATTCTCATTCACAACGTCCCAACCCGCAAGCTGGCCCTTGTATCGTGAGACCACCGAGAAAACCCTTCGTTTCACAGCGTTGTAGAGGTCGTTACCAGACAGAGAATTCACCCATCCAGGTTGATACTTAGGATCATTCCATAAAATATTGTGGCCACGTACAGCAACCCCATGCTGCTTGAAGAATCGCAACATCGCGTCAGCCGTTGAGTAATCCTCTTTGCCTCTTACAACTTCTGTGCTGTACCATTTCATCTCGTTCGCGAAAGTTGTCACCGTGAACCTTTGAGTGAACCAGTTTTGGTATGCTTTATTCCCGAGAATGTTCTTTTCTACCTCGCACCCGAATGGGAATCCGAGTTTCCTCTGTTCAATGGAAATGGTTGCTTTTGGTATCGGCTGGCCTTTGCTGTTCACGGCTCTGATTTTCACGGTTCTCTTTCTCTCCTTCTGAATACTTTGTTCGTGGTGAGAGTTCCACTCTTCTTGTGTGAATGGTTGCAACGAGACACTATCAACCCAAATCTCAACAGTTGTATCCTCGCTCTACACATGAACAATGAAACAGGACTAAGCATGGCTGGAAAATAAATTAGCGGAACGCAGAAACTGGCAACCATTCAAAATTTAGAAACAATTAAGGCCATGAAATAGATACCTCAAAATAGAGTTGGGCAGGGCCAGATTCATCAACAGTGAGACCACCCTTAAGCATGGACCAGCATTTGGATTCAGCAACAACTGAACCAGCATGCTTATATTCACCATTCTTCTTGAAAACGGCTTTCACAGGAGCCTTTCCTTTGCTTACTTGTAACCAAGCTACGAGGAACATAATATTTTAGAATTGGCACAAAATCTTATGAAGTGTGGTGCAAGAAACACAAAATCGGAATTATTTTTACCAGAGAAAGTGTAGAGAAGTCCCTTTTCCAAATAAACCTTCTGTGAAACACTGTCATAAGGTTGTTTCCTGTCTCGTGCAACAACAAAATTATGGTTTCCAATTTTTCTGAAATCGACTTTCGCGTTTCCGAATGGTGTCCAGCCTAGGGAACCACCATCTCGTAGGTCAGGGTTTACGATGATTCCTCCATTGTACTGTGGTTTTAAAGGGATCTCTAGACACTGCACCAAAACAATAGATATAATTAATTACTTAATTATTACAACAAGAATTACAACAAACATTCTCTAAAGTCAGGTAACAAAACAGAGCAATTGCTTGCCTCTATGGTTGCAGAATAATCATACGGCACGACTTTTGATTCACACCCTGCAAATGTTTTCAAACAAAAAACATTACACACTTTGTTTCCTTAATAATAAAAGTGAGAAAAAACATTAAAGAAAATGAAGAACAACTTGATAGAGAAAGGCTGCAGAGGACAACAAGCAGCAGCAAACGCTTCATTGTGGAATCAAAAGAACAAACCGATGATGATGAAGGAGATGTAAATTCCTTTTGTATGTCTTATTGTATGACTTTTCCAGTGATAAATAGTGGAAATCTTTACTATTCTTGATGATCGTGATATATTTATTGAACTAATAGAAGCTTTACTTTCTAGACGTAGAAAAATAAACTTTACTATTCTTGATGCCCTTGATATGTATATTAACTATTATGAACTTTTTACCATCCTAGTTTTGGAAAACAAAATTCAAGATATATCCATAACTATTAATAGAACCGTCAGATTAAATTTCAGAAGAAATTCTCATAACTATCATCCATTTACAGATGCAAGATATTGGAAACAAATACACAAATATAGTAAGAAAAAATTAATAGTACATAAAATGATAAAGCTCCCAAAAGAAATACACACAAACCAATCTAACAGCAAAACCAAAGCTATTGGTTATCATTATGAAAAAAAAAAAAACACAAAACCATAAAATAGCGATGTCTTTCATAATTAGTAATTGTCATGCTTTGACATAATTTCATCAATAAAAAGGAGTGCCTTATTTGAGTTACAAAAAAAAAGAGTCCGATTTTTTATATAAAATGAAATTATGCCTTTGCTTTAAGCATTGAATGTTTTGTTAACGTAAAATAAAGATGACAAAATCAAAATAAGAAATATTCATTCATTTACACATATACTAAGAAAACCTAGAAGAACACATGTACACGCGACCAATGAAAGTTAACATAATTTCAAGCAAGCATAAGAAGATATAAGTCTAGTATCTAAAGAGACCACCAATTCGATAGAATGTATAGTGGCACAATATTGTAAGAAACTTGGCCACTGAGTCTCAGCTACAACTTCCGGGTGTGTTCAAACAATTTTCAGTTACATTCTATAGAGATAGCTTCTAATCAATTAAGCAAATATATTTGAAAAATTTATAAGCAATAGTAGACCAAAGTAACGCATAGATTCAACAGCTCAAAAACATTATCAAATTAGTTCAATGTCGATAAATCGATTACAAAGTTCAACGCATAAAGTTTAAAAACCCAAAAGACACGATGCTCCTGTGTAAACATCGATCATCAACGGTACTGCAAAGAAAGGCAAAACAAAACCAGAACAATGAATAAGCTAATACCCAAGAGCTTGTCATGGTTCAAAATCCAATGAAGAAACTGATAAAATCATCAAAGTATTTACCTTAATGAAACCGATTTCCTTGGCGTTGCTACGGAAACACTGTCTGCAGCAATTGAGACCATACTTCCTGATTAGCCCATGGGAGTTTCCACACACACGGCTACAAAACATATCCATGAATCATTAGATTGCTCAACAATCTATAACACTAATCCATATTTTATTAACAAAATGGATAACAAAACAATGTTTAACGTTAAACCAAGAAAAAAATGGATTGAAGAAATCTAACAAGACAACTTAAACAGAGAGTAACATATCTTAATTATCCTAAGCAAAATTTCACATCAAAAGTTTAATATAATCAATGAGGATCAGATTCAGAAAAAAAATCTTCCTCTATTAACACCAAATGATAAACATGAAAATTTCTTAGGCAAGCCAAATTTATCAAGACTAAACAGAAATTAAAAGAAAAGGCGAGATAGGGGAAGAATATAACAATACCATAAGCGAGAACCAGGACCGTATTTCTTAGGATGAGAATTCCAGACGTTGGAGTGACCCATTCTCGTCGACTGCTCTCTGCTCACAGCTCAAAGCGATTAGATCAAGAAGACGAGACAAGTGCGGCGCGAGAGAGGGATAACCAAATTTGTAAACCCTAGTTATTTGTGGTCCTCAAATATGTATGGGCCTTATATATGGGCCTAATCACAAGTAGACTAGCCTATTCTCAGATTAGCGCTACTAAATTTTCACTTATACTATTATTTAATGGTATACCAAGCGTATATATGGGCCTAATTACGAGGCTTATCTAGAAAACTTAGCCCATTCTCAATACTAGCTCTACTACATCTCCCTGAATCCTGATTGAAGCAGAGCACTAGTCCTAAATATGTATACTTTAAAAAATAAAACAGTTTATGTAAAATATTATTTGAAAAATAAGAAAACTATATATTTTAAATAATTTTATATAAAAATAAATTAAAAAAAAACATTTTTAAATAAAGAAATAAATGTTAAAAATTTAAATTATGTATACTTAAGAAAATAAAATAGTTTATCATAAATATTATTTGAAAAAATAAAAAAACATCAAAGTTAAATAATGATATAAAAATATAAAAAAAGAAGCGTTAAAATTTTTAATTATGCGTAAAACATATTAAACCTAGAACACCTCTTAAGCAGTTGGATGTTGTATCCAATTAGTTTACAAAAAAAATAAAAATTTAACACTTATCTTTAAGAAAATAGTTTATCCAAAATATTATTTAGATTGAAAAACCTTAAAATTTTAATAGTAATATAAAAATAAGTTTAAAAACATTTTTAATAAAAAAACAAGTGTTAAAAATTTATATTATGTGTAAACCATGTAAAACCTAGAACACCTCTTAAGGGTTTGGATGTTGTGTCTAATTAATTTACACAAAATTTAAAAATTTAACACTTATCTAAAAAAAAAACCATAAAGTTTTATTAGTAATGTAAAAATATGATTCTAAAAACATTTTTTAATAATAAAAAAAACAAGTGTTAAAAATTTATATTATATGTGTAAACCATGTTGAACCTAGAACACCTCTTAGGGGTTTGGATGTTGTGTCCAATTAGTTTACACAAAATTTTAAAATTTAACACTTATCCAAAAAAACTTAAAAGTTTAAATAGTAATATAAAAATATGAGTTTAAAAACACTTTTTAATAATAATAAAAAAACAAGTGTTAAAAATTTATATTATGTGTAAACCATGTTGAACCTAGAACACTTCTTAGGGGTTTGGATGTTGTGTCCAATTAGTTTACACAAAATTTAAAAATTTAACACTTATTAAAAAAAAACATAAAGTTTTAATAGTAATATAAATATATGATTTTAAAAACATTTTTAATAAAAAAAATTAGTGTTAAAAATTTATATTATGTGTAAACCATGTTGAACCTAGAACACCTCTTAGGGGTTTGGATGTTGTGTCCAATTAGTTTACACAAAATTTAAAAATTTTAAACTTATTCAAAAAAACTTAAAATAGTAATATAAAAAGATGAGTTTAAAAACATTTTTTAATAAAACAAAAAAAAACAAGTGTTAAGAATTTATATTATGTGTAAACCATGTTGAACCTAGAACACCTCTTAGGGGTTTGGATGTTGTATCCAATTAGTTTACACAAAATTTAAAATTTAACACTTATCCAAAAAAAACTTAAAGTTTTAATAGTAATATAAAAAGATGAGTTTAAAAACATTTTTAATAAAAAAAAAAACAAGTGTTAAAATTTTATATTATGTGTAAACTATGTTGAACCTAGAACACCTCTTAGGGGTTTGGATGTTGTGTCCAATTAATTTACACAAAATTAAAAAATTTAACACTTATCAAAAAAGAATATAGAAAAGGAAATTAAAAAAGAAATACCTTTTGATTGACGAAAGAGATCCCTTGACGAAACCCTAAGATTTCTAGGTGACTCGTCGGAGCCATGGAAACAGTACCAAACACAGATCATGATTTGTTTCTCTACTCGCTAGTTACTTTCACTGTCCTTGTCTTCTTTATATCCTCTTTCCCGCTTTCGCATCCTTGGTCGTGGTCGTGTTCTCCTTCGCCGTCAGAATGCACCGCCTAACTTGACATAAAATTGATCTGGATTGACTTAAGATGTAGTCACAACAGAGGGTTTTGAGATCAATCACCAAAAAGAGATGATTTATGTTCCGATCAATCTTACGGTGAAGTTGTTGCAGAGAACATCGGCTTACTTCATTGTCTACATAGATCATCGGCGAACCTCTCTTTATGATATTGGCAGAGCTTATAGTTCGAGAAGAGAACTACAAAAAGAAAAAGATGATTTTTTTGGTTTTGATTTCGAAGAAGAAAAAAGAATGGAGAACTTTGATCTCTCATGGAAGAAGAGAGAATGACCTAAGTGTCTTTATATAAGCAACGTTTGTTCAATGGAAAAAGGAAAGTTTGGACTATTTCCTTTTTTTCAACGAGTGTCGGATATTTCCTTTTCTTATTTGAGTTTCAAAACGAAAAAGGAAATTTATCATAAGAGTAACAAACAAAATAACTTAACCGTTTACTTTTAGAATCAGTAATAAACAACAAAATCAACTTTAAAAAGCGATTTGATCCCACAAAAATAAACTTTCAGAAAGTTACAGTTTTACATCTGTTACAAAAGCTAATGATAATCATCGAATTTTTTGAAACAAAACAGCAACCAAGAAGTGTCTTTTTTTATGTCTTATGCATAGCTTTGTTCAAAATCAATACTTTAGAGTTAGTCAATTAAATTTATGTGCAAATCTCTGTTCTTTTGCTTTTATAAGCAAATTGCATGAAGAAACTACAAAAAAAAAAGTGAAAGACGAATGTAATACCAACTACCAAGCTTATCATTTTTCTACCTAATTCATCATCTCATATGTTAAGCACGCCTACAACTTTTTGACATCAATAGTAGTACAACGAAGCCTGCCCTTTTTGGCACAAACCAAAGTGACATTTCCGATCAACAAATGAGGCCAGAGCCAAGATGCAGTAAAAAAATTGGTGATGATCACACTCAATGAGGGATTGTTCTCAACTTATTTATCTGCCTTCTGAAATCAAACTCACAATCCTCAATTCACTTTCTACATATTCGAAAAAAAAATCAAATCTTATCAACAGGAGTCCGCTAAAGTGGTAAAAGAGAGATCAGTTCCTCGGGAGGGCCTTTGAGCAGCTTGTTCTCACTTGTCCTAGTGGACCAGTCAAAACATGATTGCTTGACAGTTTCATCATAGACATAGCAAATTCTCTGCGGAACAACAGAGGATCAGAAGCATATGCCCTCACCCACATCTCAGTCACCTCACTACCCATTAGTTGCTGGTCAGAAAACAGCAACCCTTTCTTCTGCATCAGTCTTCTGAAGTAGCGTGTTCCAAAATTTTCATCACCACCTTCATTGTTGTAGCTCAAGTCAATCACTTCATCGTTCCTTTTTCCTGAGCTCATACCGTAGCTGTTTTCGGAATCTGATGCAGGTAAGGACGGTAGTAAACCAGTGCCAGGGGAAGCAGATGGAGATGAAGCCGAGACAGAGAAGGGGCATTTGGTTTTCAGTTCTTGGAGGAACCCTGGATTGAGTTCAGGGTCAGGCTTCCCGGTTGCTGAGAAGTTGTAGAGGCGATTCTTAAAAAATGTGCAATGCGTGATGCCTATGCTGTGTGCTCCTGCATTAAGATCATTCAGAAGAAAAGAATCATGTCACAAAGAGTCAACCATTTCCAAGAAGTGAGGAATGCCCCAATACGACACTATTTAGCTAAGCAAAGAGAGATGTTGATATCTAAAAGTGAGAAATTACCAAATAAGCTGACGGTTTCTCTCTCGTTGAATCCTCTGACAGAAAACCTTTCAAGAATCTCCGAGAGAGTAGCGTCTGGTGCAGGAAGCTGTTGTTCTGCAATCTCCCTGAAGGCTGCTGCACTATCCTTCCTTCCAGTTTCTAGAGGATAAAATGGACCACCAGCCTGAGAGTTTCAAAGACATTATTAAGCGTTGCAGAAGTATTAACATGCACAAACCAGAAGAGAGAGTGAGGCAATTTACCACTAGGACTGCTTCTCTAGCTGCCAATACAAGAAGGTCGGCGCAGGACACAACTCCGGGACAGACATTCTCTAGCTCAGACTTAATGGCGTCAATCACATCAAAGCCTTTCAAGGATAGGTTTGGAGATGCATCTTTCTCAGAAGTATGTGCTTCATCTGCGTCTAGAAGGACTGATGCATCACATCCCTGCAGCAAAAACACAATTCACCAAATTGTAGCATGAGCAAACTACAACAAGTGCTAAAGAAAACACAGAATTTGATAAAAACTGAGCAAATCCAAACTGTAACATGAGCAAATCTGAGGATCAAACACATAACTTCTGCATATCCGTATTTGATTCACAAAGCATGCTAATAACATCAAAACTTGAGTATCAAACACATAACTTCTGCATATCCGTAGCCAAGATTGAGAGATAAACACCTAAAATCTACTGAGAAAGCATAATTCCACTGACAGATATGAACTCAAATCTGAGATAGAGATATCACAATCGAACATTCCCGAAACAAGATCCCAAACAATCTTCCACAGATCGAGCTTAGCGAAATCAAAATTACAAGAAAGGGAAAGCCAGATATCAGAAAATCTGACCTCGATGAAGCAATCGTGAAAGAGGAGACGGATAAGAGACGGAGCCACGCTGGGTGTGACATTGTAGATATCTCTGCTAGCTTTCGCGATGATTTTCTCGGCGGTAGGGCAAGATTCACGGTAGTAATCGTAGTGGAGGTGAGATCGATCGATATCTTCAGCGATTGACATGTACATGAATTCATCTTCGAAGAGAGATTTCTCGGAAACCTTACCTCCGTTACGATTTCCCGGTGAATCGTTCGCGAAACGAAATTCGACGCCTTTAATCGCAAAGTAGATGCTGAGAGCGATAACGGAGCAAGTAAGTAAAGCGATCTTGTAGTCTCCGAGAAACCTCATTCTCTCCTCTTCTTCTTCTGATCTTTCTTAGTCTACGATTGTGATTTGGAAACTTTCGAGAAGTGTGAAATTGGAGATTATGAGCTAAAGGAAGGAAAGAGCGGGAAATCGAAACGAAAGGACGAATTTACCCTTGCTCCTCGATTAGTCGGTTCGGTGATTTGTTACAGGACGGTTAAGTTTACGAAATGTCGAATTTACCCTTGTTGTTTCAGTGTGGCTTCGTTCACGAGGGAGCTACAATCTGGTGTTACAAGAACACAGTACACATCATACTCTCGGAGATTTTGTTTCAATTTTATAACAAAATAACAACAACAACAAAATGTGTATCAAGAGACTATATAGAGTACTAGTTAATGTTAGAGGTTTTATTATTCTAAGACTTGTAAGAAAGAGTACTATCATTTTCACATTTAGTCTGTAGGATCAGTCAAAACATTACTAGAATTTCTCGAGCTTGCTATTCAAAAATTGAACCGAACGATACAGTGTCTAGAAACAAAAAGAGAAAATTGGTTGGAGCATTATAGTCATCAAGGTGATCACATCTCAAGTTTTGTAACTTTCTATTGTCGATGTTAATTTTTGGTGTACTTGTCTCCTGCATCATGATTAATGGATTTGGATATAGTGTGGTTGGTTGGTCCAATAAAATTTTAAAACACACAATTTAACGGAAAAGATTATTAAGAAAAGGTATTGTATAATTTGTTTCTTACGAATTTGGAAGGGTTTTTATTTTCATTAGCTGTCATTTCAATAAATTTTTTGATTAATTCTTGTAATTATAAATGATCAAATTTAGTGTATTTTAGGGAAAACTCAAACTTGAGCGTATTATTCCAAAATTTAATAATTATAAATACATGTGGAACTTAAAAATAAAATATAAAGGATATGAGAAAAGTAGGAAGGTAGAAACAGTCACCGTTTATGGGCTTTGGTGTCAAATAAACTATGAAATTCTAAAAACTAATACTATAACTTACAATTATTATATGGTATAATGAACCGATCTTTATATATTGTTTTGTTAAAGATCTTTAAAAATGGTTTACTCTAATTTTCTTATAGAATAAAAGTGTAGGATATAAGACAACAATATGACTTGTTCCTACTTTGTAATGCTATATTAATTGTAAAACAAAGTTATTCAAAGATTAACATTTTTTTGTAGCTGTTAACATCAAAACAAAGTTCCAACCATACAAATATATTCATGAACCGGTTGACAAAATTAAAAATAATAATTCCATGAACTAAGTCAACCCGTAATTTAAGAAGTGACCAAAAATCCAAAGTCAAATTCTACTTTAAAAAACTATAACGCCAATATATACAATTTTGCAGTTTTGCAATTAACATATTTATATGTTGTATCTATCAATCTATGTGTCCTAAATGAACTAGACTACCTATTATAATATAGTTGAACTTTTATTTTAAAAAGTTTTTGTTAAAATTTTCTTACAACCATTTATTTAATTGGCTTTTATTAGTAACATTAAATTTAAATGGTGTAATAAAAAAATTAAGATGGTAAAATAGATAGTGATACAACTAAAAACGATAGAAAATGAAGTACAACTATAAACACACACAGAAAATGATGGTTATGCTACCATACTATATATTCTAGTTTAGGTATGAAATTTGTACTACTATGGTATACAAGTTTACAAAGCAAAAAACTGGTACATCGTACGGTATCGATTCTGTAGTTTTGTACTGATTACATGTACTATTTGATCGACGGGTTACGAGGTAGGCAATACAACATTTATCACCTTCCTATGAGACACCAATTAGAAGTACTACAGAGTTTTTCGGTTTTATTTGTTGGTTTTGATGGTTTTTAAAATAAATTCTACGACTGAAAATACCATAAAATAAGACATTAATTAAATTTTAATGCGTTAAGGATTTCTTAATCGCTTTTAAAGTTGGCTGTTTAAAGTATATACTCCCTCCGTTTCGTTTTAGTTGTCGTTTAAGATTTTTTCACATAAATTAAGAAAACATTAAATTTTCTGTTTTACCCTTTATTAATATATTTTATAAAAAATTTAATTAGCCAAAACATTAAAACAGTAGGGATAAAACTGGAATTTTCACCAAACATTTGCATTGAAAACCTAAAACGACAACTATTATGAAACAAAATTTAAATCCTAAAACGACAACTAAACTGAAACGGAGGGAGTATAAAGTTGTAAGACAATAGTTGTAATTTGTCATAAATCCATCAAATAAGTAGAAATAAAGATCATGCATCTGATATTGATTGCCATGAGTATGATTGATTGCGATAATATACTAGTAGGAAGAAAGTTGGATATGCTATTCTAGTCGCTTTTTAAATGCTTTGAACTATTAGACAGAAATCGGAAAAACGGTCTATTTCCCCCCGACAACTATCGTATCTGGCCAGATAAAGCCCGATCTTTGACCTCTGTCTATATACCCATGAAACGGAAGTTAAATGTTTATTTCCACACCAATTGAAAGATCGAGAGATTAATGTCCATGAATCCTAAGTTCGAGATTTAAAACCCCATAGCGCTGGATTTAATTGGTTTATTGTATACCAAACCGATGCTTTAACCGATTATACCTAATTAGAACCAGCAATTTCAACTAGTTAACCACAAATCCAACCCTACAAAACCCAACCGACCCAACTTCTTCTTCTTCACCAAATTTTTCCTGAGCTAATATCATCGCTGGAAGCGACTCTAATGGCGCAGCAAATCGAAACCAATGTGGACAAAAGCAGCTCCTCCAAATCTCATCCTCTCTCTGTATTGCCCACCAACGCCTCTCCGTCTTCCTAAACTCCATCCCATCGGTGGGATCGAGTCGAGAAATCTCTCTCCTCCGGCTATGCGTGATTGTGACTGGAGAGGCCGAGAGGGAATTGGTTCTTTCATCGGCGCTGGTGATGTTTTGATAAATTTCATACTTTTTTCAATTTCAAATAACGGATGAGGTGATAAAGTTCGTGGGCTCTTTGTCGAATTCGAGCAAGCTTTGTTTAATTTGAAACCAGATAAAGGAGAGAATGATCCGGGTATGTGGATGAGTGAACCTAATACCACCCGAATTGAATCGGGTTTTGAAGCTCCGGCGTTGAATAATGGTGATGGCTCCGACGTTGAATGAAATTTGCTGGCGGAGTGGGTTCTTTTCCGGTTTGCTTCATCATCTTCACAAACTTTCAATGCTTTCTCATGAATTCTAGGCTTCTAGTACTCAATTTTGTCATGAATCAAAAATTCCCAGAAACTGAAATGAAAATAGAAAAAGCCTTGATTGAGATTGGGAACGTGATAGAAACAGAGAGAGAGGGAAGAGAAAGAGATAGAGACATAGATTAATTAAATAGCAAATGGGCACAAACGAATTTCTTGAATCGTGAGATTATGTTACGTCGCATCCTTAGATTCATAAACGCGGCTGAGTAAGAAGAGTAGAGAATTGTTGCAGGTTAGGAGAAGAAGGGAGAGGGGAAGAAGAAGAATAAATGGGTCAGTCGGGTGGGGTTTTAGATTGGGTCGGGTTATAGGTCAACCAGTTTTTAGTTTGGTTATATTAGGTTTGTGTGGTTTACGCACTGAACCGACGAAACCAGGATTCATGGACATTAATCTCTCGAACTTTCAATTGGTGTGAAAATAAACATTTAACTTCCGTTTCATGGGTATATAGACAGAGGTCAAAGATCGGGCTTTATCTGGCCAGATACGATAGTTCTCGGGGGGAAATAGACCGTTTTTCCACAGAAATCTCAAAAAACTTAATTCAATATCCTTTTATATCATTTATATTCGAACTCTTGGCAAGGTATAACTGTTATTTCTATACTATATAAGATAGTCTAAACACTAGTCTATTCTAAACACAGCTATTGCATGGGAAGAATTATATTAAAAAAACCCGACTGTGGAAAATCAAATACGAAGAATTAATTAGTAATGAATATTCCGTTGTAAAATTATAAACTATACATAAACTGTGAATTGGTCTTATTCATGAATATACGTGTGAGAATGAACATGTTGCGGCCGAAGTTTTTGAGTGGTCTTATTTCATCCTTCACAATTGTTCGTCAGATGAGTGCCTTGATAAATTGATGAGCATTCGGTTTTCGCATCACTGCTAATTTTGGAGAAGAGGTTTTTCTCTAAAACATATTTAGCTACCGCAGAAAAGGATTTGGTTGTAATTTTCTTTGGAATGAACTTACCGTTTAGCAAACAAATTGAAAATATACCGCCTAAAATACAAAAATATCACACACATGCATTTCAACCATAGTGATGTACACTAAATTTGAATAATATAAATTCAATGGAATCGTTTCTTTAATCTAAGTTACTTTGTAGAGTTATTAGCACATTCACATTTTCAACTATTACCAAACTTCGGATTCCTTCTTTGGGGCCTCTTTTTTATTTTCACAATATCTCTACATTCGTTAGGTATTCTTCTAAAATAAACAATCATTTTTAGACTGAAATATAATGTACATACATCCGTTGATCATTATTGATAATACAAAACCATTAAATAAATGGTGATCAGATTGAGTATATGATATAGATGATGATCCCGATAACTAGAAACATCTATATCTAAAAAGTAATTAAACTATCGCTTATGTACTATTAGAACTCGATTGAAAAACTAGAGCATACGAATTGGGATGTGATTAAAACAGAAAGAAAATATATAAAAAAACGAATGTGACTCTCCATTTCTCTCATATAGAACATCGTACGAGAAATTATAATCGAACTCGTCCGAAGGCGGAGAATGTATTAAAAAAGAAAAGAATTTTACATTTTTGGTTATATATAAGAGAAAAATTCCAACTAAAATCACAAGTTTTGTGCTTCATCTCGGTGAGCTGAGACCAATGTCCATCCCGTTGAAAGCAATTGGCGCATACATCCATAGATCATCAGAGCTCAATAACTGCGTAAATTATAATTTAAAATATTTGTTAGATCATATGTAACACATTAACATACAAAAATAAAACGTTGTAATTAAAGACCTTGTTTACCTTAATTTGGAGCTGCAAAAATTTGACGTAATGAACAGCTTCCTCAAGCATCGTACTGATATCAACCTGTTACATATTTAAGAAATTGTATATGTTTAGAATCTTTATTAACAATTTTTTTGTATAATACTGTTGCAGGTAAAGAACCATATATATCGTCTGCATGAGTTTTTACCTTTGTTCCATTAGGGACGAGATTTTGTAAAATCCTTAATCTCTCGTTAATCCTTTCTCTTCTTTTCTGCACGACAAAAGAAAAAACTGGATTAATTTTTTGAAACACAATCTTCCATAAATTTTGAAGGTATCCACGTAAAAACATGTCGTAAACCGCTTTTCGGAAAGAAAAAAAATATTTACCCTTGCATAGAGGCTTTGAGGATCGGTGGCTGCACCACGACTGGCTCTGGTTTTGCCATTGAGATTGAGGGCCTTTGAGGCATCATCTTCCTTGGAGGATGAGTCTTCTCCTCCACCGTCTTGATCAGCGCAGTTTGATTCTTCCTCCGTACAAAAAGTGGTGCTTGAGTTCTGTCTACTCATCATTGCCCCATTCTTTCTTTTCTTCAACTTCTCTCCTTCTTCCTCTTCCCCTCCATTATTATCCCCACTCATTTCTATGTTCTTCTGGCTCCTCTTATTCACTCTTGCTCTCTTGTTTTTCTGAGTCCATTGCAAAAATGTTTCTATATTAGTCAATAAACCAAATAACTAAATGTGATCTCTGTAATTTACAACCAGTTAAAAACTTAAGACCGATATAAGACTTACATCATTAGATGTGGCACGGGATCTTTTTTTGGAGCCGGTGAGAGATTTTTGATGATGATCAGTAGTAGTCACAGAGATCTCAGATTGCAACAAGCTTTCCTCGTCATCTTGGTTTTCCACTACGGTTTCCAAAGGCATAAGAGTCTTTCCAGAGGTATATTTCTCAACGTCACACTCACTTGTCTCCTCACCAACAAGGTAGGAGTTTGTGTTGATGGTCACATCTTCCATCCCAAAGTCCATTGTCCCATTTTGGTTTTCTTCAGCCGCGGGTGGAACAACGGTGTAGTATCCGCTGTTCCCAGCGCTGTAGCTGCTGCTCTCTTGAGAGAAGCAGAAACTACCGGCTTCAGACACGAGGCTAAGATGGTTGTGATGAGAACCAAGGTTCCAATACAAGCCTTGGTGGTGATCACCACCGGTTGCACCAGAGGATGAGCCGGTGCCAGGATGATCATAAGAGGCAAGGAGCTGGTTCATGAAATCGGCCTCCTCGGTTGCATAAGTGTACATTCCTCCGAGGTTGGTGCTCCATTCTCCCATGGCTTCCATTTTATTTGTTTTGTTAACTAAGCGTCTTAATTAAGAGATTAATCTTAATTAAGAAGATCGTTAGTTGGAAGTCTTGTGAGAAGTGAGGGAATGAGGGAGAGGAGTTGGAATGTATATATAGAAACATGAGAGTTAGTGGATAAATGTCAACACATAATGACACCAGTTACGATCATCTTTCTAATTAATTTATAAATAACCAAGTCTGGGATACCCTTAGATATGGACAGCTAATTATGGTGGGCTCTGCAACTTGGTCATGAAACATTAAGTTTAATATACATTTGTCGTTTATGACTTTGGTTTTCCGCTTGTTCATTGCTCCACATATATATATTAAAATACATCGTTTTTGCGTTAGTTCTTGGAGAAGCTGTATACTCCTATCACGAGATTTTGAGGACTGACTTCGGATAGGTATACTCGTGGCATCAACGATGAGGACTCCAGTTCCTCGGTTCTGTGACAACCACGCAAATTTCTGGGTTTCGCGATCTCAGAATCGGTGTTTCTTCTCGCGTCTTTGCCATGTTAAATCAGCAGCGATCCGAATCATTTTGAATAGTAATGTTGTTTTTAATTTTCTGTAGTGTGCTTTAACATTTTTAGTAATCTCTGTAACTTCTGTCACAAATTCAAAATGGTATAAAATTTCACCTTTTACCAAAAATAAAAAATTAATAAAAAAAAAAAATTGAATATGCTTTTAGTTAGCATTAGGTATTTAGGTTTCTGGTTTACCAAAGCGTTCGTCTAATAAGCCATAAACAGTTCTTTAACTCTTTGCAAACTCTCTTTCAAATAAATAGTAGAAGCATATATTGAAAACTCAAGATCGAATAGTAGTGAATTTATATTAGTGAATTCTTTGCACACTACTATGACTCAAATTATTGGGGACACTGAACTTACGGTCGGACCGTTCTAGCAGCGCCAATCCGTTGAGATCGCGAGTTTTCATGTTGAGTATCGAGTAAATACAATCCACAAGTGTTGATCCACCTTCAAAAAAACTTCATATATGATACCTATGAATATTTTCCCTCTAATGACATATTAGGTCCCCATATAGTTCAACCTGCCATGATATAAGAAAGGCTTGTTTTTATATTAATAGTAAAATAAATTTTTTTCTCCAATATTCTACATATAGTAAGAATATTCCTATCTATTGATTAAATATAAATGTATTATTGCTTAAACTAAAATTCTGCATAATGACACTACGTATTAAAGTATTAAACAATTTTTTACCTCACAAAACTAACAAATAATCAAGTAACTATTGGGTCTAAGAGTGGAAAGAATTATATCTTCCCATTCACCCGCTGATGATAACAAAAAAAAAACATATACTTTTTCTAAAAATTAAAACTTCTCCAAAAGTCGACCAAAAAAAAAAAAAAAAAAAAAAAAAAAAAAAAAAACTTCTCCAAAATCCTTAGAAATTTTAAATAAAATATATTTAGATAGAAGTAGATGCCCATATCCATATGCTATTCGATTTTCACATTACGAAGATATAGAAATGTGTACAATGTCTCTTTCTACTTTAACTTTTATCTTAATTTCTATATTTGTTGTCAACTGTGTTTTTTTCTTTTGAATATGCATAACACTGGATTAACGTGCTAATGTTTTTAAAATACATTACAAAATCATGCATACTCTAAAGGCCTAGACGGCTATACATATTTCTCCTCTAGTCGATGATTAAATCATGTAAACTATAATTTTGAACCAATCAATGATGGATTAAAGAGGTACGACTTATGAGAGAGAATGATTGTGTTTGTCAGTTTGTGTATTATGACAATATTTGGATTATCCTAATTTTTAGTTGTCATTATATATATCAAAACAGAAATAAACTAAGGAATGGAATATTTCGACAATAAGCGTAATTCAATTTTAGGTCAAGTTGATGCAAGATTAGAAATCAAGCCTATATTTTGAAAAACGCGTAACTTGTAGTGACCCAAAAATAACGGCCGGATTTTTTCCATCTATAGTGTGATTTGAAGTTTTAAACTACATCTTTTCTTTTTTTGCTTTTGTTTAAATGATTTTTTTTCCTACTATATATCTTTTTGTTTTGATGTTGTGTTTTTGATGAAATATCTAAGAATTATCCATCTAATTTATGCAACTAAGTAAATTAAAGCTCTTCCTTTATGACTCTAACTTTACCAACTTCGACTAATTTATAAGTGTTTAGTTTATAGTTATTTATCATCTAAATAAGAATAGAGAACTCTTTTTTGCTTAATTTGTCAAGTTCCGTGGATAAATTTAAAAAAAAAAAAAAAAAAAAAAAAACTTCGCAGTAGAAAAGAAGGGTTAATGAGTTGGAGAATGTCAGAATGAGAATGAAAGAGAGAGATAGATTGCGAAGTGGAGAATCAGAGACCTAGTTGTTGAACGTGACAGTTTTTGTGTCATAATTCTGTTTTTTAAATAAGGGAAAAAGAATGAAACTGAGTTATTTGGATTTTAACAAAATTAAGTTATAATTGGTTAGGTTGAGTCAACCACTGGACGGCAGATCGTGCGCGTGGAAAGTCTAAAAGCTCATATGATCCATTCTTGTTATTAAAAAAAAAAAAACCACACACTATCTCTCAGTTAATGTCTTTTTAAACCCTGCACATAGTAAAATTTAATCGTTTTTTGGAAGGTAAAATTAGGGAATATTGTTTTTTCTTTTTGACCATTAGATCGACAAAGCCCGATATATAGTCAATCCCTATTGCGCGGAGTAACGCGATTTAGTGGAGTCGAACTCCTGTGGAGAAAGCGGAGAGGAAATATTGTCTAATCTATCATATTTTTGGTTTATCACTTTACATAATAATTTTTTCGAATCTATCACATTATAATTGTGGACGGTATTATGGTATTAAAATGACCGCTTTGTGTTAGATTAGAAAAACAGTTTTGTGTCAGAGAATAAAAACAAAAGCGTTACATTAAATGAAGTTTCATACTTCATCTGTACCAAAAAGATTGATTTTATAGACTTTTCGCACCAATTAATTAAGGAAAACATTTAATGTTTAGTTATAAATGCATTATTTATTTATACCAAACTATTTCTCATAGTTATTAACCAATATCAATTTATCGAATTTTAAAATTCTCAATTAATGATTTTTGAAATTCACAATTTATTAATATTAATTGATAAAAATTTACAGAAAATCAATATTTTTGATACAAAAATAAAACCTCAAAAATCAATCTTTATGATACAGAGGGAGTATCTTTTTAACTTTTACATTTTATATTATTTTCTTTTACATTAAAATTCTACATAATTTTGATTACCATCTCTTTTCTAAATATTTTTGTAGAGAAAAGATAACAATAACAATAATTTCTCATATGCATGAGTTCTTTTTTATTTATGGTTTTCATATGCATGAGTCCACAAAAGTAATTTGTACGGAATATGGTCCCAAAAACTATTTGAACGAACAAAAATAAGCAAAGAAAGGTGACATGCAAGATGAGAGCGTATTGGTAAGTTGTACTTAGCAAGTGACAAAAAGATACCGGTAATTTTTTGGATATGAAGCTGGCTAGGCGCATAAATTTTAATCTTATGATAAACTAGATGCCCATATAAAATGTGTGTGTGTGTGTGTGTTTAAAAAAAAAAAAAATCAATTTGCTTTTTTCATTGTAGAAACAAAAATATTATTGTTCTCTTAGTTTCCATCGATCTCTTGACAAAGAGGTGTAAATACTCCTAATATCATATAAGATTAATTTAGTTCTCTGAACATTTATCGCCACCACAGTCCACATATAAGATCACAAGAAAACGGTCCTTACCCAAAGCACACGAATGGACCTCAGCTAAAGTTGGTTTGTTTCTTAAATCGCTAAGTGAATAGCAGTTTCCCCTACAATATTAGCTTATTATTGAAGATTCAAAAAAGAATAAGACAGTTTCCTACGAAAATTATAAACGTTAATATCCTAACAAAACTCTTAAATATAACCCTTTAGGTGTATGCAGGAATCGCTAAAGAGACTAAATGAGCTTTTGGGTGATTGTTTGAGAGCTAGATGACGTAATTAAAATAACAAAACAAACCAAATATCGACCCTTATGCATAACTTAATTGTATAGAGTTTCTTACTATTACACTTTTTTTTTTGTTTTTGTTAATTTATTCTTACTATTACACTTAGTCAATTCAAACCTGATATTAAGAAACAACTATATATAAATCTTACTGTATAAATTCCGTTTCGTATGTGTGAATTTATGTAGTACAAAAAAATGATGCATGGCTTCATCAAAGTAGAATGAAAACTCAAGGAATTGCATCCCCGAAAAGGATATAATAAAGAAGAACATATGAAAAAGAAACTGACAGAGTTTCATAAAATGTTCTATGAGTACCTATGTATGTCTAATATCAGTCAATACACATTACATTATAGTTTGCATAAAATTTATCTATTTTATTCTGGATTCAATAGAATAAAATCTGTGCACAGCTCGAAAGACCCAATTGGGTAATCAGATCAGATTTTTTCCTTGACTAATGATTAGAAGATTAAAATTATATTGCTCGAACTATTTACTAAAGTATTGTTTTGGGAGATTACTTCTTTAAAGCAATCCTTGCACGCACGACCAAACATTATTGCATATCAAACAAGTATTTTTTTATTTTTAGAATAAATAAAAACATGTATTATTATGTTTTATTAGTAATTCTTACAATTTCTTTGTTGGGTAGTTAGCTGGCAATTTGATGCCCCTTAAGAATTTAAAAAAGACAAACAACCACTTTTTTATTCTTCATAAATATGTCGTTTCAGTTAACATGGACGTTATTTTGTAATTTTAAACCTAGTTATTTCTTGTGTTTGTTCAGTACTACTATTTTATGGATACTAATTCTAGAGAACAAATACCAGAAGTTAATCGGAAGAATAAAATTCCAATCTTACAGCTTTGTCTTTTCCAGTAATGAAGAATTTTCTTAAATGTTTATTCTGCAGAATTACTTATAATTACTTATTCAATCCGTGTATATATAAATATATATATACTCAATCCGTATACCTATCCTATATTTAATTATTGCAATGTAGGAAATAACTTGGAAAAGATGTATATATTTGATACTTTAAACATTATATTTAATATGCCTGAAAAACTCTGAATATATATATATATATATATTTATCTTGTGAAATAGGGAAGTATTGGATGACATTGATCCCTTTTTTCTTGACTAAAAATACTAAAAATTTTAAATTACACATTTTATGACAGAATGTTTAGAAATGCACCCGTAGAAAGTGGAATAGTGATAAAATAGCCATGATTTTTTTTTTTTTTTTTGATAAACCCTATCGGCTATCCGGTCGGCCTCGGTAGGAACGCACCGTGGTGCTACATAGTGGACTGGTCCACCGTGTTAACGGTTAGGCCCTTACGGGCTACCACTCTGCCTATCCCAAGTTTGGAATGCCTTCCGACTAAGTGCCAGGGGGTAGTCAGGCCGCCTGCATTTCTGGCTACCAGGTAAACCAATTGGGCCAAAGCCCAACTGACAGACTTCCCAAACAAATGTGTTTTTGTTTCTAGGGAGAATCGAACTCAGGTTTGGGAGTTTCATCCTTTCCCAAAGCTTCCTCTGCCACTAGACCACAGATGCTTGGGCAAAATAGCCATGATCAAACTCATTCTTATCCAGCAAGCCATGTAAACTTGGTGCATCCAAATGTTCAAAAATAATGCTGTTAGATCCATTCCTCTTATTAGAGATGAGAACAACACTATTTTGCTGAAGTTAGTATTATGGAGTCCTTAGTGAAATCTTCAAGTTTGGAAAATAAGATTATTAATTTGCGATAATGAGGTTAATGTAACGAATCCTGCCAAACATAATTAGAGATCAAGGTACAACGTGTGTCGGATATTCCTCAGCATCATTATTCATAATCAAATTTTAAGTATGTTTATTAGACACACTTTAAAGATAGACGTAGACGCAAACCACACGCATATATTAGAAAAATGTAACCAAGTGGTGGTGGTCCAGTGGTTTCCACTTGCAGAAGAGCGACTCTGTTGGTCCAGGGTAGGGATCGACTCCCTGCAAACGCGACACTTCTGGATTTTACCCCATTTGGCCATTGCCACGCCCTTAGCGATGGGATAACGTGAACTCGGTATGTAAGGCCACCAGGACCACACTTGAGGGCAATGCCCAATACGGTGCTAGTCGGGACCACCAGTAGTGGGGTCCGGACAACCTGGTTAAAAAAAAATATTAGAAAAATGATAAACGCAAAACAATACTGAATCATCAGAAAATCACATATGTTTTAACTAATAGTTAAAAAAAAAAAAAAAAAAAAAAAAAAAAAAAAAAAAAAAAAAGTGCACAACTTATGTCAGAAAATCACATTGTTTAAGTGGCTATGAAAAAACAAACATCTAACATCTAAGAAATACCGTTTAGACACCTAATTCTATTCAAATTTTACTTTGTAAGAAATTCAAACTAATCTCTCTGTTTAGCATATCAATAAGAAGCAATTATTTGATGTATCTTAATTAAATTTGATTCGGCTGACGATTGGTAGGTGAAGAGAATGTTTTTATTCGTTACTCTATATAATAATTTGAAATTATAAGACCACCTAATAATATATATTTGTAGCTCTTCTCTTCTTTCTAAATGGTTTCCTGATTTGATGATATAAGCATACGATTATTTCAGAATCTTTTAGTTTCATTTTTAAAACGTTTGTTACGGTTTGCGTCCGCCTCGTGCATTCGTCTTTTTCCAATTTATTGACCTCGACGTTTGGTGCATTGATTGATGTAGGACAAAAAGAATATATGACAACAATTGTCTATAGGCAACAAGTAACACTAACATTATTGAAAGGATATAAAACATGAATATATACGCTACGATAAATTTTGATCAAATCATATATAGGGCAGAGGAATATGAGTTCTTTGGTTACCGGAGTAGATCTCAAATCGAAACTTAGATTAATTTCCAAAATTGGTATTTGAAATGTTTATAATGACCAACAGAAACCACAATAATATTGATAAACAGTAAGCCTTGATCCACATTGATCCAAACGACGTCTTCAAACCATTCAAACAAAATTATTGGAGCTTAAAAATATGTCTCAGTGTAGTTAATAACTTAATATATACAATTTTTATATATTCAAATGTTTTTTTCCTTTCACTAAGTGGGCAGAACTCAGATTCAATTCTCCATGTTAACTATTCTTTATCATTATTGTTTTCTAAAATGATATGCATATATATATATATATATATATATATTGATTAATAAACATAATTGTGAGGTTCGAACCCATGACCTTCAAGACAAACCTCATATACATTACCAACTGATTAAGTTGTTTTATTACTATATGCAGATTTTAATTACCAAAATATGTGCTACTATTAGGAAGATGACTATCTAGAATTTAATTTTTTAAAATGAGCCAACAGAGAAAATCCTACCTTTTGTATGTATCACAACTTCGTGTTTCTTCTTTTTAAAGAAACCGATATTTGATTTAGTTTGTTTCAGTTAACCCATCAAACATATATTTAAAAATATGTTAGTTCTTAGTATTGTCTCTTGTTCTAAAAATTTCCGTCTATCTCGATTACTCCCGGTTTAATCGCTAGGTCCACTCTATCCGTCTCGATTAATGATTAATCCCCTAAAGAAATCAGTTAACCGATTACTCTCCGTCAAATCTGATTACTTCCCGTCTAATCTGATTACTCCCCGCATAATCTGACATACTCTGATTATTTTTAGAATGTAAGTATAAAAAAGCTTTTTATTTTTGTTATTCAATCATTTGAATTGAGAGTTTGTGATAATTTACAATAACTTATGTTCAAATTTTAATAAACATTATAAATTTATAATAAAAATCATAAAAATTTGTCTCAAAAATATATTTTTATGTGTATACTGCAATTTTCAAAACAATATTAGATTAATATATTTTAAAAATATTAAAATAACCTTAAAACTAATCCCCGATTAATCTCCGATTTTAATCCGATTTTCCGATTAATCACTAGGTCCATGCCGAACTCCCGACTAACGCCTAGCGATTTTTCGAACAAGGGTATTGTCTATTGATATTAAGAGCTGATATTACTTTTAATAATAATTTTGACATAATTTTTCAAGTAACTGGTTTTGTAATAGATTGTGATATTTCTCTTTCTGTTACTTCTAGATATCTTTAAGAAATACCTCTTTTGGATCTTGACAGCATTTTTTTGATTAACTTCTGAAAATCAAATACATAAAACATTCATATACCAAAAAAATAATATGGTTCACTCTGGATATTCTTCACCAATTAATTCTATACTTTTGACATTTCGTTTTTGTAACCTGTTAATTACAATTGACTTTTATCACCTATTAAATTATAATTGACTTTCGTTCAATGTATTTTAAATATTTTTTATTGTCTTTATTTTTGATGTTCACAGCTAAGGCATAAATAAGATGTACAAATGGAATTATCAAATTCAACTAAAATAAAATAAATCGAAGTACAAAATGGAGAACGGGAAAAGTCATTTTCATAGTATTTGGAGACTTAATTAAACAAAACTATGCACCACATACACAAATTCATACATATATCTATATGCATAACTTATATAAATTCACAACAGTCATAGTGTATTTGTATCTTTTAAAATCATTAGACACCGAAGCTGATATTTGTGACTGTTCCTTGTTCATTATATATATTTCTCTGTCGTTTTCTTAACTTCTACTTCTAATACTTTGACAGTTTTTTTTTACAAATTTAAAAGATTTGAAATCGCTTAGAACCAATCGTAATAAATATGACAACTTTACTGAAATCTTCCCCAAATCATATTGTTTTTTTAGTATTTTTTAGATATTAAAAAGCAAAAGTCATATTTATGAGTGATTATTGTAATTATTCCTAGTTTCACATCACTATTCAGAGCATTTTTCGTGTTGTAACATTTTTAAAATTTTGATTTTGCTATATATTTTAGATGTATTAGAAAAGTTTGAAGAAAAGAAATTCAACGTCATTAATGTACTAAAATCAACTTTAAAGATTTATTGATTATTTGTGAAAATTTATTCAGTTAAACTTAAATTGTTCCCGCGATTTTATAATCCGACAATTCTAAATAAGTGGGCCTGTAATATTCATATGACTTAAAAAGAAGAAGACTTAAATCCATTTAAATTGGGCCAGTAATATTCGGCCCATTATGGAATGAAAATGCGTTTCTTTTGGCTCTACTCGGACTTATTATATAAACTAACTATGAGCGCCGTCGCTTAGGAAAATTAGGGTTTTCAATTTTGTTTTAGAGTGTTTGTTGAATCGACGCCGCTGGTCCTCGTCTTCTAGCTTTGAGCTCTGAGGAATCGAAAATTATGGGCCACTCTAACGTTTGGAATTCTCATCCTAAAAAATACGGACCTGGATCTCGCTTATGGTAATGTTTCTTCTCTAATTGTGAAAAATAAAGCGACTTGTCATGTTTTTGATTTGTGTTTCTATAGCCTGCCTGTGTTTTCTGAATCTGATCTTCTACTGCGTAGTATTAGTGAATTGATTTGATCTGAGGAACACAAATTTCTGCTGATTTTAGTGTAATCTCTTAGTATTTGTAGAGTTTTCATTATAGAAATGTTGTAACTTTACTGTTACTGTTACTGTTAGATAGTCCTGGTTGATCTGGTTTCTTAAAAACTCAGGAGCGAAAAATTCATCTTTAAAACAGAATAAGTAGGAGCATGTTTTGTGGTCATGGTTTGTGTTGATTTTGAGGAATCTATTGATAAGCTTGAAATATCATGGATTTGTGTAGCCGTGTGTGCGGAAACTCCCATGGATTAATCAGGAAGTATGGTCTTAACTGCTGTAGACAGTGTTTCCGTAGCAACGCCAAGGAAATCGGTTTCATTAAGGTAAATAATATGTTGATGATTGTCTATTGTATCTCCCATGAGATTGACCCATTATGTTTCCTCACTCTCTTCTGGTTTTGTTTTCCTTTGTTTTGCAGTACCGTTAAAAGACCAATGGTGTTTATGAGGAGCAATCATTTGGTTGGGTTTTTTAAACTTTCAAGCTTTAAAATTGTAATGGATTTGATAAATGTTGAACTATTTCGATAACGCTTTTGAGCTGTTGAATCTTTTAGCTTCTTCCTTGTTTTGAACCCAGTCTTTGTTTTGAACCCAGTCTCTCTTTACTATTTGAGATGTGTGTTGCTATTATTACTCTGTTGATTGTGCTTGCTTAAGAACCATTTAACACTCTCTGTTAAAACGACCAAGTGACCAAGTATTTTGCAATGGTTGGTGGTATATTCACTAGCAGCAATGTGAACCAAACAAAGTATAAACAGCTGTTCACAGTTAACGATGTACTCAACGATTTATCACATTACAAGACAAGTGACAAACACATTAAAAGATAAATACATGAAGCAAATTTTATCTAACAAAATACAAAGTTTAGTCATAATGAGAAAACAATTTGAAGCTACAGTGTGAATACTTCCTTTTAAGTTTACGCACGTGTGAATTTGTCCAAAGTCCAACAGGTTTCTTAGTTTCTCTCACGTACGAAGAAGGAGACTTGGAACACGGAGAACCAAAAAACAGAAGAGAAGAGAAGATGAAACGAAGAAACAAACAAGATCATCCCTTTTGCCTTTAGGGCACAAAGGGGAAGCCTTTTTCACTGGGTATGTTTCTTCCCTAATCATCTATCTTCCCTCTTTCGATTCTCAAATCTCACGAAATTACCTCTCGCTTCGATTTCTTTCAATTTCTTCTTCGATTTCTCAATTCCTAGCTTACAGTCGATTGTTTCTTTACTCTCACTTTCGAAATTGTCCGAATTTTGATTCTCAGTATCTGATTTTTCAGGTATGTGTTAAGAATTTGGGGGTTTTAGGTTTTTGTTTCAGAAGAGAGAATCTGGGATCTTAAAAATCGAAACTTTGTAGATGTGGTTTTAGTTCAACACAAGTATAGAGTTGTGAAATTGTTGAAGATGGGATCAGATCAAGGTTCTTCCAGGTTAGATACGTTAGAGATTAAAGCTTTCATTTTCCGGGAAATTGGGCATCAAAGAGCTGAGAGTTACTTCCATCAGCTCGGAAGATTCTTTGCCTTGAAGATCACCAAATCTGAATTCGACAACTTGTGTATCAAGACCATTGGTAGACAAAACATCCATCTTCATAACCGTCTTATACGTTCCATCATCAAGAATGCTAGTGTTGCAAAGTCTCCCCCATCTAGATTTACGAAGAAAGGTGGGAGCTTTGTTAGATTTGGTAATGGGAATTCGAAGAACAGTCAAACTCAGCCGCTTTATGGAGATTCTGCGTTTTCTCCTTCGACTCGCAAATCCAGGTCAAGGAAGTTTAGAGACAGGCCAAGTCCACTTGGTCCACTTGGGAAGCCTCAGAGTCTAACTACGACAAATGAGGAGTCGATGTCCAAGGCACAAAGTGCTACTGAATTGTTGTCTCTGGGAAGTAGACCTCCCGTGGAAGTTGCGTCTGTGGAGGAAGGAGAAGAAGTTGAACAAATAGCAGGAAGTCCAAGTGTTCAGAGCCGGTGTCCTCTCACTGCTCCGCTTGGTGTTTCTATGAGTCTTAGGAATGGAGCTACTAGAAAGTCTGTTTCTAATGTGTCTATGTGTAGCAGTAGTTTCAACCGCGGGACTTGTCAGAACAACGGTGAACTACCTGATACAAGAGCGCTGAGGACTCGGTTGGAGAGGAGATTGGAGATGGAGGGGCTAAAGATGACAATGGACTCTGTTAGTCTTCTTAATAGCGGATTGGATGTGTTTATGAGAAGGCTGATTGAGCCTTGTTTGAGTTTGGCTAATACTCGATGTGGGACTGATCGGTTGAGAGAGATGAATTACCATTATACACAGCAAAGCAGAAGGCTTTCGTATGTATCGATGTCAGATTTTCGTGCTGGTATGGAGTTGAATCCTCAGATTCTTGGAGAAGATTGGCCTATGCATATGGAGAAGATCTGTTCCCGTGCTTCAGACAAGTAAAGAACAAACACCATAGGTTAGATACATAGCATTTGATTTTACTCTGATTGGGTACCTGAACCTGAAATTCTTCCCTAGAATTTGGGTTTGTGGAGAGTTTTCTGGTTTGAAAAAAGTTACTGGGATGGTTCAAGTTTCAATGGAAGAAGGTTTTGAAGAGAAGAAGGGTGGGTCTTCTTGATGTTGTACAAGTTCAGATAGTAGAGTGAGATTAAGTAGAGGTTTTTGAAGTAAAACGCCATTTGTTTAGCTGATTTGTTATTCTCTCGTGTATTTTTCCTTTGTTTGCTCTCTGATGTAACAAAATTAATAATGAAAGCAAAAAAGAAAAAAGGCCAGTTTGGCTTCTTGAAAAGATTTGTGTGAAGATTTCAATTGTCTGGTCAACAAAGTCACTAAATATTACATTGGTATGTTAAACCAAGACTGAAATTAAAAACTTTAAAACTATAACCGCAAGACATACTATGATACATGTCAAATGCTATGATTTGTTTTGAGCCAAAAACGCTAGTCAGAGACTCAGAGTAAGGACAGATCGAAATGAAATGGGAAGAACTTGAAAGTAATAAAATCCCACATAGGCCAATACATGACACCGTTTAACATCGTGGGAACTGGGAAGTAGGTCATTTTTCAATCTAGCAATTATCTCAGAACTGTTTTCACCTGAAAAAAGATATTGAAAATCAGAATTTCATGTCATTAAAACGAGCCTCAGATCAAATGTACAAAATGTACTTCAAATATAAACATGCGCATCGTTTATTACTTCAAATAGATCTTAAGATCCTTAAGCCCAGTATCATGCTTAGACTTGTGGAGGTCTAGGAGACGTTTAGAAAATATGGCTATGGCAATATGCTAATAAAGAAAATCATTATACTGAATTGATAAAAATATTGGTAACATTAACTGATATTGTAAAAGAAAATCAAAATAAGATATTATTCTTTTGTTTTAATATGTTTTTCTAAGAATATTCTTTGTTTTTCATTATACTAATAAAAAATATATATATATTAATAAAATAATATTATCTAGAAAAGATTTTCTTATCTTGAAAATGATTTTTCTCCGGCCGATAGTGTCTTGTGCTTTGGGGAAGAATCAAACGCATTCTTGGTATAGTCTTTGGCTTGAAGCCAAAGAAGAATAAGACCAATTTTTCAGCTACAATGTTTTTTTTGTTGAAAATACCCATGATAGTATCAGGGGCGGACCCACGTTGTAGAAATGGTGGCACGTGCCCCACACTAAAATTTTTTTTCCTTTAATATTTAGTATTAAATTTATTTATATGCCCTTCATGTTTAGTTTTTATTACACTAGTGCCCCATACTAAATATTGGGCTGATCCGCCCCTGGATAGTATCGTATTTCCCTGCATCTTCAAAAAAAAGTGGGAACAATTTGATTTAGGTTATATATATGAAGGGATCACTAGACAGAGCCGGTCTAGTATTTTCGAATGTCCTACGTAAATAATAAAGTAATATATATAAACAAGTCATACTAAATTAATAAAACAACTTTTAAATCCATAAACAATTTGTAGGGAAAGAAAAAATAGTAAAAATAAAATTATTTTTTTTTCAATTTCTATTCTTCAAAGCAAAGTCTTCCATTTTATAATTAAAGTCCCGTACCTTAACAAGCAAAAAAAATAAAAATAACAATGAAATCAATCAAAGAGAAAATTTTGTACATGTGTCTTTTTGTGAATATAGTTTTACATTCATACAAAAAGATTTTATTTTTGTTTTCGTTTAGTTTTTTTTTTCTAATCCAAAATTTTACTAAAAGTTTAGTAACAACCCACTTAGTTAATATTTTAATAATTTAAAAGCTTAAAATCCATATGAAATATAGTAAAAGAAAAGTCCACCAAAAATGAATTAATAACAAAATCTATAATATTTTATGTTTTTTATTAACTCTTTTATGGTATGATGAAGAAGGCATTATCTGATGAAAGTAGATAGGAGAGTGGTTTCTAGACAAATTTGGACAGATATAGTCTCCGACACCAATATTGTTGATTTTTGCTCCGCAAGCATTAGACACTAAGATATGTTTTGAAAGATCACTTAGATGAGTAGAAAATATATACATATACATTTGAGTTTGGCTCTTTACTTTTGACTTTATGATGTTACATATAGCTATATTACATAGCATTTGTCATTGTTTGACTTTCGGGTTACAAATAGCTATTCATAGCATTTTATGTAGTTTTCTCGCATTTTATGTAGTTTTCTCCTTCCTTGTTTGTTTTTTTGAGAACATCTTCAATGATGCTCTATACTTTGCTCTAAACTTCATATTTAGTACAAAATCACTCTAATGGTATTTTATATTTTGCTCTAAAAATAGAGATATAAATAGTATTGCTCCAAATTATAACTCTTTTATTTACAAAGTATCCTCTCAATTTTAATATATTATCATTTTATACATAAACAAAATTATATAATTACATTTTATACATGAATATGGGAGAAGTACACTAATAATGATGCTTGAATAAAAATATATTAATCATTCAATCTTTTATTTAGGTGTTGTAATGAAATTTAACATATTTTTAATAATATGGTTTTATTAGATATTTGTTTAATAATAAACTAAGTGGATAAAATTTGCAAATTTAAAGTAATGGACTATATGAGAAATTTAAATAAAATATTATAATAGAATATACTTGAAATATTGATTTTAGAGCAAAAAATAGAGTCAACTATTGGATCAAACCTTGCTCTATTTTTAGAGAACTCTAGATTTAAAGCAAAATATAAAGTCAACCATGGAGATGGTCTCATGTAACAAAATGCATTGCAGGAAACAATGCATTTGGACATCTTGTACTCTTCATTTCTAAATCACACAAAGGCCAATACAAGACACCATTTGGCATCCTTTGTGGGAAGTATGTCCCTTTTCAATCTAGCAATTATCTTTGAACCGTTTTCACCTGAAAAAATAATTGAAAATCAGACTTTGACGTCACTAAGACAAGCCTAAGACCAAATTTTAACAACAATCCCTACTAATCAGACGCCATTTAGAGAAAGAATGTAACATCAAACAAATTGCTCTATAGACTTTGAAAAAAAACCATTTAATGTTTTTTCAAGAACAGTTGGAAGCTTTACCCTTTAGGGCTTGCATTAAGTGAGAAGAAAACAACATTAATGGCAGGCCCGTAGACGGTCTGGCCCATGACCATTTTCTTAAACGTTGTGATCAAATCTCGTTTTGGGAAGAGTCTTGACATGAGATTGAACTGAGTGAGAGTAAAACAATTATTAACTGAGTATAAGATTTAGAACAAAAACCAAATTTTAGCATACATAGCATTTGGTTTGAGGTTTGACTCCATTGGTCTCGTGTAATTTTCCGTCTTTGTTAGCCATACTGATGTAACAACGATTAATAGAAAAGACTTGTGTCAACAGTTTCATTTGCCTGGTCAAAGACTCAAAAAGTTGATAGAAGCTAAAGAACCACCATTTTACTCAAATATTATATGTAATACTAAACATAGAAGTCAATTAAATCTAAGAGTGTAAGACATGTCCAAATGCACAGTTTTTCCCAAAACTCTTTACATTATATCCTCCTAAAATCTGGAGAGAGGAAACAAAGAATGTTGAAGAATGCTCTGTTTCTTTTTAGTAAAAGTTTTTTTTGGCTTCATTTCTTCATTTTTAAACTGAGAGAGTTTCCCAGAGAGCTTTTTCAAATTGCAATGGCTGTTGGCTTCGCACGGCTTGCCATATAAGTTATGTAGATTGTCCATAAATATGAAAACGAGTTGCTCACAAGTGGCTGCAAGACAAAAAGAAACCAGAATTCAGTTGATAACCAAAACTGAAGATAAGACAAAATAAATGCAGCAAATATATGACCTGTCTTAAATCAAAAGGTTAATCAAAGCGAGTCCAAACTGAAAACAAAATGCAAGTAATCAAGCATACATACCTGTAAATGAACTGGGAAGAACTTGAATGTAATAAAATCACACAAAGGCCAATACATGACACCATTTAGCATTGTGGGAAGTAGGTCCCTTTTCAATCTAGCAACTATCTCTGAACCGTTTTCACCTGAAAAAATAATTGGAAATCAGACTATGATGTCATCTAGAATAGCCTAAGTTCAAATATTTAACAACAACCCCCACTATTCAGATGCCATTTAGAGAAAGAATGTAACATCATCAAACAAACTACTCTAAACCAGCACAAGATTGAAGGTCAACAGGATCTAGAGTTTGAGAAAAAATCATATTTTTTTGATGTTGCTCAGAGAATAATATACACCTTGAAAACGAACCAGTTGATATTTTTCAGATACAGTTGAAAGCTTACCCTGTAAGGCTGCATTCAGTGAGAAGAAAACAACATTCATGGCAGGCCCGTAGACGGTCTGTCCCATGGCCATTTTCTTAAACGTTGTGATCAAATCTCGTTTTGGGAAGAGTCTTGACATGAGATTGAACCAATAGTGAAGCGTAGGACCCAAGATTAATAACCCATATCCTGCCATCCTTGCTGTTCTTACCAAGTCATAAGACTCCACTGAAGCTTGTGGAATTGTCTGTTGAAAGATCAAACACTAGCTTTAAGTCACACATTTATTAACAACGATACAAGCACAGTAATTCTTCTCCTATCTTAAATCTCCATGGAGATACACTCATTTCTACGATTTCCGTTTGTTAAAAAGAAATAATGAAATCTGAGTACATATATAATGTCAAAATTCAGTCTTTAACTTGAAGAACATCATCACACTTCACAGAACATCTAAAATCTGATTTTTAGGCTTAGAAAACCGAAATAAGATGAATTTATGAAATTACCTGCGAAGACAAGTCGGCGGCTATGTAAATAAGGGAGGACGTGACGGATTTGGTCAGAACCGGCCGCGATTTCACCATTCCCAAATACCATCCGATGAATCCTGCAGTAGAGACCGTCGAAGAAGACGAAGAAGTACAGAAACCAGAGACTCCGGTTTCCTTTGCTTTCCCGAGAAACTGAGGCGTACGATTATAAGGCCTCGACTGCAATCGCCGGATGTTTCCTCCTGTCGGTAAAGGGTCGAGCTTTCCGAAAGGATTCGCCGTCGCAGTTAGCTTTAACCGGAAGATCCGAGCGGCTTCGAAGGCAGCGTTTCTAAACAATGCGCCGGTCATTGTCGTGTGATGGCTCCGAGAGTTTTGGGGGTTCAGGGAAGGGTTTTATATATAACGGCGGTGGAGAAGAAGAAACAGAGCTCTGTTTTTATTTTGGTTTTTAGTTTAAATACCAAAAAAGAATGAAACACACCATTTGTACTTTCGCGAGTATAAAGGTTTTTCTACTCACGCCTCGTACCATTGCAATCGTTCTTAATAAATTAATAATTTTGTTTTTAATATAAATTAATCATGCATTTTCTAAACACAGAATTGTCGAGATCTTCCCAACAAAACTAAGTTAATAACTAAATCTTTGGTGAAAAGTGAAAACTATAGTGTTACTTAACACATTGATTACTGTTATTAGTTTACTTAGCTAATCACTCAATGAACTCAATAGCCAAGCCAAATTACTAGAGAAAATAACCTTTTCTATGTTAGGCGAAGGAGAGAGGCCTCAAGTCTGAAGAGCGCGTGACCGGAAAAGGTGGACGGGTCTAAAGCCAAACATCCCCAAACTGTTTCTGATCTGTAGTGTTCTAGCCTTCTAGATTTGTGTACACGTCGTGTTCACATTGGCTAGTGTCGACGTCATCACTTCTGACACGTAAAACTTAACTCAGTGACGCTAACCTTTAATAGAAGCCACGTGTTGCTTTCGTGTCCCAAGTTCCGACTTTGTGCCACTTTTTATGAACTCTTATTTTAATATATGTAGTCAAAAAGAACGTACATCATTGAAGAGTTTTTCTTTTGGAAGATTCTCTTCTTTTCTGTCGGCAATATTTGGAAGATTCTAAACCAAACTAATCGCAGATGATGTCACACACAAAAACAAACTAATATCGTTATCATTCATGCGTCTACTACAAAAACTCCCATAAAAGTAGTAAATGCTGTGTAGATGGCACAGATACATAAACTATATTTCTACTTTATAAATAGGAATTTGTAGAAAACATTTAAAAAATAAAACAGAACACGTTGTGTTGTAACAAGAAATCCTCGACTAAACGGCCATCAAAACCAAGTAAGCATAACACCCAGATCTATCGACACTACTCATGACTCTTGTGTTACTCTTACGAGTTCTTACTTAAAGTTGTATATTTCTTTTACTGATATATCAAACAAAAAGAAACGTCTATTTGTTCAACGGATATTTCCAACCGTTCGTTATCAGGTTTTAATATTTGTATCATTCACATTATAAGAAAACTCGATAGTTACACTGTTTTGGCGAAGAACTATACACGATCTAGGGATCCAGCAGCAGAATTTCAGTCAAAAGATAGAAGCTGTGAGATACAGTATATTGAAAAGAAAAAAACCCCTAACTTATTCTTCCTGGTCTTGGTCTCTGATCCATTTGGTCGCCACCCATTTCTCTCCTTTGGTCACCGGGCAGCTCCCGTGAAGCGAAGTCTGCAGAAGCATTGCAACCATAGGCAAAAATTTACTATTAGCATGAACCAATCCAAGGAATTGGAGTCAAGAGCAGAAATGAAATGTGTTCAAACTTTGTTTACCTGATCAATCGTTCCATTTGGAAACACGGAATAAAAAAGTAGACCATCTCCTTTCCGAGGCTTTACTTTCAACCCAATGCATTGCTTGTAATCGTATCCGGTGCCCATATTAGAACCGTTCTGTTAAATCGAAAGCGTTTAAATGGAATCAAAACTAACGGAAGGGTCTTAATAATAAGTATGCAATGCTATATTATAAACTGACCTCAAATGGGAACATGGTTTCACCGCCTTCTTCAACATCAGATAAGTACAACAGGAAGGAAGCAATCTGCGTAAAATCAAATGAGGTCTCGGGTACTAAAGAAAGCTAAAAATATGACAGATTTAAGGATTTTACCCTTTGGCTTGATTGTGGTCCATATTCTGTTGGGTTGAACACATCATAGTGGGAATCATACTTTTGGCCAAGTTCATACCGTAAAATATTGAATGACTGCCAAAAACATAAAATCTCGTATGTCAATCTTTAGGAAATTCACCACTCTTTTTGCAACATCTCAATATTGAATGTTGTTGATTTCATAAATCTGGATCCAAGATTTTGCAATCTCGAAAAAGGTACTATTTAAGGGGGTGATAAGCACTCAACCAAAGACCAAGCAATGTCAATAAAAGCCTATTATTGCCACTTTCAAGGTAATCAAAACAACATGCCTCAGGTTTATGATTCACATAGGATTGGGAAGTAGAGAATCAAACCTCTCCATGGGACCTTGGGATCATCGTAGCTCTTGCGATTTTCCTTTCAACAAAATCCAGAGCGCCAGTACTGTCTTCTGAAGCACTGATAAAAGTTCCTGAGCTGTAACAACACACCAAGCAAAAACACTGAGGCTACTGATGAATGTTTGATTGAAGACAATGCAAGAAAGAAAGAAAGAAAGACCTTGTTCTAGTGCCCTTAGTGTTCTCAGCAGTTTCTCCTTTCCGGAGAGCCAATGCAGAAGGCTTCAGATTAACCTTTGCCCTCTCAATAATAGCTTGGCATTGTTCTGCAGTAGCAAAATTCGGAAAATATATAGCCCTAGGTCTCCAACTAAGTACCTGCCATTTTAAAACCAAATAATCCATAAAGATGAAGCACTGAATATCACTACTTGCCTCATTTGACCAATTGCTAGGAACCCAATAATCTCACACTCTTAGTCACACACATGAACATAAAAACAAACTTCAATTAGATCATCAAATGCGCAATCTTGCCCTAACTTAACGATTTCAGCTCAATAACCAATCCAAACATCTTAAAAGTCTAAAATTAGCAACAAAATCGGACCTGAAAAGGAATCGATCCAACAGATTCTTCTCCAGTAACACCATGAGGCATCGAGCCAGTATCTTCTTCCCCATTCTCCACCATCTCCAACATTCTCAACCTGGGTTTAACACGAGGCACATTCTGATCCCAAACATAGAACCCTCGATTAGTCACAAAACTGAGTTAAAGACTCCACCAATCGAATCTAAAGAACACAGTTTTAAAGATCAGCGAGTTTCCACACCTGAGAAAGTAGAGTGGAACCATAGAAACCGACGAGGAAACAGAGAGAACAGAAGACGATGACTGTGGCTAACCCTAGCTTCTTCCTCTTGTAGCTCTTCAATCTGCTCTTCATCGAGCCTTCTTCCGTCCGATCAGATTAAGTTTCCGATGGAAATCTTCGCCGGCGTAAACGAACCTCAAAATCGGGACGCTTTTCGTCGAAGCACCACAAATTTCTATTTAAATATTGTTTTATAATTTAATGATCAGATCTCGTTGACCAATTTGTCGTTCTATTGACTGGTCAACACATACCAAAAATGATTGAAGTTTGGTTACACATTTCTATTGAAGTTTGGTTGCGCATAGTGTTTAAGTTTTGGTTCGATGGAACTTCAAAGTTATTGTGAACTTGTGATTTCAATTAGGTGGGCTTCTTTTGAGTTGTTTTGCTTCATTCAGGCTGTCGAAAATGACTTGGAATCAATCTTAGAATAATAAAATGTAAGCTGAATAATTCAGAATGAAGTGCAACATTGGATTGTGTTTATGGTTAAAAAGGAAACAGTTTTTTTTTTTTTAATTTACATATACATTTTTAGAGGAGCTATTACTTATTTATACTCCTAAATCCTTGAGTTTTGACTTATTTACATTCCAATCTATAGAAATCTGTTACCACTGTCTTAAATGCTTTGTCGGAGTCCCAATGTAGTACTCCTTCTGTTTCACAAAGAGTGTCATTTTAGAGTTTGATTTTTGTTTCACAAAGAGTGTCATTCTACATTTTCAATGTGATTTTTACACATAATTTTTTGATTTACTTTCAACTTAAAGCTACTTTTCATTGAATTTAAATCATTAATCACTTATTAAATAAGAACATATATAATTCAATATTTTCTTAATTTGTGTGCAATGTGTCAAAATGACACTCTTTATGAAAAGGAGAGAATACTAATTAGGTTTTTTTTGTTTAATGAATCTCGTATGCATCGGTATAATATGAGTGGATATGTATATGTTAAAAAAAAAAACGAATGGATCTATATGATAAAAAATCACCCTATCAATGTGATCGATCATTGGCTGTAAAATTGGAAGACATTCACACTCAAGATGTCTTTATCAAAAAAGTTCGACAACTTGAGCCAATAAACTTCCAATTGCCTCCGCGTATCTTCATACAAGTCCGTCCACGTCAATTTCTTAATCCCAAAATCCAACCTTTTTATAATAACCAAATACAAATGTGCCACTTGTAATTAAATAAATTACTCATAAGCAATAATATTCACCGTTTTATTAGTATGCTCTAGAACACAACACATAAAGTAAAGTTTGACCAGAATACTATTTTTTCTTATACCGGAAACGGTAACGTGACAATAAAATTAGATTAATAATAATATAGATACTAAGATGACAAGGTTATTAGCAAGAAATTGTATTCAGTAGTTATCCGTCTTTCTTAGTTGACAAGCAAATATATCAGCTACACGTTGGCTACGGCTTACTCATCCTTTACCCATTCATCATTCTCTCATTACAACAATTTCCCACTAATATAAGAAAAAAAAAAAGACACAAGATAGAATCTAGTTATTGCTATTTGGAGACGATGTAAACATTTTGTAGACATGAACAATTTAAATTTTGATTCTTTCCTCATTGTTAGACATGAATTAATATTTCAAAAAGGGCCTACTTTTTCTAAATAATGTTCAGACATTGACGCTGTATATTACTTATTATACACTACATTAATATAAGAAGACATAAAAGTAGCTGTTGATTTTAGATATTGTTTTGGTTGGACCGAATCAGAACTTTAAGTTTTTTGAATTGTTCCAGAAGAAAGATATTTATTCCCTAAAATATACGGCAATGACGTTTTTGTTTGACCCAAGTTTTTGTCTATTTATTGAGAAAATAAAGCCAAAATGGAGAAGGGAAAGAAAAAAAACAACGCGTTGAAACAACTGCAAATAAAAGGAGAAGTGAACGGCAAAATTATAACAAAACGACGCGTAGTCTACATAAGATTCTAAGGAACGGCACAAGTCCAAGTCATCTCTATCAATCTTCTTCTTCTTCTTCTTCTTCACGCGGTTTTTTTTTTTCTTTATTCACCAACTCAACACACACACGAATCCCTTAAAACCGATCAGATCAAACAAAAACGAACGAATCAAAATTCAATCAGAAGAAACCTTTCGATTTCTCTCATCCAATCGAATCCGAAATCTTGTTCATTTTGTTCTCTTTCTCTCTACTCCACTGCACTCAGAATCTTTCTGTATAGAAAAACCCTAAGTAGGTGATGTTGCGAGCTTTAGCACGGCCTCTCGAACGGTGTTTGGGAAGCAGAGCTAGTGGTGATGGTTTACTCTGGCAATCGGAATTGAGACCTCACGCCGGCGGTGATTATTCGATCGCGGTGGTTCAAGCCAATTCCAGGCTGGAAGATCAGAGTCAGGTTTTCACATCTTCTTCTGCTACCTACGTCGGCGTATACGATGGTCATGGTGGACCTGAAGCTTCTAGATTCGTTACCAGACATCTATTTCCTTATATGCACAGTAATAATCCCACTCTTCCTTCTCAAAATCAAAACTTGTTTAAGGATACTTACTTCTTTTGACTCTTTTGACTACGTTTTTGATGGTCAAAATTATGTGATCTTTATTGCCTTGATCATTCCAATATAAAAAGATTTGGTCTTTGTGAACTTATTTAAATTTGTATACTCACTTTGCTCCGTTAACATGTTCAGGTTTTGTGGTGCTGTAATTTGCCTCTTGAATTGATTTTGTAAGAAATCATGTTCTTGATAGTGAATTAACAGGATTGTTTTCATGATTGCAGAATTTGCAAGAGAACATGGGGGACTATCTGTAGATGTTATTAAAAAAGCATTCAAAGAAACTGAAGAGGAGTTTTGTGGTATGGTTAAACGTTCCCTTCCCACGAAACCGCAAATGGCTACTGTGGGATCTTGCTGTCTTGTTGGTGCGATCTCTAATGACACACTGTATGTTGCGAATCTTGGGGACTCGAGAGCCGTTCTTGGAAGCGTTGTTTCAGGGGATGATAGTAGTAAGGGTGCCGTAGCTGAACGGTTATCTACTGATCATAACGTTGCTGTTGAAGAAGTGAGAAAGGAGGTGAAGGCACTTAACCCTGATGATTCACAAATCGTCATATACACACGTGGAGTTTGGCGGATTAAAGGCATTATTCAGGTATAACTTAGTTTTGCTTACTTGCGTGTGATTACATAGCATCTATCTGTGATGAAGATTTATGATTGTGTTTTCATATTTAAAAGGTGTAATCTGATATTGTTTTTTCGTTTCTCTTTTCATTTATATAAATGGGGGCTTGCAATGTTCCAGGAATCCGTCACACGGGCTCCTGCAACGTTTCTTCCCCAGTGGATTTTGTGCTTTTCTAAGAATTCCCGGTAGTCAGAGCTCTACATGATAATGAAGATACATGCTTTTTGGTTGCTTGTATTCGTTAATGACCTTTTCGTGAATGTTGAGTTCGTTGTATATTAGTTAGCTAAATCGTTTTATATTCGCTTCTTTGTAGGTATCGAGATCAATTGGGGATGTATACTTGAAAAAACCAGAGTATTACAGGGACCCGATTTTCCAGCGACATGGAAATCCCATTCCTTTGAGGAGACCAGCGATGACAGCCGAACCCTCCATTATAGTAAGGAAGCTTAAGCCACAGGACTTGTTTCTGATATTTGCATCAGATGGTCTCTGGGAACATCTTAGTGATGAAACAGCCGTAGAAATCGTGCTCAAACACCCAAGAACTGTAAGTTTTCCCTAAACTCAAGAGCTTTGTATCTTTCACCTTTCTGTTAGCTACTTAGTTTTTTTTTTTTAACTCTCTGTGATCTACAGGGGATTGCACGAAGACTTGTAAGAGCAGCTATGGAAGAAGCGGCAAAGAAGAGAGAAATGAGATATGGAGATATAAAGAAAATAGCCAAAGGAATTCGACGACATTTCCATGACGACATAAGCGTTGTTGTAGTTTATCTAGATCAAAAGAAAACCAGTTCATCGAATGGTAAATTGGTCCAGCAAGGAGGCATCACCGCTCCACCGGATATCTACTCGTTACACTCTGATGAAGCAGAGCAACGACGGTTACTCAATGTGTTATACTGACCCTTTGATGATGATAAAATGGTTGATTGGGAAAGATCCGAATAGGGAGAAAACTTGTTTACATATTTGTTTATTTGTTTTTCTACGAACAATTGTTTTATTTTATTTTATTGAATAGTGGAGTTGGATTTGCATATTCTTTTACCAGCAAAGAAGGTTGAAACCCTCTTCTTTTGGGGCAAAGCAGTTTTGCTTTTGACAAACAATACTTTTGTAAGAAATCTAGTGTGAGAAACCGTTGAGGACACTTCAAATTGTTATTTTATGACTTGTAGAGAGATTAGTGTATTTGTGATACCGTTGAGGACACTTCAAATTGTTATTTTATGACTTGTAGAGAGATTAGTGTATTCGATCACAAACCAAAATAAGGCAATAAAATTTCAAATGTAGCCGAAATTTTGGAAAATATTCATGACCGAAAGTGTGGGAAACCAAAGGTTTCGATATCACTTATCTTAACCAGAACTGAACCGAACTAATCACTTCCTAATCGAACCAAATTTCAACGTGGCCCAATTTCTTAAAACAAACCGATATTCCAAACTTCAGATCCAAATCAAACCGATAGAACTGAGTGCCCGAATTGAGCAATTCGAAACAAACCAAACCGAAATTGAATTTGGTCAAATTTCTAAACCGAATTGAACACGAGCGCTTTTTGAGAATGTGAAATTGAGCAGCAATTCAAACACAAAATTCAACAAATTCAGAAGAACTTCCCACGGAAGAAAAAGCAAAACGATGAGCGTCACTCTTTTGGTCGCAGAGGCCGTTTGGTCGAACATTGAATCAACCGGTTCAGGTACTTCTTCTCTCTTTCCTTTTCCTTTTTTACGACATTTTTCCGTTGAATTTTCCTTTTTCTTTTTTGCAGTAACCGAAGAACAGCTCTCAAGGTCAGTTTCCCCAAATCCAATTGCTTCTTATACTTGCTTGATACATAGCTGAGATTCTTTATTGTTTTCCCCACAAAGATCATCAATTTTTGTTCAGCCCTTTAGTATGTAGGCATGAGTATGGTTAGGGTTTTATCGATTTAATTTTGCAAATCCAGCTTGCATTTGTTATTTGGTAAGAATCTTGAGAAAGCCACCAGAATAATCGACAAGAGAGGTGTTAAGAAAATCTCTGGCTTACCCAGTGGAAGATCCATCTTTCAGGTCTCATCATCAACATTTCCCTCTGGTGAATAAAAAGCACTCAGATTTGATTATCTAAGAAGATTTGTTTTGTTTGTTTGTGTTTTCAGGTTGTGGGAGAATCTCAGAAGAGAGAAGAGTATCTCTGCTTCCCAGGAGATTACTGTGGATGTTATTCTTTCTTCTATGATGTTGTTAGCAGAGGAGAGCACCAATGTGTAAGATTTTTTAATCAGATCATTCCTTTATTATGTCTAGAGATTCTGTATCTTATCTTACTGACTTGTTATTACATTTCGTTTGGCAAGTGTAAACATCAATTGGCTGCGAGGTTGGCTTCTTCTTTGGGTACATACAGTGGAATCGAGGTTTCAGATGACCATCTTGCCTTGATGCTCTCAAAGATCTGAAGCTTTCAATACAAGTACATGTCTTAGGCTATATATGCCAGTAACCTGGGAATGATCTGTGTCTTTGAGAATTATGCGGATCAAGATTCTTCACATGTTTGATGAACAATGTTGCTTCGTCTTCTCTGTTTAACTTGCTGTATATATCCATCAACAATGGAGTTATAAGTTTTCTGGTTTGGTCTAATTGAGGCGATAGTTTCTCAAACATTAGTAAGTACTAATGAAGGTGTTATAGGTGATTTTCTTTAAATCAAAAACTTTAGCAGCTTCCTCATGGAGCGAGCCTTGTTTGCATCTTGTAAGAGTGTTTTAGGTAATTGTATCATAAGTCTTGAATTGCAACATTTTGAACTTCTTAAGTCAGTGGAAGAAAACTATTAACTTTGTAAAAGTAGTATTCATGCATAAAACTTTTAATGACCCGTATAACAAAGATTAATTAATCAAAAAGCGTAGAATAAACCACATGGTGGTGGGCGAGTGGTTCTCGTTTGGTTGGAAGGATCGCCCTGTTGGTCTAGGCCAGGGATCGATCCTCCCCAGACGCAGTTTCGCTCTCTCACTCCTGTGGTCACCTGGGAATTTACCTGCGGACTTGCTCAGGCGTCCCAGACCACCAGTTTATCAGGGTGCCCTTAAGTGGAGGCTTAAAAATTCCTGTGACGCGGGCTTAGGCTCAGTGGGCTAGTCAGATCACTGTGTGGTCTGGATACTGGGTTATAAAAAAAAAAAAAAAAGCGTAGAATAGAAACATACTCAAAGTTCAAAGAAAAGAACAAGTGGATTTAGAGTTAATGTGAAGAAGGGTGGGGAATCGGGTGGATAGAGAACTTCATGTTGTGGTTGCAGCCTATATGGTCTCCACTGACGAAGTAGTAAGTCTGAACCTTACGGAGAAGCAATTTGAAGCCTCTTGATGATGAACCTCCTCGTGCCACCAGCTTCTTGCCTCTGGCCACATCGCATCTCTTGAAGCTCTTCATGTCTGGGAGCAAGTAGACGTCGTTCTTCTTCTTGCTATGGTGCTTCGTCATGGATTGTGTTCGATCATCATTGTTGTACGTGAAAACAAGAACATCGTTGACGTAGAATGGGGCATGCTTTGAACTCCATTCTGTGTAACCGTATCCGTTTTTCCATACAGTAACCGCAATCTTTCTTCCAGCCGGTATTGGATTCGTGTGGTTGTGTGTAGAACCAACGATGCTTGAGTGGTTTGAGCCAGAGCTGTGATTGTTGTGTGTAGAACCAATGATGCTCGAGTGGTTTAAGCCAGAGCTGTGACCGTTGTATGTAGAACCAACGATGTTTGAGTGGTTTGAGCCAGAGCTGTGATTCTTGTGTGTAGAACCAACGATGCTCGAGTTGTTTGAGCCCGAGCTGTGATTGTTGTGTGTAGAACCAACGATGCTCGAGTGGTTTGAGCCCGAGCTATGACTGTTGTGTGAAGAGCCAGTGCCGCTTGAGTGGTTAGAGCCAGAGCTGTGACTGTTGTGTGTAGAGCCAGTGCCGCTTGAATGGTTTGAGCCAGAGCTATGACCGTTGTGTGAAGAGCCAGTGCCGCTTGAATGGTTCGTGCCAGAGCTATGACGGTTGTGTGTAGAGCCAGTGCCGCTTGAATGGTGTGAGCCAGAGCTCCTTCCCCAACCCCAGTTTGTATCTGTTCCGTCGGAGCTCCATCCCCAACCCCAACTTGAACCATCCGAGTTGGAGTCTGAACCACCTGAACCCGAGCCAGAAGAACCGCCAGAGTTGCCGGAGCTCCATCCCCAACCCCCGTTCGAACCAGATTGGTCAGAACCCCAACTCCAGCTCCACGCTTCAGCACTCCCGGAGAAGACGAACGCAGTAACCAGGAGGACTACGAGTAACTTACGTGCCCAATAGAGACCCATCGTGTCTTCTTCTTCTTTGACAGATTGATTGCTTTCTTCTTCTTCTTCTTTTTGTTTTTTGCTTTTGTGAGTTTTAGAGTTTTGAGGTTCTGTATTTATAGAGTAGTGAGAGTCGGTTCCCAATTTGGTTTGAACTATGAATTTCATTATTTAGTGTATATATATTTCTCCTTTTACTAATAGTAATAGGATATAAAAAGTGGATAAATGTAGCTGTAGATATTATTGTTTAAATTTTGATGACTCTATTTTTTTTTTTTTGATATACTATAAAAAAAATGGCTTAACTTTCCAATTCCCGTTTTACATTAGTCTTTAGTTTATGCAAACAGAAATAAGAGTCTGACAATGTGCTACGAAAATTTTGTTTAATTTTGACCCGGAAATCTTCAATCGGATCTTTCCTTATTTTTGACAAAATTAAAAAACGAAAATTAATCAATAAAATCTAAAAAATATATATTTTCTCAACTAATTACTATACCTAAACTCTTTATTTATGGCATATTCTCTACAATTTTTATAGATATAGAAATCAAATATGATTATTTAGTGCTAATATAACAAATTTGAACTAATTTCCTAAAACCTCTCTACCTAATTAAAACATAAATATATGATTCTCATTTTACTTTTATATGATCTTATATTTATATTATTTTGAACTATTATAAAATATATATACTTAATAAAAAAATTTGATTTTTTCTGCATATGCTATGATTCAAATTTTTTAAAACGGACATATTACTCAATCGATGAAGAAAAAAGTATGTGTACAATCTATATTAACATTTTTGAAAAACAAATTTGCGCGTTTAATCAAGTCGTATTTTTTTTTTTTTACTCTGACCCGGAATTGAGTCATTCAGATATTTTCTTAATTTCTACAATTATCTAAAACGGGACAATATACCACAGTGAAATCTTAAAATTAACAAATCGAAATACAATTATTTAGTATTTTAATATACATTTTAAAAACATTTTTACGGGTTGGTCTAAAAACACACACTAATTTGAAATATATATATATATATATATTATAGAAACTATTTGAAAGCAAACTTTTAAATTGACTCGAATTATATGTCTTTTAAATAAAAGTGTTATTAAAAGAAATAACAAAATGATGTTTAATTTTACGGGACATGATTATATGGTGGGACGGGTCGGATTTGGATTGATATTAATACGGGATAATATATCACGGGTGAAATCCTGGGATTAACAAATCAAAATACAATTATACAATTTTAAACACAAAACAAAACAAATACAACTTAAAATTTTCATTTTTAGTTACAACGCATGTGACTCGCAATGTACAACAAAAAATATTATATACAACAAATTCATCAGTTTATAAAAAACAAAAAAAATTAAATAATTAACCCGCGGTGTAGCGCGGGTAACAATCTAGTTTCGTAAGCATATTTGCAAGAAGTAAGTGACATTTAGCAAGGATATAGTATAAAGTTTTGTTTGATATTCAAACTCCATATATTTTGTTCTATTCGAGTTTAGGTTTTACCCAAATTAAAATGCTTAGAGAAAACACTTGTTATATAATCTTATTAATGTACAAAAAATCTAACATCTGTCCACCTTTAATCCAAGTTAACAAAAAATCAAAGTACCTCTTTAATCTCCTAACTACTGCGACTAAATGACCCATTTGCCCAAATGTGGTCCTTTACCTTACCGAAAATAGCAAGGACCAATCGGTCATTCACTACTCTAAAACACGCTTTGACATGTATTTATCCATTTACTTTTATTATCTGTAATCTGTAATAAAATCCAAAAAAACTCATATCTGTAAATTAGGAATCTTCTGAGAAAGTGACCAAAGCGAAGAAGAAGGTTTGCGAAGTAAATATGTCTTCCTTAGGGAGCAGCAACCTGAGAGAGGAGATGGAGGTAACAACAACAGCCGATGTATTTCCGGAGGTTAACGCCGTCACGGAGACGGAAAATCTTGATCGGAACGAGCTTGTGCTTGCTGACGGAGTCGTGACGGTTGAGGAAACGAATATAGAAGCGGACAATCGTGGAGAGAGGCAGATAGAGAGCGAGACTCCTCCAGAGGATGATGTTTGCCCGATCTGTTTCGGTTCCTTTACGGTTCCGTGTCGTGGAAATTGTGGTCATTGGTATTGCGGTTAGTCTTTCTTCTTCTTGATTCTCTGAGCCATTTCATCTACATTGAAGTATCAAGCTTGTGTATTTCTGGGATATTTCTGTTCGCCAGAGGTAGATTCGTAGCTCTCTCTAGGAAACTTGGAGAATTGACATTTGTTGGTCTTGGAATTGATTTAGGGTTCTTGGTAGCTAAGAATGTTTATGATCACAATGTCTACTTTTATCACAATTGTTGATTTTGAAATCATTTTATGTTCCTATGGAGTGTTGTTGTTTGCAATGTCACTAAAAGATCTGGCAAGTTTCTTCAACTACTTTTATCACAATTGTTGATTTTGAAATCATTTTCTGTTCCTATGGAGTGTTGTTGTTTGCAATGTCACTAAAAGATCTGGCAAGTTTCTTAAACCGCTTGCTGATTTTGTACAGGAAATTGCATCTTGCAGTACTGGAACTATGCTGCAATATCCAGGCCTTGCAAGTGTCCCATGTGTGTTCGGCACATCACTAAGCTGTCACCAGAAGCATCATTGCAGGAGCGCCAGGAGCAAGAGGTGAAGGAGGTTCTTGATAAGGTCCGTAGGTATAACCGTCTCTTTGTTGGAGGTCTAACTGGCTTTGTTCAGGTAAGGTCTTTTTAATTCATTATTTTTTTGGTTCTCTTTACTGTTTGATGCATTTCTTATCTGTATACTTATTTCTCATTTTTTATGACTTGGCAAAACCACCATCTTTTGAATAATTCAGAAGGTGCATGAGCTGCCGTTTCTAATGAAGAGAATGGTGTGGCATATGATGGATACAGATGTGAACAATCTGTATTTTCACGAAGTGCGCATCTTTGCAGTTAAGAACATCCTTGAATTTACATTGCATAGTTTTGTGTTTGGTTATTATCTCTATCCACTAATTCTTGTTTTCATTCGGTTTCTGTACTAATGGCCAAGCAAGACTACACATATCTCAATTTCTGTAATCATCATAGGAGCAACTAGTTTGTATTTATTCTTGTTTTTAAAGGCCATTGTTTTCTCCCATTGAAAGATAAGAAACTAAGTTTCCTTCCGGTGTTTGCAGATGTTCGTGAGTACCCTTTACACTGCCGCAGAATTTAACTTCATCCCAACGGGTAAGTTACCTCACAAATCATAAACCAGCAATGAAGGGTGAAACAATCTCAGTGCGGTTCCAAGCCCTTTTTGTGTTTAAGGCTTTAAGCTTTCCAAGATTGATTTTGCATTTTTTCTACAGGCGGGTTCAGAATAGTGACAGTTTTTGACTACGCTGCGATTGCTATGATCCTGATTCTGCGCATAGTAGGGATATATCGGAGGAGACGTCTTGCTCAGCAGGTTAGACATCTAGCAGCTGCAGCAATTGAGCCGGAATTAGAGCAAAGGGAATTGTAACAGACACGTGAATGTATTAAGTCTTGTGCAGTTTGATCCTTGTGGATAAGTTTGGTAGTAGATCACAGAAACCTCGAGAGTCTTGTGCAGTTTTACAGACAATGATATTTCAGATGTTAAAGTATATACATTTTTATATGTCTTCTTTTCTAACAGTGAAAATAAAATATGATGGGAAAAGAGTTCTCTCTGAAAAAAGGATCTTTGATTAGATGATCAAAGGATTGAACAAATGTTCGAAGAGTAGAAGAGTATAATACCTCTTGGATCTTTTGTTTGGGGCCAATTCGATGTTATGTTCCCTTTTTTTTGTTTGCATTTTCAGCCAGCAATTGTACTTGTTTTGCCGGATTCATCACCTTTCTTCATTACAACGACGAAAGGAGAGCAGTTCCTAGAGGTATTATAGACTTTAATGATGGTTTTTGACACATTGGGTTGATAAAGCTGACACATGATGTTGTCCGGTTTATTTTCACAAATTTAAAATTTTACACTTAAAAAAATTAAACAGTTTATCTAAAATATTATTTGAAAAATAAAAAAAACTTTGAAGTTTAAATAGTTATATTTAAATATAAATTAAAAAACGTTTTCAATAATGTAAATATAAATTAAAGAAACAAGTGTTAAAATTTTTAATAATGTATATTTAAAAAAATAAAACAGTTTATCCAAAATATTATTTGAAAATTGTAGAAACCCCTTAAAGTTTAAATAGTGATATAAATTAAAAAAAAATTAAAATCAAATTATGGATAATTGAAAGAAATTTATCTAAAATATTATTTGCAAAATCTTTAAAATGGAAATTTAATTAAAAAAAAGAGAAATTGTTAAAAATGCCCCTTTTTCAATACCCCTTTTCAAAAATGCCCCTTTAAGAGTCCATTTTTAAGTTTGCCCTCTTTTAATTTTTAATGACCATTTTACCCTTATTTGAAACAAAATTATGTCCACAAAATACAAAATATTTTTTGGCGGGAAAAGTGATCACGCAATTTTCCCGCCAAAACACTTGTAAAAACCTTTAAAAAACCTTGTAAAATTTTCCCGTAAAAATTTTTCCCGCCAAAAAATTTTAAAAAATTGGGGAAAAAATAAAATATTATTTAATACTTATAAAAAAAGACATAAAACAGTCTATACAAAATATTATTTGAATATAAAATTCCTTAAGGTTTTTTTAATAGTAATATAAAAATAAATTTAAAAACAATTTTTAATAAAAACACAAGTATTAAAAAATTAATTATAGGTAAACCATATTGAACCTAAAACACCTCTTAGGGGTTTAGATGTTGTATCCAATTGGTTTACACAAAATTTAAGAATTTAATACTTATAAAAAAAAAATAAAAAAAAAAAAGACAAGTGTTAAAATTTAATTACGTGTAAACCATATTAAACTTATAACGCCTCTTAGGAGTTTGGATGATGTTAATCTTGAAACCCAATCTTCTCCCAAATAGCGTTCCTCAAAACAATAGTCTCGAGCTCGGAGTATATGTTGATGGTGAAACGTATGGCTGAGCTGGAAGATAAGTGCATGTTCCTTGACTTGAAACCTGCTCATGTCGAATCTGAGAAAGAGGAGAAACTTCAGGCCGCGCTCAATCGTGTTCAAGTGCTTGAGCAAGAGTTGACTGAGACCAAGAAGGTAAGGCAAAATCTAAACTACCAAAAAAACGTTCTAGACAATAGCCAACTCTGATTCTTAACCTATAAATCGATGATTGAGTTTTGGATTTATCTTCGGTTTAGGCTTTGGAAGAAGCTCTTGTGAGCCAGAAGGAGATTTTGGCATACATCGAGAAAAAGAAGAAGAAGACGAAGCTGGTAATTAAGAACAAAACACTCACAATTACATCGGTTATTTAACTTATACACAAAATTTAAGAATTTAATACTTATAAAAAAAATTAAAAAAAAAAAGACAAGTGTTAAAATTTAATTATGTGTAAACCATATTGAACCTATAACACCTTTTAGGAGGATGAATGTTCTGTCCAAATAGTTTACACAAAATAAACCATATTAAACCTATAACACTTCTTAGGAGTTTGGATATTGTGTCCAAATAGTTTGTGTAAAGCATATTGAACCTAGAACACCTCTTAGGGATTTGGATATTGTATCCAATTAGTTTACACAAATTTAAAAATTTAACACTTATCAAAAAAAAAAAAAAACATTAAAAGAAAACAAGTATTAAAAATTTTAATTTTGTGAAAACCATATTGAACCTAAAACACCTCTTAGGGATTTGGATGTTGTGTCTAATTAGTTTATACAAAATTTAAAAATTTAAAAATAATTAAAACAAAAAGAAACTTGAAAAAAACGTTTAATAAAACCTCTAAAACCTAAGTATAAAACGCAAGAAAATGAAAACCCGTATAAAAAATAAAATAAAAACATTAGAAAACATTTTGAACTTTTTTGGGCAATTAAGCCAACAGTCGGGCCTCTCTTGAAAAGCTTATACTATATGGTTTATTTTAGAAAGTTAAGAGATAGCTTTTATTTATATGGGTATGGGTTAGTAACTGTTTATTAGATTTTCGATGTGGGACTTAGTTTTTTTAAAACGTATTGGGCTTTTAAGTATATGGCGGGAAGATGTGACTATCGCCCTGTCGTAAGCCCATAATCATATCAATAAGATTATGTGTTAAATTATAGATACATTGTGGACAAATAAACAATATATATATATATATATAAAACGACGCCGTCTAATAACAAACGTTGTCGTTTTAATAACACCCCAATCTCTTGTTTGTATAATTTATTTGTTCCGCTTTCAAATCAGTAGAAGAAACATCGATCGAGCTAATTTCTATTTCTTTCGCTGTTTCTGCTTCCAAACTCAATTTTGAAAACCATTTTTCCGATCTATCAAATCGGAGCAGCGGAGGAAGGAGAATGGGTGTCCGTGCAATATCTCAGGAGGCATTCGACGATCTCGTTAGGGAAAATGTTGAAGATCTTGGTATGGAACCCTCCGAAGCTCTCGAAGACGCTCTCTACACTCTCAAACTCCAAGGCGCCGATCTCTCTGGTCCTCTCTTTCTACTTTCCCCAGAAAACTTTCCTTAACTGGATTTATAGTTATCTTTCGAGGAAATGAATCTGCGTTAGTTCAATTGTGTGTGTTGTTTATGGCTACAGGGATCATTACTTGTGTTCCAGGAGAAAGTAGCATTAAGGACAATCCGGTTATTGCTTGTTTAGATAGACTTAAAGAATTCGATAGTGTTTCTATTGACGGACCTCTTCGAGATGAGGATTTCGATGAGATATCGAGTTTGTTCAACATTCTCAATGAGCTTTGTAGCAGCCAAGAATCAGGGAACGCAGCTATCGCGATAAAACACGGTGCTGTGGATTTAACTTGCTCTATTTGTTCCAAAATCAAGACATCTACTAGAAGTAATCGCGTTGTTGTTCCTTGTTTCAAGGCTTTGGCTGTGTTGATCCGTGGTAAGACTTCTGTTCTGGAATTAGTCTTTCTTGTGTGTTTAACTTTGATTTGTCTTGATCATGTGTTTATTCAATTGTAGACATTCAGAGCACAGAGATGTTCAGGAATTGTACCGGACCAAATATCGTTGTTGATCTCTTACGTGGTTCCAGCTCCGATTCTGATTTGTTAGATGCTGGTTTTGCGGTTGTTGCTGCTGCAGCAACTGGTAATGAAGTCGTCAAGCAGTTATTCATGGAACTGAAAATCGATGAATTTATTCTGCAAGTGCTCAGTAGAGAGAGTAAAACTACCATTAGAGCTCTGTACGATGCTATTTGTGCTCTTTTGACTCCAGATGACTACCGTGTTGTTGCTTCCCAAGTAAGTAGGATTACATTCGTTTGGTATATGCCACTTTTGGACTGCGTGAATGAAATTAAGGGAAAATGGCATCTAAGCAGCTATATAGCACTTAGCATACATTTATAAATCGTTGTTTTTTTTTGTGTTTGAAACCATGTAAAAATCGCTGATAGTATTTTGTGCTTATTCTTGGACATGCTTTGAGAAATCAAATCAACTAGATTCTTGCTTTCATGTGTTTCAGGTTTATGGTTATGCACGAACTTTTGCCAAATTAGGGATTGCAACAGCCCTCACTGAAGCATTACAGGCAGGAATTGGCTCTGATAGCTTGGTGTCAGCAAGTACTGCGTTAAAAGCAATTGCTGTAAATGTAAGTCTCCTAGTTGAGATCTCTGTGTGATAACATTTATCTGGTTAGGTCCTTGCAATTTCTTCATCTGGTTTTGCTGTAAACAGGATGAAATATGTAAATCTATTGCCGAAACTGGTGGAATAGATACACTTCTTCGGTGTATTAATGCTAGCGGTGAGCAAGGCAACAAAACTGCTGCTAAGACATGTTGTTCCCTGTTGTCTAAGGTGAGTAGCTTCTAAAATGTTCTGCATGTTGCCTCTATTGTTTTCACTGCCTACAGTATTTCAAAATCCTTCTTTAAAATTTCGGCTCTCAAGTATTTGCCGCACCTTATTAAAGAGTAGCTTATGTTCATATTCTTCTAATAAATGCATGTTCTCGAATTTTAAGCTTTTCCAAAGCCTAGAGTTACTGATTTAGATTAGCATCATAACCACTCGTGAGAAATGTTGTCTAAAAATGTGTATTTTGATCTCTAGTTGGCAGGAAGTGACTCTAACAAGAGTACCATAGTTGAGAAGCGAGGTCTCGACAAGCTAATCACACTCGCACAACGATTCTCTGACGATCCTCTAGTCATACAAGAGGTAAGTATATACCAAAACGAAAGCCCTCTTATGACATTATGTCCCATGGGCAGTTTCCAATCTTCCTGTCTAGAGAAGATACTTGTGACTACAGGTCACGCACGTCTATGGCAGTTTTCCACTAGATAGAATGTAATGTCATGTGAAGAATGTTTTTAGCACTAGGGTCTGAGTGCATAATCCTTGTGGTTGATCCAAGATACACTTGTCTGTTCAGGTCATGTTGATAATCTCTATAATCTGTCTGAGATCACCAGACCACGCTGCCAAGGCTATAGAAGCCGGAGCTGGTGATCTAGCAGTCCAAGCTATGAAGAGGTTCCCAGTAGCTGCTCAAATGCAGAGAAACGCTTGCAACATGATACGGAACATTGCTGTAAGAAATGCAGAGAACAGGTAATTGCTCTGTTCCCAATTTTTATCATCCAATATTATGCACATATCGCGAACTCTTTTATGATATCAAGTTCTGTCTGCATGCAAACTACAGAACTATTCTGCTTGCTAATGGAATTGAGAAGCTGATAAGGACTGCTAAGGCCAACAATGAGACATGCAGAGCCGCTGCAACTGATGCACTGAGAGACCTTGGCCTTGATAACTACAATAACTAAGGCCAATCTTTCTCCACTGGTTGTTACGCGCAAGAACCGGAATGGATCCAGTTTTTTCAAATTTTTCATGAATAGTTTGCATTGAGTTCGTCTTTTGGGTAGAAAGCATTCCGATCTAGTATTTTTTGCAACGATAGTTTTTGTTCGAATGCTTGACCATGTAGTAAAATTGAAAGGAATTTTTTGAGAATTTTGGGGAAATCGCTCTACTCTAAATGGTAAAATACTAAATAGAGAAACAAATGCTTCAGACAGATATATATATATATATATATATATATATATATATATATATATATATATTCATCCACAGGACCACAACATCCTGTATTTAAAAAAGTTTTTGAAAATTGCGTGTATTTTTGCAGATGTCGGTTATTTGTTAATGTATTTTTGTAGGAATCGATATTAGTTTTAAACAAGGACAAAATGTTTGTTTGACTAAATGGAAGAAAAAAGAAATGTCAAAGTGTTCATGTGTTAACCCATCCACGGAATGATCGATCTCTAGAAGTGTGTATTGGGAATATTATGTACGGATATAATGGTTGTTTAAGATGATTAAAAAAAAAAATGTTGCAACAATCGTCATGTGGATGCGCATAAACAAAAACTTTAAATAATAAAAATGATGGGCTATGATGATGAATGCAACTCTATCGGTTTCTGCTTTTAGGTGAAGATCTGACAAACTAGCCAACAATATCTCGACATTTGCGGTAACTTATTTTTCTTTTATTTTCCCTTTTTAAATGCGGAAACGATTTTTATATACCGAAATAGAAAGCAAATCTTTTTAATGCCCATAAATAATACACGAGAGGTAGAGGTTTCTATGATTAGCCATAGGCTTGTTTAATGCGAGTATGTTTCACCAGCTTCGTTTCAGGACAAATATACACCTAAATATTTAAAGGGCAATTAATCCAATATTGAATTTATTACCATATTTGATATGATACTAACAGAAAAACTAATTGTAAACTAAGTTTAATTCAATAAAAATTTATGAAAATTAATCAAAATCTGCTGTATTAAATTTCTTAGACCATCAGCAGTGACAAATGTGTTTGTGTGAGTGTAAGTATTTTTTTAGTATTATAATTTAAAGCAAAAGAGAAAAGAGAAAGAGAAAGAAAGAGAGAGATAGAGAGAAAAAGTGTTACATCCGAGTGTAAACTTACACCCGGAGTGTGAAGAGAGAGACAATTTTTTCGTTTTTTTAATACCTATACCCCAAGACTCACACCCACCTGCTTGCCCCAGTGCCCATGCTCTTACCATTCTAATGCTTTTGTGACAATTTAAAAAGTATTAGAGAGAAATTAATAGTAGGGGTAAAAAAAAAAGCCCCCATTGTTTGTCAGAACGTTGTAAGAAGAAGGGTAAATCCGTCATTTCAAACTATCTCCCAGAGACCCAGACCCATGCTTTGACAAATCACAATTCAACAATTCACAAAAAAGCGAAAACTTCTTCTCTCTCTCTCATCTTTCTGTTTTTTTTTATTTAGCTTACTTCAAGGTGTGGTTTAAACAGAACAGAGGAAGCTGTTTCCTTTTTATTTAGTAAGAGAAAACGGAAGCAGAGAGAGAGAGAGAAACAGAGCTCAAGATCACGAGCCTCTCTTCTTCTTCTTCTTCTTCATCGAGTGATCAGAGGAACAAAAAGTATCTCAAGAAACCCACTTGTTGTTGGTTAAATACTTCACGGGTCTCTGAAAACGTCTCTTTCTCACAACCATAACTTGATCACCCCAAGAGTCCTTCTCTCATCTCAACGGCTCAAATTCTTCCACGTCACACCGTTGTCCATCTCCTCTAATGTCTTGGTGTCGTTAGCTATTATCTCCCAGAACAAAACTCTTCTTGAGACATAGATTGAAGTCAATCACAGAGAGACAGAGGAGAGAGGTAAAAAATGGATCGACCAGCAGTGAGTGGTCCTATGGATTTGCCGATTATGCACGATAGCGATAGGTATGAGCTCGTCAAGGATATTGGCTCCGGTAATTTTGGAGTTGCGAGATTGATGAGAGACAAGCAAAGTAATGAGCTTGTTGCTGTTAAATATATCGAGAGAGGTGAGAAGGTCAGTTTTTATCTTCTTGTTTTTTCTCTCCTTAGTCCAATTTTACTTTTATGTTTCAATTCACTAGGTTCTTGAATCCAAAAGAATTTATTTTTGTGTTTTCATCATCCAATGAGAGATATGTGTTTGGTTACTTTATGGTTATGAATGGTTTGATCCTCTAGTGATTTACAAAATTGATTGATTTTTTTTTTGAAGACCAAATCTGCTCTGCTTTGCTTTTTGACTTATGTTGTACAGTTGTTTTGAAGGCTCTAGGTGTTTCATTCGAACGTGATATTAAAGGTAGGAGTTTTTTTGTATTTACAGATAGATGAGAATGTAAAAAGAGAGATAATCAACCACAGGTCCTTGAGACATCCCAATATCGTAAGATTCAAAGAGGTTTGTTCAACTTTCTTAAGCTACTTGGTTATTATTAACATTTAAGCAGAGGAGAATTCTGTATCTAATCCTCAGGTTTGCTTCAGGTCATATTAACACCAACCCATTTAGCTATTGTTATGGAATATGCATCTGGAGGAGAACTTTTCGAGCGAATCTGCAATGCAGGCCGCTTCAGCGAAGACGAGGTTGTTCTATCTTTCTTTTTTGCTTTGATGATATAATCAAAGATTCAAAATGCTGAAATTTTAATATATCGTTTACTACTTACTAACTTGTAGGCGAGGTTTTTCTTCCAGCAACTCATTTCAGGAGTTAGTTACTGTCATGCTATGGTAATGAGTAATGCTCTGTTTCAAATCAATGCTTCATCAGATGTGAAAATCAGCTGACTTAAGAAATTAAATTTTATGTTGTAGCAAGTATGTCACCGAGACTTAAAGCTCGAGAATACGTTATTAGATGGTAGCCCGGCCCCTCGTCTAAAGATTTGCGATTTCGGATATTCTAAGGTATCTTTTATTTGCCAAGCATTTCAGAGACTGTGTTTTGATTATTGTTAGTACCTCTAAGCTTTGTGTGCTTTTGTTTTTTTCAGTCATCAGTCTTACATTCGCAGCCAAAATCAACTGTTGGAACTCCTGCATATATCGCTCCCGAGGTTTTACTAAAGAAAGAATATGATGGAAAGGTACTCCATTTTCATAGTTCCCAAACTAGTATGATAACCATATCTTATACAAAGAACAATCTTTTTATTTTATCATATGAGTATATATAGGGGAAACATGCTTTTTCTTGATGAAAGCTCACACAAAGAAACAATCTTGGCTTATCAAGAATTTTGGTGAAGAAAGCTATTAAGAGTCTGATTTGTATATTGATAATTCTTGAATTTTGTTTGAATTAGTCAAATGCATCATAATTGTTGTTCTTTTTTTTTTTTTTTTTTGCATCATAATTGTTCAGGTTGCAGATGTTTGGTCTTGTGGGGTTACTCTGTACGTCATGCTGGTTGGAGCGTATCCTTTCGAAGATCCTGAGGAACCAAAGAATTTCAGGAAAACTATACATGTAAGCCTTTCACTATCTTCATGCTTCAATAGTTGAAAAATGTAACTATGGATTCTATGCTTACTTGCTAGCTAAACAATCTGTTATGTTGTGAAAACATTTGCTCAGAGAATCCTGAATGTTCAGTACGCTATTCCGGATTATGTTCACATATCTCCTGAATGTCGCCATTTGATCTCAAGAATATTTGTCGCTGACCCTGCAAAGGTAAAGGAAAGATCATGAAAGCTGCATTTGTTGATCTATATCTGAATCTTCTTTATAGTAAAGAACTTTGCATTTTGGCCCTCTTGTTTGGTTTCTTGGCAGAGGATATCAATTCCTGAAATAAGGAACCACGAATGGTTTCTGAAGAATCTACCGGCAGATCTAATGAACGATAACACGATGAACAGTCAGTATGATGAATCGGATCAACCGGGCCAAAGCATAGAAGAGATCATGCAGATCATTGCAGAAGCGACTGTTCCTCCTGCAGGCACTCAGAATCTGAACCATTATCTCACAGGTGAAACAACACAAAACATAAATTTTTTGATTTATTGATTTTTTTTTATTGCTTCTCAATGTTTGAAATCTTCTCATTAATGGATAAACAGGAAGCTTGGACATAGATGACGATATGGAGGAAGACCTAGAGAGCGACCTTGATGATCTTGACATTGACAGTAGCGGAGAGATTGTGTACGCAATGTGATACTCTCTCTATGGTTTCTGCTACAAAAATGTCCAAAAAAAAAGTTGAAGAAGAATGAAGAATAACTGAATAAGATATCTTGCTTGCTATTGAGTTGGCCCAACTTTGTCTCAATGGGTACACTTTGAATCTTTGATATGCAAAACACTGAAACAACTGATGGGTATTTCTAAACAAAAGTGAAAAGTCATCAATTAGTTATTGTTATCTACTCTCTCTCTCTAGTAAATTTTTGTTTGTTTTTCTAATAATCGTAGAGCTAATTCCAAAGTGTTTTTGAAATGTTTTGAGAACTTACTTTTTTGCTAGTTAAAGTGTTTACCGTGTGATCAACACAGAAACAAGAATTGCTAAGCTTCGATCACTTTGGTTGCATTATCACTTAATAATTTCAAACTGAAGTAAATAGATTGGGCATATCTTGAACTGTATGGAAATGGGATGATGTTTCCATTTTTCACAAAAAAATTGAAAAAAAAACAGCATAAATGTAGATGGAACACATTCATGAATATGCACGTTATATGTTCAGAAGGACGTACGTACGGTAATTCGCTTTAAATTAAAAGATGCTTATTTTCGTTTTTTTTCTTTTCTAAATATTTTCGAATAATAAATTGATAATGAACCAGTACTTGATAGTTGTTCTTGTTCGTTGAAATTAATATTATTCTTACTTAAAAAATACTCAGTGTTTTCAATTTAATAAACAAAAAAAAGGGGGGAAGAAGAAAACAAGCAGTTAGAGCATCTCCAATGGGTGCAAAATGAGGTTCTCTTTGGAGGTTCTCTTGAAATTTTTTTTGAAAAATAAATCAAAACTGGTAAAAAAGAAGAGAGCTGTCTCTCTTGAGAGAAATGTTGAGCACCATGAGAGCCGACGACGTGGCCTTCTCTCATCCGTCGATTTTTTTTGATCAAAAAAAAAAAAAAAACGCGTAAAAAAAAGGGGATGGCGATGCCTTTTTTTTTATCATTTCCCGACTCTTCTCTCTGTTTCTTTGCGAAGGCGATGGCGATGCCTTTTCTCCGAAGATTGAGGTTACGGTTAAGGCCGCCGGCGACGATTGAGGGAAGAATAGAGAGGTCGCCGGCGACGATTAGGCCGGATTCCCCACTGCATGTCACGATCGGGAGTGAGAGAGATATGCAAATCGGATATCCAAATTCAACGGATGGAGGTGGAGGTGGATGTGGATGTGGAATCTATGGAGTTGACGGAGGAGGAGAGGGAGAAGAAGGTGAGAAAGGAGAAGGCTTTGAAGGAGATCTATGGTAATTTTGGTTTTGATTGTTTTCGACTTCAATCTAAGATCTTTTGCTTTTAGCTTCTGTTTGCTTTGATACTGTGATTTGGTTTCGTTTAAGGGTTTCTTCCGCTTTGAATCTGAAACCAAATCTCTTCCCTTTTTTCGATTTAGGGTTTGATTTAGAGTTGAAAGATGTACAACGGGATAGGGTTACAGACCGCAAGAGGATCAGGAACTAATGGTTATGTTGAGACGAATAAGTTCTTTGTGAGACCTAGAAATGGTGGTAAGCCTGTTAATGGTGGTAAATGGTTTGAGGATGATCAAGGTATAAGGAATCAATAACTCAATTAGCTCGATTTGTGTTCTCTTTACTGGTTTTGATTTTTGTGTGTGTGTTGTTGCAGGTGTTCCAGTTAAAAGTTAATGGTGTGGCATTTAGGTTGATTCCTGAGTCTACTCAAGTGAAAAATGCCTTGAAGGTGAGTTGATTTGTCCATAGAATATATCTTTGGATACTCAAAAGCTTTGCTTTTTGTCACCATAGACGTTATAGCTGCTGAACATGACTGTCATCATTCATCAATGAGGAGACTTTGTGTTAGTTTAGTGCAGGAGACGTTGTGACTAGCTTTTTCGTTTTAACTCTGTCTAGTCTATAATATATTTTCAGATACTATTTTTTCGGGCTGCATCTATCATCCATGGAAATTGCAAAATTGAAGCTGCTGCTAATGAGGCGAGTGATGGGGCTGGTGTTTCGAAGAAAAGACCTTGATGGGGAAGGTATTTGCTTTAACTTCATTGCAAGTTTGATAAGTCTTATACTTGACTTAAAAGTTAAACCTTTAGGAACTTGTTTGTTTAGTATATCTTGTCACTAGTTAGTGTATCTGTGATGATGACCTTGATGGGTTTTGATTACTTTCATCTGCTTCTTGTTGGAGATTAAGAGTTTTTGACTTAATTTTTCACTTGTTCTGATAGAAGTTAACTTTAGATTAGGTTGAATGATTATGATCCTTCTAATTACCATCGTTTTATAGATCTTTATGAAGCAAAAGAGGATCCTCGAAATAAGTACTTGAAGGAGCAGCAACTTAAGAAACTAGAGGAGAAGAACAATAATGAAAAAGGTAATTATCTGTCTCTGTCTTAGTAATTACTTGAATCATTTTGAATTTTTAATGTTATGTTAATATTTCTTTCTTCTTTCTCTGTTTTGGTGAGGTTAATTGGAGTGGTTGAAACTACAAATCTCACAAGTGGAGAAGGCATAAGGCATCGATTTAACAGCCTCTAAATCAAGGTACAGTTTGTGCTGTGATTAATGCTTTCTTTGTGTTTGATTAGGATAGTTTTTGCTTTTGTAAATGCTTTCTCTGTTATTTGAAATAAATGCTTTCTAGTTGGAGTATTTTAGGTAAATACAATTAGTGTCTTTACTTTGGCATTCATTGCTAATTCTTCAATAAGTTTCAATCTTCTTCTTTAAAACACAATCACTTCCTTTAAAACAATCACTTTCACTTCCTTTAACCTTCAGCCTAACACAAAACACAATCACTTTCACTTTCTTATCTAAAAAATGGATGATATGAATCCATTTTATCACTCATCGGGTTTCATGAACCTATTGCAAAGTCAACAAGAAGACATGTCTCAGTTTGCAAGTGGATCAACTGAAGTCCCAGCATTTAGTAGTCAACTGTCTGAAGAAGGAAGTGAAGAAGAAGGAAATGAAGCATCAGATGTCAAACCAAAGCAAAGTATATCACGAAAGAAATGGACAGCAAAAGAAGATATTGTTCTCGTCAATGCTTGGCTTAATACAAGCAAGGATCCTGTGATTGGTAATGACCAACAAGGTCAATCCTTTTGGAAGAGGATTGCAGCATATGTTGCTGCTAGTCCTTCCCTCGACGGAATGCCAAAGAGAGAGCATGCTCAATGTAAACAAAGGTGGGCAAAGGTCAATAAAATTGTCACCAAGTTTGTGGGTTGTCATAAGACAGCAACAACTCATAAAACTAGTGGTCAGTCAGAGGATGATGTTATGAAGCTGGCTCACGAGATCTACTACAATGATACCAAGAAGAATTTCACTTTAGATCATGCATGGAGAGAGTTAAAGTTTGATCAGAAATGGTGTGATCAAACTACTCGGGGAGGAAAGGATAATGCTAAAAGAAGGAAGTGTGGGGATGGTAATGCAAGTTCCCAGCCTATCAATGTTGAAGAATGAAGATGATTCAGTCATGACTCGACCTCCGGGTGTGAAGGCAGCCAAAGCGAAAGGAAGGAAGTCAGCCACTGTTAACGAAGGAAAGAAGCCAGCCACGGGTAAAGGAGAAGCAGGCCAGTCTGTGGAACATTTTCAGAATTTGTGGGAACTAAAGGAGAAGGATTGGGATCGCAAAGAGAAGCAAAGCAAGTATCAGATGCTTGAAAGTCTACTTTCAAGAACTGAGCCTCTTTCGGACATTGACTTGTTCCTAAAAAATAAGCTAATCACGGAGCTTTGGTCCTAAGTTTTAAAGTTTTAGTTTGGTCCTAAGTTTTAAAGTTTTAGTTTGGTCCTAAGTTTTAAGCTAAGCATCAGATGCTTTTTAGTTTTTTTGTCTCATGTATGATATTGCTTTGTAAGTTCTAGTATTATGTCTCATGTATGATATTGTTTAAAGTTCTAGTTTAAGTCTATGTACTCTAAAGCTTTGTAACTTGTCTTGTATGATATTGCTTTGTAATGTATGATATGTCTTGCTGTGTATCATGTATCATGTTTTAACTTGTCTTGTTTTTTTGCTAGATGCCAAAGAGAGCAATGTGTGCAAGTGGTTCAATGTTTGATGCCAAAGAGATCAATATGTACCACAAATAATTTGTATGTTTTTTGTGAACCACGAACTTTATTCTAGCAAATTTGTACTACAAACGAGCTTATTCTTTGTGTACCACAAACTTTATTCTTTATGTTTTGCCTTTGCTATAAATAATATCCATCGTTTGTAGATGTCTCACAACTCAAGCTTTTCTAATATTGTTCTTTGCTTCAACTACAAAAATTATTTTTCCCTTAATTTTTCTTTGCTTTTACCACAAAACAATCAATCACCAAAGCTTTTATATATATCTATATTGTTTAATACTTAAACCTACCAAACAATATGGCCTCTTCATCTCGTACTCCATTCGACGACGCCATGGAAGAAAGCTACTCTCAACCACTTGATCAACAATTCGAGAATATGTTCGTCGAATTGTCTAATGGCGAAGAGGTTGCAAAGAAAAATAGGAAACGAGCTTATTTTGATAGAAAACGCGAAGAAGGGCACGTCCTTTTATGGAACGATTATTTTAGTGATAATGCGATGTTTCCACCTCAAACTTTTCGCCGCCGTTTTTGAATGAACAAGCCGTTGTTCTTGCGTATTGTTGAGCGACTCTCCAGTGAAATCCCGTTCTTTCAACATCGAAGAGATGCCACAGGAAGGTTTGGACACTCTCCAATACAAAAATGTACGGCAGCCATTCGTTTGCTTGCTTATGGTTATGCGTCTGATGCGGTTGACGAATACCTCCGTATGGGTGAAAGCACTGCGATGTCTTGCTTGGAGAATTTTACAGAGGGAATTATTTCTTTCTTCGGAGATGAATATCTAAGAGCACCTACAGCCACAGATCTGAGAAGACTACTCAATATTGGAAAGATACGCGGATTTCCCGGGATGATAGGAAGTCTCGATTGTATGCACTGGGAGTGGAAAAATTGTCCCACCGCTTGGAAAGGCCAGTATACACGTGGCTCTAGAAAACCAACCATCGTTTTAGAGGCGGTCGCATCACAAGATCTCTGGATTTGGCACGCATTTTTTGGACCTCCAGGTACCTTAAACGATATAAATATTCTTGATCGATCACCAATTTTTGATGATATATTACAAGGTCGAGCTCCGAATGTGAATTACAAAGTCAATGGCCGGGAGTATCATTTAGCTTACTATCTCACAGATGGTATTTATCCGAAATGGTCGATTTTTATCCAATCTATTCGACTACCACAAACTCGGAAAGACACTTTATTTGCTACACATCAAGAAGCGGCCCGTAAAGATGTCGAACGTGCATTTGGAGTATTGCAAGCTCGCTTTCACATTATTAAAAACCCAGCTCTTGTTTGGGATAAGGAAAAAATTGGAAATATTATGAAAGCATGTATCATACTGCACAATATGATAGTCGAAGACGAACGAGATCGGTACAACACTCAGTTTGATGTTTCAGAATTCCTACAAGTTGAAGGAAACCAAACTTCACAAGTCGATTTATCGTATTCTACAGGTATGCCTCCAAATATCGAGAATATGATGGGCATGCGAAATCAACTTCGTGATCAAAATATGCATCAACAATTAAAAAGTGATTTGGTTGAGCATATATGGAGAAAATTTCGCAACAATCAACAGAATAACTAATCGTTTTTTTTTTTCAAATTTATTTTCAAATGTATGAAATTATTGTATCTTTAATATGTTATGAATTATAATATTTTTCAGATTTATGAAATAAAATAATTGAAAATAATTTAATTTTTTCCTGAGAACCCCACAAAGAGAGCCTACCATTGGACGTTGCAAAATTAACAAAAGCTCTCATCTCATAAATTTGAAAATTTTAATCTTAAAAAAATGGTGAGAGCCCATGGAGGGCTCTCACCATTAGAGATGCTCTTACAACGTTTTTATGTAAAATATGGAAGCATGCATGGTTGGTCGACCTATGTGACAGTGTCTCTTGTTACTGTAACATAACGTGAATGATTTTGAGCTATAGATGAGATCTGTCTGCCTTGGCAACTGATATCATTATTGTCTTCTTATCTTCGTTATTTTCTTTTAGTTTCAACTTTCAACTATTTGTACCATTTATTTGACCTATTCACTTTCGATATAGGGGATTATTGTCTAAAATGCCATTTTTTGGGAAAACCTTACGAAAATATCATTTTTTGAATAGTTTACGGATTTTGTCTTTTTTTTAACACTTAAAAATATACGTATTTTGTGATTTTTTTTTTGCAAAAATACATACTTTATACCAAATATTAAACCCTAAGAACAAATGGAACCGACTAAACCCAAACATAACGAGTGAAACGTATGTTAAATCATATTTTTAGAGCCTGTAAAAAGGCAAAATCCACAAACTATTCAAAAAATGGCAAAATCCACAAATGCCACTATGAAAAAGGACAAAATCCGTAATTAATTCTCGATATAGGCTATAGAGGATAAAATGACATTATTAGTCTTTTATTTTATATAAAGAAAAAAACTTTCTCCGACAAGGACACTAGGACAGTAGTCCTTTTTTTTTTTGAGCAAAAAGACCGTCGGATCTATCAAAAGTAAGATATCATAAATTTTATAAATTAAGTAACAAAATTTGTCTCCAGATTTACAGTAGAATTTTAGAAGAAAACTTGTACCAGAATAATCATGAATATATTGTAATTTTCTATATATTTGTACCTAAAATAAAATTAATCATCAAACATCTCATTATCGCCGTCAGACTTGTCCAACGGTAGCCTTGTTTGCAATTGCAGAGTTGCTCATTATTGCCGTTCTGACACTTAATCTACTAAATTCTGATTGTTATCTTATCAGTTAGTTTCTGCATCCGGATGGTGATATTCATAAAAACGAAGTACATGATTAACTTGTTTTTTTTTGATAAAAAAAATTATTGACTAGTTTGAAAAGGACTAATTTATGGTGTGACCTTGGCTTATTCGACATAGTGTGGGGAGGGATCTCTATTATGAGGATGCGACCGTTTGTGTTGCTGTTGAGTGTTTTCCATACGAAAACGATTTTCGACAAGCTAATGTAGACCTATTTCTGTTCATGTTACATTCTCTTTTATTTTGGTAAGTTAAATGGAAGCTTAAACTAACATATCTTTTCAAAGTTGTTGAATTTCGCTTTTACTTTCCAATTTGTCGGACAAGTATATTTCACTCAAATCAATCAAGTGTAAAGATTTTGTTTTTGTTTGGTGAGATAATATTTCTTATAGTTGAGGCGAAGATGTATAATGTGTGTCCAATGAAGATTGATTGTTTTTTAATTAGTTGAAACCACTTTCAGTTTATTTTCCAATGCACATACTATTTGAATCTTTAGAATGAGGCACATCGAATATCTATGATTGGAAATAAATGTCAGTGTTAAGAACTTGAAAGTGAAAAACATTCGTATTAAGAAGAGAAACAAAAAAGTGAAACCATTAAAATGCCAAAAAAGAAAAAAAGTGAAAGCATTAAATCCCAAAGACAAAAAAAGTGAGAACATTAATAAAACGCCAATAAAAAAAAAGTGAAAACATTATAAAATGTCAAGGAAAAAGTGAAAATATTATAAAATTGTAAACTCGGAATTAAGGTGTGAATTGTGAATTTGTGATTATCCAAATGCATACATATCTGATTCCAATGGATACTGTCGGTCGTGCAGAGGAGAATGATATAAAGTCCCGTGGGTTAAAAGAATTTCATCCTTTGGGAGCGTCCAAAAGCCACCCGCTCCGACTAACGTTTTTTTTTTTTTTTTACCAAAATGATTTATGTATATATTTTTTTTGGATAAACCCTATCGGCTATCCGGTCGGTCACGGTAGAAACGCACCGAGATGCTACATAGTGGACTGGTCCACCGTGTTAACGATTAGACCCTTACGGACTACCACTCTGCTTATCCCGAGTTTAGAATGTCTTCCGATTTATGTATATCGTTACTGAATTGGGAGATGACATGATTAATTTATCACACATTAAAATCTGTCACGTACCAAAAAAACAAAAAAAAAAAACAGAATCTTATTACTATAATTTTTAATCCAACTTGAAAACAAAAATAAAAAGGAATAGAAAAAAATCTTCTATCTGTACATTTATTTCTCTTTCCTTTCTAATTTTCATTTTTTTAATGTCTCTATCAAAAAGGAAACAAAAATAAATAAATTTAAAACTTATTTGGAGTGGGGACGCGTCTATGATAAATACAAGGAAGGATGAAGTGAGAGTTAAAGGAAAGCAAGATTTAAAAAAAAAAAAAAAAAAAAAAAAACAAAGAAAAATGGTGATAAAAAGGATAGAGCTGTGTATAGAGCTAATGAAGATAGGTATGGAGTTTGTGGTGGTGGTGGCTGAAGCCGTCCAGATTGTTATGCGGCAGCACCTCAACCACCGTGCTCCACCTCCTCCGCCTCTCCTCCGCCATGGCCTCCTCCCTTACACCGCTTCTTACCCTTCTCCGTTCCTCTTTGGATTTCTCCCTTGAAAACCTTTTCTTGCTATGAAAATTATTCTGCTTCTTTTTGTTCTCTGTGTAGATATTTTAGATGTTGTTCGTGTTGATTCTTGTAACTCTGTATATTTCTTAATTCTCTATTGATTTTTAGTTCGTTCTTTTTTTGTCAAAGTTTTTTAGTTCGTTCTTGATGTTCATTTCTTTGGATTATCTTCTAGCCATACAATTTGCAGAGTTAAATAATAATCAAGTGAACAATTTGGACGGGTAGGCAGCTAGCGAAAACAATTTGCCCCCCTAAGACCAGGTATAACTAAAAAATTGTTGGTTTTGCCATGTTTCTTCATGATAATATTTTAGTACTACACGACAAGTTATTCAACTAATTCTTTATAAAAACAAAAAAGAGGTTATTCAATTAATTACTACTAATCTTGTTAGTCTTGGAGAGATGCCTTGGCATTCTGGGTTTGAACTTGGACTTTTTCCGTAGTGTTTGAGAAGAAAAAAGATTCTTAAGAATAAAATAAAAATTGAATATCGTTTAATCGGTTATTGGAATTGGATACTATCTCCATAATGGCAGTAGCGCAATATACTTATCTTGGGGTTAATTATGTTAAAATATTTCACAAAAATATCTACTTCAAAGCTCAACAGTTTTTCAATGATTTTTTTTTTTTTTTTTTTTTTTGGTATAAATAAGAGTTTTCCAAAAAATATATGGATAAGAAAAATGTATGTTTTGTTTGTATACTTCTTCCGTTATCATAATTTGTTACTGTCGACCTTCATTATCATAGTATATATCCCTTTCACCGTTCCATGAGAAAATATGTATGTTTATTGCATATACGTCCAAGTTCATCAAATATCGCAAAAAATTCTCAGTCTCCCCTACCAATACATTAGTAAATTCATCCTGTAAATGCCAGACAGAAAATGATTAGTATAGTAATAAAATAGGCATGAAATCGTGTTTTATTAAGCTAATATTGATACAGTAAAATTATAACTTTTCTTTAAAAATAGGGAGACTCACAAAAATGCCCCTTTTTTAATACCCCTTTTCAAAAATGCCCCCTTTGGCTGTCCATTTTTAAAAATACCCCTTTTTATGTACAAAATGACTAAATTACCCTTCTTTTAATAAAAGATATCACAAATATATAAGGAAATATAACAAAATTAGGTCCACAAAATACAAAATATTTTTTGGCGGGAAAAGTGATCCCGCAATTTTTCCCGCCAAAACACTTGTAAAAACTTGTAAAACCTTTAAAATACCTTGTAAAATTTTCCCGTAAAACTTTTTCCCGCCAAAAAATTTTCCCGCCAAAAAATTTTTTTTGCGGGAAAAGTGATTCCGCAATTTTTTTGGCGTTAAATTTTTGGCGGGAAAATTTTTCCCGCCAAAAATTTACAAGGTATTTTTAAAGGTTGTTTACAATGTATTTATAAGGTTTTACAATGTATTTAAAAAGGTTTTACAACGTATTTACAAGGTATTTATAAGATATTATAAGATTTTACAAGCTATTTTATAAGGTTTTTACAAGTTATAAGGTTTTACAAGTTTTTTATAAGGTTTTACAAGTTATAAATACCTTATAAAACCTTATAAGTACCTTGTAAAACCTTTTAAAATACATTGTAAAACCTTACAAAACACTTGTAAATACTTTGTAAAACCTTTAAAATACCTTGTAAATTTTTCCCGCCAAAAATTTTCCCGCCAAAAAAATTTCGCAAAAAAAATTGCGGAACCACTTTTCCCGCAAAAAAAAATTTTTGGCGGGAAAATTTTTACGGGAAAATTTTACAAGGTTTTTACAAGTTTTTTGGCGGGAAAATTGCGGGATCACTTTTCCCGCCAAAAAATATTTTGTATTTTGTGGACCTAATTTTGTTTCAAATAAGGGTAAAATGGTCATTAAAAATTAAAAGAGGGCAAACTTAAAAATGGACTCTCAAAAGGGGCATTTTTGAAAAGGGGTATTGAAAAAGGGGCATTTTTAACAATTTCTCTTAAAAATAAGTCACCAAGTAAAATTTATAGTAAGTTTATAGTAAAGCATTCCAAACTTATATCAGATAGTGTGGTGACCCAATTATGGATTTCATGGATCTTATCATCCGTTCGATCTGAGTCCGCCCGGAGCTCATGGTATCCGTTGAATCGTTGAATCGTTGAATCACAGGAGTAGTCTACTCTGTAACTAAGCGGATCAGCCGATAGGGTTTAAAATAAAATAAAAATTATAGTAAGTAAAGACCCGCATATAATTTAAAACTAAAAACTGATGTAAAGGACATTTTTTTTGGGTAGTGATCTCGAAATATTCCAAAATTTAGAAGTTTTAAAACTTTTTACGGTATGGTTACAAAAATGAAGACTTTCAAGAGAGCTCGTGACTTGTGACCATGCTATGGTGCGTATTAACTAAATGAGAGCTTTAGTAACCTCTAGGATACATCGTCGATACAAACGTGTTTAAGGTTGAAAGGATTATGTACCATGCGATGGTGCGTATTACCAAGAGAAAACATCATGTCATTACAACGAATGAATTGGAAATGGGTTAAATGTCTACCACGATGCCTCTATAGATGATAACGGTTGTTGGTGTAAAGTTTATGACCACTTAACTCAAAATTAATTGATAACTAGTGGTAGGATTTTTTATATAGTATATAGTAGTGTACTAGTGTTGAATTGAATCATCTCCACTTAATGTAGAATATTTGAAAACAAGTTTTTTCGAGATAATGATATTTTGGATTGGTAGAATTCTAATATCATGTGAATATGTATCCAACTCAAATCAATTAACATTAGGTAGAAAAGTTAATCTCTCTTATATACTAATGGTGATTCGTGTTTCACTTTTTGATGTGGAATATTCTAACACTTGGTTCATTCTTTATGTCCAAATATCGAATTCATAATCTTATATTAAGTTTCATAAAAACATGTATATAACATATATCAAATTTGATATCCAATCGAAGAAAAAGTCGAATGGTATTTGAAATAATCTTCCATATAAATAGATGGGATTCTAGTTAGTGACTACTAGTTTCGGTAAAATGAAAATACAGTATTAAATTAATGATATTAGGGATTTGGAATTGGATTGGTTATGTTTAACAGTTTTGTCTTTTTTTTGATAACTCAGGGAAATCCTAGACTTATGGAGGGTCCAGACTAATCCCTTGGGGAGGTGCAGTCCATAGATAGACTCTCTCTCCGGGTATGCAAATGGGCCAAAAGCAAAGGCTCATATCTATGTGGCTAAGTGGAGATCTAGCAATTGCGAGCTTGCGGGGAATCGATCCCTGACCTAGACCAACAGGGCAACTCCTCCACAAATGGCAACCACTAGACCAAGAACACTTGGTTAACAGTTTTGTCTTGTACACGTTAAATACCAAAAGCTGGTCTGATGGAAACAGACTCAATTATTTGAAGTTGGGAGAGGAGATGTCACTTGAACTTAATGCAATTGTGATGTCTTACTCAGCTAAGTACATTCTCTTTTTTTGCTACGAAACATATTAAATTTTAGTTGATACATGTACATGACTCCTAAATTAAAATGAGTTATTGGTTTTTTTTTTCGACAAAGAGTTATTGGTTTATGAGTTGACTCTGCTGGCACTATCGGATCAGATTGACATTTTTTAAATATACATGTAACACATTCAATAATTAATCATGTTACAACATATGTTGCCCTCCGACCGAATATAATTAATAATGGTTTTAGTGCTTGAATACTCGCTTTCTTGGTCGAGTCCATGGATATATAGCAATTCATTTATTCTACTTTTCAGTTTTCACAAAGATACTTGAAACCCAAAAACAAAAGCCGCCGTTGGAACATTGTAGAACTTACTTACATAATTAAGAGACCGTGTAATCAAGTTTCTACCCAAATCATTAAGCGTCTATGACTTGTCGTACACAAATTCACCATTAATACAACATAATGTATATTTTTTTTCACAACCGATCCGATTAGTAACACAAAACTATACAAAAATTTTAGCTATAAGTTTTTACGAAACAATATAAAAATAAAAAGAGTGATACATAAAAGTTATACAAAAAAAATGAGAGTACAAAATTATTTACCATTCAAATCTAATATATGCGTGTATATAGTACTTATATATTTCCCGAGTCACGTAACACAGCATCTCACATTAATGAATCGGTTGGCTGGCTGGCAATAATGATTTTTTTTCTATGTCGTTATCAATTAAAGTAAATTTTTTGTTCATATTTCCCGAGAATAATTGTTGAAATTAAGACAGGAAGAAACATTAATATGGAGTATTAAAAAGTGTTGCGAATAAATACCTAGGCTAAGTAGGTCAATTTAATTGAATTTAGTTCTGCTGAAAACAATTAAATTGTACTTCCTCCGTTTCAGTTTAGTTGTCGTTTTAAGATATAAATTTTGTTTCAAAATAGCTGTTTAGGTTTTCAATGTAAATGTTTGGTGAAAATTCCAGTTTTATCTCTACTGTTTTAATGTTTTGGCCAATGAATTTTTTTATAAAATATATTAATAAAAGTAAAACAGAAAATTTAATTCTTTTCTTAATTTGCGTGAAAAAATCTTAAACGACAATTAAATCAAAAACAATTTAATTGAATGGGTGATTTAGGTGAATAACCCAAAAAAAAAAGAAAAATTAGTTTTTTAGAAAGAATGTAGAGAGAGATAGGAAGAGAAAGAGAGTGAATAGGGGGGTTAGAGGTTAGATTAACTGAAAAAAAACTAAATGCAAAAAGTTATAATTAATCAGTAACCGTTTTTTCTCTCTGTGATGGGCGATTCTTCGTGCGATTTCCCCTCACACCGATTCATTTCTCCGATTTGGAGTAATCCTCCGACCATCGGAAACCATGCTTCCTTCCGGTTTTCGATCGGCGGTTTTCTTCTGCCCTTCCTTATCCATGGCAGTTACCATTTCCCTTCCTTCTCGGAGGGTAACCACCCAAATAAACCGCCATAGAAGTACTATAAATTCTCTGGTTCTCGATTCTCATACAATCATTCTTCAATCAAATCGATTCTCAATTCGATTCATACCACAATGAGTGAACGACTCCGCAAATCGGTCCAAGACCTTGATCTTGGTGTTGACGATGAACCTGTAACGCTTCCATCGGTGTTATGCTTTCAAGCCGCTCATGTTAACCGTTTCTCTCTGGTTGTGACCACAGTCAATCTGAGGAAACAAAATCTTCGGGCTTTGATTGGCCAGATGCCGAAAGTTTGGGGTCTTCAGGACTCATGTGTGGGGCGTATTTTGGACAGAGGCAAGGTCCAATTCAAGTTCAAGACAGAGGAATCCATGAATCTAGTGCTAAACAGAGGGCCTTGGTCTTTCAATGATTGGATGCTTCAATCCATCGATGGTATCCAAACATCACGGAGACTGAAATGAAGATTATTCCTTTCTAGGTTCAGATCAAAGGAATTCCACTTCTCTATCTCACCAATGCTATGGCGGATTATGTGGGAAGCAAATTGGGAAGAGTGATTAATGTTGATTTCGATGAAAACACTAACCATGTGGGTTTTGTGAGAGTGCAGTTGGCGTGGAACTTTGATGACCCTCTACGTTTCCAGAAGAATCTGCAATTTGAGGCTGATGAGAATACTCTGATCAAGTTCCACTTTGAACGCCTCAGAAATTTCTGTTCAAAATGCGGTTCCCTAAAGCATGATATAAAAGAATATACCCTGGCTTTTGATGATGATGAGGCTGATGATTCAAGTGATGACGATGATGATGATGGTCATGAGGATAAAAATGACAAAGATATGTCTGAAGCAGACACTCTTCAAACTGTTGACCCCGTTACTCTAATCCCGGAACTGCAAGCAACCATTCCTGTGAAGAATCTGGGAACATCATGGGAGAGCAATGAAGTTTCATCAGTACCAAGTGTCTTTGAAGACACAAAACTTACTGCAGAGAGGCTCCGGTACCTTCATGGTAAATTTACCCGCAATGGAGTAGATGCAAGGTCTAAGAATGATTTCCTGGAGGAGGCTGCAGGTAATGCTCAGAATCAATTCACACTACAAGAAAAACTTACATTCTTAGCGCGGAAAAAGTGCTATCATAGGTAATACATAGCGAAATAACAACTGCTATGATTGCGGCAGCTATGGTAGATATCCCACCTACAATAGCATTAATTTTGTCTGCTATAGTATGTTCATCTACAATAGCACTTTTTTAATGTCTTTATTTATTGTTTCATAGCAATAATCGAATGCCATTACTACCTTTAATAGCATATTTTCTTGACGCTCATAAGTTTTATGATAGCGTTGTTATTACGTGCTACTGTTTGGTCTGTGCTATTGTTTGGTCTGTCTTATATGTGATAAACATCCAAAACATACATATACATCATATCATAAACCAAACATCATTTTTGAACCAAACACCAATTCATACATAAATCAAATATGAATCCAATACCTAAACTAATATCCTTACGTCTAATTACCATTGTTGCCATTGGAGATAATAAGACGACTAATAACATCATACAAATAGCTTACTTTGTCTTCTAGATCACTGACTCGGTTCTTCAAGTAAGTTAACTCTTCTTCAACGGTTGGTATTGTAGGTTTTCGCTTAGCCACTCTTCGAAAAAGACTTCTACGGTTTTTGTCTATTACGGCATCGTCTATGTCACTATCCTCAACTACCAACTCTGTTAGAAATAACAAAACAAACATTTCAAATCAGAAATATGCACAAAACAAACATTCATATATTGACTGCAGAATTGAATCATTTTAATCGCATCACATTATAATAAAGCCAAAACAATAACATATATTTGTTCACCTGAATATGCAGCTTGCGAGTCAGTCATATCATCAATCTTAGAAGAGACTAAGTCATCGATTTTTGTTGGTGTCTCTTTCTTAATTTCCAAATCCTTTATACTTTCACTTTCTTTAAGGTCAGAGAATTCAAAACCATAACATGTATCCAACATCGGTGATTCATAGACATAGTCCGGAAACCATTTACTTAAATGAGGAGGTTCTGATAATCAATTGAAACAAAACATATTAGGTTTGATACAAATGATTAACATGTACAGATTTAGCAAGAGCATAAGAGAAAAGAGTACTTACCAGAAAATTCTGAATCATAAAGATCGTTATCTGAAGTGTTCTGCACAAAAGTACCCAAATTTAAAAGCTACATAAGGACACCAAGTAATAAAACATTTGCTTACCTCTGTTTTCATTTCATCTCTGAACTTTTTCTCTTGAAAATGAGCTGAATATGAAAAAAGCAAATATCCATAATATTCAATTGATATGCTAAGTTGACTATATCATACAAATTGGTGTGATGCCTCTTACCGTGAAGATGCGACAAGTAGTCTCTTTCGTTGTTATGCATCTTTAGACAGATTTTACATTCGTAACTTCACAATATAAAACACACGAAAGAAAACAACAATCAAATTAGTCACACCAGATTCAATAATGATCCATAACTAAGTTCAATAATGAACTAAATGTAATAAGCTGTACATAACGCCAAACAATGTCAAGAAACAAGCAAACCAATAATGAGGCAATTCGTCGAACACATGGAGGGCATGAAATCATCATCAGTTTACACAACAAAAACTATTCTAAGGAATCAGGTAGAGACGCACAATAGTTTTGTGAATTCAATCTTTCCAAAACTCAGATTCGACAATAGTATAATCATAGCCGAAACTATTACTCACAACTATATTTGGATGGGAGAGATTTTTGAGAAGCTTTACTTCTTCTTCAAGCTCCTGAATTTAGCACCAACACCTGAGTTTTATCTCCAGTCCATAGCATTCTCACTATTTAGAATAATAAGCACGCAGAAATTGAGAAGAAGAAATCATAAAAAAAAAAAGAATCGAGAAATTGTAACAAGTGAAACAAAGTTTTAAAAACCTATGGTGGCTTGTGTAGAGATCTAAACTAGATAGAAGAGAAGCCAATCACAGAACGTATGAAAAGCCATCGGAAGTCAAGATCATACTAGCCAAAGACTCCAAGAAGCCATCCTTTGACAGCAGCTACATAGCAGCCCATGATTAAACTATATAATTGAACCAAATCTAACCATAAGATGTCTCTATAAGACCCATTACTCTATTCCAAGCTAAACATAGGAACAGAGAGAAAAATTCATCTTTTAACTGAGGAATCAATGTTGGACTCTTTAACGAATCCATGACCACAAATTTATGAACATCCTAAGTCAAAAGCAAAAATATTCACTAGATAACATGATTATACATTGATTAACACTGATACACAACTGAGAGTTTCAAGAGAAACATGATCACAATCATGAAACATATCAAAGCATAATCACTCCAGCACAAATTTCACTACCAAATCAAATCATCATCATAAAGATAGTATCAAATGTGAAATTCAGATTCAATAGTTGTTGTTTGTGAGCAGCATCGTCAATACTCGATACAATGGCACAAATCAAAAGCAGATTCAAAATTCAAACACATGACAGAGTAACCAAAAAGCAAAGAAGAGTATCGATTGATACTTGATACAATGGCACAAATCGAAGGCTGAAGATCGAACAAATCTGCAACAGCGACGCTCGAACCGAAGACGCCGTGGACAACCGGAGTCGGTGGAGATGATGGGGTAACGGAAGAACGACGGCCGGAGGTCATTCACATCCTGAAATCGCCTCCAGTTTCTCTGTTTTGAGCAAATCGCGATTAGAGAGAGAGAAAAAAAACACCCAGAAGAGGCAGTGGTCGTCGTCTTTGCAGAGAGAGGGATGATATGTCGGAGAAATCTAAATAGATTGAGAAAAGTTGCAGAGAGAGAGAGAGAGAGGATCGAAGATGGTGAGAGTGAGAGAGCTTTTTTTTTTTGTTCAAAGTTTTGTTTTTTTTTCTCTCTCTCTATCCAATTGAAAAGGAAAAGTCACCGTCTGTTTTTTTTAAGTGTTAGAATCGATGAAAAAATTGGCTCTAATAGTTCCCGCTTAGTTAAATTTCAGCATAGCATTTATAAAATGCTATAATAGAGTATTCCAATCCGACATAGTCTTTTTCATAGCAAAATCAAAAATCGTGCTATGCTTAAGTGCTATCAATGTAACTTTTTTTTGTAGTGTCATGTTTGTCAAAAGGAAGCGTGTTCAGTTTGAGGAGATGTACCAGAGAGAGGAGGCAGCGGAAGAGATGGCGGTCCTAAGCCATCTTTGCATACGTGAGAAGACCACTGAGTCTGCTGGTTCCTGTTCTCGCCACAACGGAATAGACGGAGGCACGAGGGGACTGGTACCCTCATGGTTCCCCCCATGAGGATCACATCCTGGAATTATCAAGGTTTGGGCTCACCATCGAAGCAGTCTCGGTTGTTTCAATTTGTTCGTTTGTTTAAGTGTGATATCCTATTTCTAATAGAAACTCTAAATAAGTGTGAAGTAGTATGTAAATTAGCGTGTGATTTAGGCTATGCTAATGTAATAACTCAGCCCCCTCAAGGAAGGAGTGGAGGCTTAGCTTTAATGTGGAAGAATAATGTGTCTTTGTCTCTGATTTCTAGAGATGAAAGACTCATTGATGTTGCTGTAAAATATAATGAAAAGAACTTCCATTTGTCTTGTTTGTATGGGCACCCAATCCAGAGTGAGCGCCATATCTTATGGAACCATTTAGAATCCATCTCTTTGAATCGTTCTGGTCCATGGCTACTCTTAGGTGACTTCAATGAAATCCTTTCCAATTCAGAAAAAATAGGCGGGCCTCCAAGAGAGAACTGGACGTTCCGAAACTTTCGCAATATGATCACGTCTTGTGATCTCACTGAAATAAAATCACTTGGTGATAAGTTTACTTGGTCGGGTGAAAGACACAGCCACTCTGTCAAATGTTGTCTGGATCGAGCATTCATAAACTCAGAATGGCGAATAGAGTATCCACATGCTGAATTAGAATTTTTAGAGTTTGTTGGTTCTGATCACAAACCAATTATGGTCAGATTAAACATTCCAGAACCACAACGACATAAACTGTTTCGTTTTGACAAGAGGCTGTTTGATGTACCTTCGTTTAAAGGTATGGTCAAGAATGGATGGGCAAAGGGAACATACACTGCAAGAACTCCAATCACAGACCGCATCCGAACCTGCAGACAAGCAATGGCGAGACTCAAGCACCAATCTTCTCTCAATACAGACATCCGGATAAAAACTTTGCGTTCTAGGCTTAACAGAGCCATATAGAGCAATTTGATGTCAGTAAGGCAACAAATTCCACAACTAAGACAAGCTCTCTCAAAAGCTTATCATGATGAAGAGATCTATTGGCAACAAAAAAGTAGAAATCAATGGATGAAAGATGGTGACCGCAACACCGGTTTTTTCCATGCTTGCACTAAAACCAGATTTTCGCATAATCAGATCGCTTCTATTAGTGACAACGATGGAACAATATTTCGAGGAGATGATAAGATAGGGAGCCATGCTCAAATGTTCTTTACAAACATCTACACCACAAATGGTATTGCTGTTTCACCCATGGATTTTGCGGATTTTAAGCCTACTGTTACTACAAGTGTAAATGACGCTCTAACAAAGGATTTTGATGAGGAAGAAATTTATGAGGCCATTTGTTTAATTGGTGATGACAAGGCTCCAGGGCCTGATGGTTTGACGGCAAGGTTCTATAAGCAATGTTGGAATATAGTTGGGAAGGATGTTGTGAGGGAAGTGAAGTCTTTCTTTGCGACTTCTTGTTTGAGGAATGATATTAACCATACAAACATCTGTATGATACCAAAAATAGACAACCCCACAACTCTCTCTGACTATAGACCAATCGCCTTGTGTAACGTTTTATACAAAATCATTTCCAAGTGCTTGGTTCGTAGACTAAAGACGCATCTAGATTCTATTGTTTCGGATGCTCAAGCGGCTTTCATACCGGGTAGACTAATCAATGATAATATTATGATAGCACATGAAATAATGCACTCATTGAAGACCAGGAAAAGAGTTTCCCAAACTTATATGGCGGTAAAAACGGACGTAAGCAAGGCTTATGATAGAGTTGAGTGGAGCTTTTTAGAAACAACAATGCGTTTATTTGGTTTCTGTGATAAGTGGGCTGATTGGATAATGGAAATGGTGCGTTCAGTTCGATACTCAGTTCTAGTCAACGGTAATCCCCATGGTTATTTCACACCGTCGCGAGGAATACGACAAGGTGACCCCCCTATCCCCATATCTCTTCATCCTTTGTAGTGATATCCTAAGTCATTTAATTCGAAGTAAAGCCCAAGATGGTGAGATACGTGGCGTGAGAATTGGTAATGGTGTACCGACAATTACGCACCTTCAATTTGCCGATGATTCACTCTTTTTTTGTCAAGCAAATACGAGGAATTGTCAAGCTCTTAAAGATGTTTTTGACATCTACGAATACTATTCGGGCCAAAAAATTAATAAAGACAAATCTATGATAACTTTTGGCTCAAAAATCTTTAATAACACTCAACAAAGACTCAAAAACATTTTATGTATCCAAAATCATGGTGGTGGTGGCAAATATCTAGGACTTCCCGAACAGTTTGACCGCAAAAAAAAAGAGATGTTTGAATATATTATTGATCGGGTTAAGAAAAGAATTGCTTCGTGGAGTGCAAAGTTTCTATCCCCCGCGGGTAAGGAAATATTAATAAAATCGGTAGCTCTTGCAATGCCGGTTTATGCGATGGCCTGTTTCAAACTTCCACAAGGGATCATTTCGGAAATTGAATCGCTCCTAATGAATTTCTGGTGGGAAAAAAATTCAAAACAAAGGGGTATACCATGGATTGCGTGGAAGAAGCTACAATATTAAAAAAAAGAAGGAGGACTGGGTTTCCGTGACTTGGCGAAATTTAATGACGCTTTACTTGCGAAACAAGCTTGGCGTATCATTCAAAATCCTCATTCTCTGTTTGCCAGGATCATGAAAGCCCGATACTTCCGTGATGAATCGATCCTTGATGCAAAAGCGCGAAAGTATCAATCTTATGGTTGGGCCTCTCTCTTATCCGGTGTTGCCCTACTCATAAAAGGGACAAAATATATTGTAGGGGATGGTAAATCTATACGGTTGGGCATCGATAATGTGCTTGAGGATCATCCTCCTAAACCAATCCGAGTTGTTGATCCTGACCCAAAAATCTTTTTAGAAACACTTATTTCAAAGAATGGTACGTCTCGTTCTTGGGATACTTCCAAGATTGCTAGCCTCGTCGACCAGAGAGATCAAACACTCATTCAAAACATTCATCTATCAATAGAAGTGAACAACGATACCTTATCTTGGAATTATAACACTTCTGGTGATTACTCAGTACGTTCCGGTTATTGGTTGCTTACTCATGACCCCCATGAACTTCACAACAATGTTGATGTACCTCCTGGATCGGTTGAACTAAAAAACAGTGTTTGGAAATTACCTCTCATGCCAAAGATTAAACACTTTTTATGGAGAGCTATTTCCCGGGCCTTATCTACGATGTCCAGACTTGTTTCACGAGGGATGCGTGTTGACACCATCTGTCCTAGATGCCGTCGTGAGGAGGAAAGTATAAATCATGCCTTATTCACTTGCCCTTTTGCCAACATGGTCTGGCGGCTGTCCAATTTAATATCTCTGCAAACGACGAGTTTCTCTACGGAGTTTGAATCCAATATTTCCCTCCTTCTAAGCTTCACTACCAACCAAACGTTACAAGATGACCAGAAACTAATGCCTTTTTGGTTGTTATGGCGCATTTGGAAATCTAGAAACAATTTCGTTTTTAACAAGGTTAGGGAGAGTGCAACCAAAACTGTGTTAAAGGCGCAAGCAGAAATAGGACAATGGATCACGGCTACACATTCTACTACAAGAAATAATTACAGAAAGGTTCATGATATTCATCCTCCTCCTTCTCGGCATTGGACGACTCCCCCACCATCTTTCATCAAATGTAATTTTGATGCGGCTTATGATATTCAGACACAACAAGTAACAGCAGGTTGGATCATGAGGGACCATCATGGAACATCAAAACATTGGGGATCTCTGAAATTAGGGCAAGCAGCTACTCCTTTAGAAGCTGAAACAAAAGCACTCCTTGCTGCAATGCAACAATCGTGGATCCGTGGTTACAAAGCAGTTTTCTTTGAAGGGGATTGTGAAATCTTAATACAAACTCTTAACAATTCTAAACCGATTGGAACTTTGACAAATCTTCTCAAGGACATCAACTTCTGGGCAAGGAAATTTCAACGAATCCGGTTCATCTTTACTAAGAGAGAAGGCAACACAGCAGCACATTGCCTTGCAAAGTTTGGTTGTATTTCTTCCATTTGTTATTCCAGTTCTGTAACTCAGCCTTTATGACTTCAAAAACAACTTTGTATTGACTTTGCCAATTTAATATAAATTTGCTTTGATGGAAAAAAAAAAAAAGTTAGACATTTAATTTTGTTTTTTTAGGTAATCTAGTATAATTTCTCTAATTGAATTTAGTTCTGCTGAAAACAATTAAATTGTACGCGAAGTCATATCTGCAGTTCCAAAGGAGACGGGTGCATACGGCAATAATTAATGATACTGAACATGGATGAGAAATGAGGCTGATTCAGTTTTGACATAAAAGACAAAAAGCTCTATCCATTCTCTTTTATTTTTTGTCGGATCCATGCTCTTTTCAATACAAGGGATAACAAGCTTTAAAAAAAAGGAAAAAAACAGATGGGCTTACTATTGAACTGAATGAGAATTAAAAGTTTACAGAAGCCCATTAGGCCCAATAATAACAAGTTAACAATTAGATAATGGGCTAGATAATTTCTATGGTCCTTTTAGGAATTGCAAGGTTTCAATATCATCAATTAGAGCGATCAGTACGAGGGTTCATAATATGTTTTCATTTCTTTACTTGTACTCCTTGTTTGAAAAATCGCTAGGCGCTAGTCGGGCGCTCGGCATGGGCCTAGCGATTAATCGGAAAATCGGATTAAAATCGGGGATTAACCGGGGATTAGTTTTAGGGTTATTTTAATATTTTTAAAATATATTAATCCAATATTGTAAAAATTTATGATTTTTATTACAAATTTATGATTTTTATTAAAATTTGAACACAAGTTATTGTAAAACATCACAAACTCCCTATTCAAATGATTGAATAACAAAAATGAAAGATTTTTTTATACTTGCAATCTAAAAAATAATCGGGGTATATAAGATTAGGTGGAAAATAATCGGATTAGGCGGGAAGTAATCGGATTAGGCGGAGAATAATCGGGTTACTGATTTTTTAGGGGATTAGTCATTAATCGAAGCGGATAGGGTGGGCCTAGCGATTAAACGGGGAGTAATCGGGGCTAGGCGGGGATTTTTAGAACAGGGCTTGTACTTGATTATTAAAAGATATATTAATAATGGGAGACTGAGATTTTTGATTAATCAGTTGTCAAGATTAATCGATCTTGCTTTGTTCCAAATGTTAGACAACTGCATTAGTTAGAAGAAAAGAGTATAAATCTGTATCGACCATAAGAAGTTGTAATGTACATATTTATACGACCTCTTGTTACAACAACTCATTTACACATTACCCTTCAGTTTTTTCTTCTTCTATTTTTTTTTTTGGATATAGCAATTTTTTCTTTTCTCTTCCTCTTCCTCAACTTTTTTCTTTTCTTAGTTTTACTACAATTAGTCCAAGACGATACAGCTGCTACTCATATATAGAATTCTTCTCTCCTCGATTGAGTTTAGTAGCCTGAGAACATTGGCGGTGGTGGCGATGCGTATTGGTGGCCGATGAACGGCGGTATGATGAATTCATCATCACTTGGAGCTGGTGCTTGAGCCGGTGGGGAGTTGATCTTGGGCGGTCTTGGCGGAGGAGAGTAGACTACAGGTGGAAATTGCGGCGGCGGTGGAGAAAAGATCGTTGGGGATGGTGATGGTTTGAGTGGTGTTTGTGGTGGTGAACTGGCCTTCGGCGGGTGAGCTGGAGGAGAATAGACCGGTGGTGGTGGCGAGTGTACTGGTGGCGGCGCTGAATGAACAGGTGCTGGTGGCGGTGGGGAATGAACCGGTGGCGGCGGTGAGTGAACCGGAGGGGGTGGTGGCGAATGGACTGGGGGCGGCGGTGAGTGAACAGGTGGCGGTGGGGAATTTACTGGAGGTGGCGGCGGTGGAGAGTAGACTGGAGGTGGTGGCGGTGGAGGTGAGTGGACAGGCGGTGGCGGTGGCGAAAAGACAGGCGGTGGAGGAGAGTGAACAGGCGGTGGCGGTGGAGGAGAGTGGACTGGCGGTGGCGGAGAGTGAACAGGTGGTGGTGGAGAGTGAACCGGTGGTGGCGGAGAGTGAACAGGTGGAGGAGGAGGTGGTGGTGGAGAGTTGACCGGGGCCGGAGGAGGAGAAGAAACCACCGGAGGTTGGAATTGATGAGGTGGAGGAGGGCTGCGCCTGTTCGTCACTGGAGATTGATCATAAGGATCATCCGGTTGAGGTGACCCTTTTGGTGGTTGTGGTTTTTGAACCGGCCGAGATGGAACTGGCGGAGTTGGAATTGGCGATGGTTTGTCAACGGGCGTAGTTGGAACTGGCGATGGTTTGTGAACCGGCTTAGTAGGAACTGGCGTTGGTTTGGGAACCGGCGTAGTTGGAACTGGCGTTGGTTTGTGAACGGGCGTAGTTGGTACTGGCGATGGTTTGTGAACCGGCGTAGTAGGAACTGGCGTTGGTTTGGGAACCGGCGTAGTTGGAACTGGCGTTGGTTTGTGGACCGGTGATGGTTTCGATGGAGTAGATGAGCCACCACCTCCGCCACCAGCGCACTTATCCTTGCTACAATCAACCGGGCGGTTGATCACAACCGCACATTCTTGGGAGGATCGTTGGTCAGGTCGAGCAGGCAAGCAATTACGTGTGTCGTCCAATGCAATCTCCTTGCGACCACCACCTGGAACACACGAACCACCTTGTCCATTGAAGTAATTGTAGGAGTAAGTGAAGTTCACCAAGTTAGGCAAGTTGCAAATGTTATCCGGTACAAGTCCGGTGAGTTTGTTCCCGGAGATATCAAATTCCTCCACATTCGTTAACCCGACAAAACTAGTCGGGAGACGACCTATAAACGAGTTCTTGCTTGCATCGAAAACCGTTACATTAGATAACTTCCCAATTTCAGATGGGAAACAACCTCCCAAATCATTGTCCATAAAGACAATCTCGTTGAGATTCTTCATGTTTCCGATACTCTTAGGGATACATCCAGTGAATTTATTGTTAGCAAAAGTCACAACCGAGGCCGGAGATTCCCCTAGAGATTCAGGAATCACCGAGGTGAATCTATTGTCGTTCAAGAAAATGGCGTCAAGTTCTTTCTTGAAAAGCTCAGGAGGGACTTGACCTTCGAAATCGTTGAACCTAAGGTCAATGTATTTGACATTAGGCCAAGAAAGGACGACTTTAGGGAAAGGTCCAACGAAACGGTTGTTACTGACATCGAATTCGTGCATTAGCTTCAGCTTCTCAAAGCTTTTAGGTATGATCCCGCAAAACCGGTTTGAATTCAAATGGAACATAGCAACATCTGTCATCAAACCAAGCTCAGCAGGCAAATGCCCTGCGATATCCGCACCGTTGAGGTCAACACCAGCTACAACTGTGACATCGGAATCATCAAGAGCCGGCGCACAAACCACACCGGTGTAGCTGCACACGTGCGGGCCATGCCAGTTTCCCGTGGTGTTAAACGGGTCTGAAAATATGGCCTTTTTCCAAGCCTGAAGAGCGATGTAAGCTCTCTTAAGCCTGGTGTTGGCAAATGTAGCCTTGAGATCAACCTCGTATTCGATATCATCAGGAAGTTCGCCGTTGTCTGGTAAGGTTAAGAGCTGTCGCTGAACAATGAAGGCAGCTTCTGTATCGGTTAGGGCAAATGAGACAAAGAAAGAAGATAAGAAGGAGAAGAATAAGAGGAAGAAGCAGCAGCCAAAGGACGGAGGTTTAGCCATGGCTAAAACAAAAACCTTGGAAAAGGCCCAAGGCTGCTTATAGAAGGGCATGAGAGGGTTCGAGGACACAAAGGTGTATTATTAATAAGCCAACGGTTTTCATTTTGAAATCACCAACGGTTTCCCTTAACATACTTTGTCTATAATTAGGGCAACTCTTGTTTTTAAGGATTTTGCTTCAGATCCGGAGGATATATTATCAAGAATAGAAATTGTGGTTAAAGAAACAAGTAAGAGAGCGAAAGCAGAATCTCTAAAATCAAAACCGGTCACTATTATAGGACACGGCCTTGAAAACGAGTGGTTGTTGATTCATTACCGAACATCACGCAATGGCGCAAAACCTATTTGTCTTTCACTATTTACTTGTGTTGCAAGATACATCCTCTAAGAGATCACAATATATGTATGCAAATCCAAGGATTCCATAAAACAAACAACGGTAAATCCATTGTTTCTTCACATGAGCCTCAAAAAATGCTCTCTCTTAGCTTTCTGATTTACAATCTCTTGTCTGCTTCAGCTCTAAACGCTTCAATCCTCTAAACGATCAATATTTCTCACTTGCTATACTTGCAATCTCATTGGTCAGCCATATCAACCTTGTCGAGTTTCAAGATCCTTTTGATCCTCTTAATTTAATTGATGATGTATGGATGCTCATAGTCTATGAAACCTCGCCAAACAGTTAAAAACAGGTCCGCTAATACAGATCCTCAGTGACTCAGGGTACATGTCAATAAGTTTCCATCCCTTACATATAACGTCAATCAGATTGATGATAATAGAATTCACCATGGTAAAAACGTTATATGTTACAAGACAAAAATTGTGAACAAGGTGAATTTCTCTTAAAAGTAGCAGCATGGAAACAAAAATCATTTACCAATAAAAGAATGGGAATTTATAAATTCATAAAAAAAAAACATTGTTCAAAAAATGAAGACAGAAGTATAGTAGATAGATGTTATATGAAATAAAAAGAATAAAATTGCCCAATAGATGCTAATACTATCAGATACATTTTTCCCCTAGTTACCATTAGACAAAATTTAACAGAAACAAAAACCAATCCTATTTCCATATCCCATTGGATTCCTTTATAAGGAAGGCTCTCTTTAGCCTCACGCTATACAACAAACAAAACCGTGTCCACATTCGTAACCCACACCTTCTATTCTTCTTTATCTCTATTCATGGTAAATTCATCTACACTTCCTAATGCTTTCACATTCTGGGCTTCACCATCCTTACCGGCACAACCTGAGAATATGTAGCAGCCACTTTAGCAAAACTTCACCAACACAAGTGAAGTTGTTTGGTATGTGTTCTTTATCTATATTTACCTGATCCTCCTTCAATGAACTATCATCGTTATTTGCTTCTCTGTCTCGTTTTCTGCTCACCTCTCCCTTCTCTTCTTCTTCTTCTTCTCTGAAATTCTGCCCTGACGCCTCTGTAAGTACAATAAAAACCAATGGAGGCCAGAGTTTAGACTTTAGACTTCACGTAATTTCACCATCAGGCAGATGAGCATACAAGTTCTACACAAAAGACAATTCATGTGTGGGCCAGGTGATAAATAGATATAGCAGACCAGATCTCATACATGTCCTTCATTTCTTTGATTCTCAGCAAGTCATATCAACTCTAAAGCAAAGCCTTCTAAAAGGGAAGATGCCAAACATAAAACTACTAAGAGGAGTTCGATTAAACTACGGTAAGCAAATGTTACCTGAGTGTTTGGTTTCTTCATGACATAACACATCTCCTTGGACAGCAGTTCCCATGGTGTAATTTCCGTTGGGATTTTCAGACTTACTTCTCAATGATTTTTTCTGAAAACGAAATTCAGATGAAGTCTCCAAATGAGCTTGTTTCTTTCCAAAGTTAACCTTCTGCCAGCAGCCATTTTGTAGGACCGTAAACTGCAAAACAAGGATGTTGTAAGTTTCACTAAAGGATAACAAAATAAATGAGGTCACAGAAAAAACAGTAAGTAAACCCCGAACCTGATCAGTCGATTTGTGGGAGTTAGACTGCACATCACGAGTTCTAGAAAGTATTTGAGTCTCTCCTCCAAGGAAGGAATACAACTGCCTAACAAACGAGCTCTCTAAATAATCAAGATATGAGTTGTGTTTCTCATTCGTCCAACCAGCACACTCATCCTGCAGAAAGAAACACTAATGATGTGAATCACACTAGGTAGGAAGAATTCAAGAAGAATATAAAGAGTAGGACTTGTCAAGAAAAACAACCATCACACCGCAATGAACAATCTAGTATTCAGCTACAATTAAGAAACCATTTTTACTTTTTACCACACAATGTAGGGAGACAGCAAATCCTCTATTGGCACAACACATTACAATATTCTGAGATGCAATAATTAAGCCAAAGGCATTTTGAACAATAAACAATATCATTAAGAAGGGTGGTATGTACCACGAATCACGAACTCTAATTACTCAAAAACTAGTTTAAAGCTAGGATTTTTTTCGATTTGGCCATTGGATTGATACAGATCAAGGATTAGTTATAGATCTCAAGATGATCAGGCATGAGATTGCCTCGGCGTCCAAGACTTGTTGAACAATCGAAATCTTCTGCTAATAAGGGAAAGGAAAAAAGAAACCCAAACAATCTCATTTAGCAAAAAAGAAATTGGATGGTCAAATTTGGTTGAAGAAGACAAATTTGCGACATCAGTTTTCACATATTGGAGATGATTAAAATTACCAAATAAAAAAAACCTCTCCTTGAAATTAAATGAGTCTGCGTTTATAGTCATAGAAACAGATCTAACATAATTAGTTTCCAAATCGATATGAACAAACAAAGTAAACCAGAAGATATTTTGTTTGAAAATATCTAAAATAACGAATCAAGTTAAAGGTCAAATTCGACGAATCTCCTCCTAAATATCGAACAGGGAATATATCAAACGAGAGCTGTGGAGGAAACAAAAAGCGAAAGGAAGATATTTGTTACCAGTTTGGAATCAGCATCAGCACGAGAGGTCTCAGCGGTAACACCGGACTCGAGCGAGTTCGATAGAGTCGACTCGCTCTGAGATTCAGCCGACGAATCGGCAACATCACGATCCATCTCCAGAGAAACAATATTCACCGTGTAATCATTCTCCATCGCTGCTGCTCCTATCTGCGGTGGTAAAAGAAAAAAGAACGGAGTCTCTCTTCTTCTTCGAAAGAGCCGAGCTTATTGCTTAAAGAGAGAGAGAAAGGAATGAGAAGAACAAGGAGATGAAAAAAGAAAAAACAGAGAGAGACAAAAGGTCTACATGGCGTCGCTTTTACACGTGTCAGCATATTGCCACGTCATCAGGGTCGCTAATAATATCTCGAACAAATATCAGCCAGATATTTTTTTGGAGGAGGTTGTGTTTAAAAAAAACATGATTTTTTCTTTTGTCAACTTATAGATATAGGATAATGGATAATGGATCTGATCAGATTTACGCCGAAACCTCTTTAGCAAGTGGTTTGATCACATGATTTTTTTTTTTGTAAAGAAAGACCAGAATTCGTATGAGCTTCTTGTAAAGAAACCGACTCGATAGTGTTTAGCACTAGCCCAAGACCGTAATACCCGAGAAACTCGATATAATTAAGATAAGAAACTCTCTAAGTATGATAGAAAATTTGGAAGAACAATTAGAGACTACTTGAAAGACTTTTGGAGAGACTCAGAAAACTTTTAAAGAGTGTTATTTTATTTGAACTTTCTTTTTTTTCACTTGTTCAACTTCCTCACATAATTACAAATGATGAGCGTGAGGAGGTATTTATAGCCTCCAAGGTTAGCTTACAAAGTCTCTAGATTATTCTACCATCATCTCTATAACTCTACTAAAATATCTAGATTTTATCTTACAAACTTCTAGATTATTCTACATAATTATCTAAATATCTATCTAATAGAATTCTCTAGAACATTTAAAGAGGTGATGATTTTTCTATGATGCTCTAGAGAAATCTAGAACTTAGGCTTAACTTTGGGTTTTATCCAATGTAGAATATTGAATTATAAACCCATAATTAAGCTTAAACCAAAATCAAGTTTAACTTCAATACTTCTCTCTCTAGGGTTTGATCTTACATTTTCTATGATAAATATGGATAAAATTGGCTTGGTGCGGTGTTGGTAGCAAATTATTAAAAAACACCTAAATTTGTGGTGAAATAATGTTGAATCCCAAGATTAAAGCGGAGCTAATCGACATAAAAACTGATCTCAGCTAGCTTTGTATATAAAACACGTACGGATACACATTTGAGCGTTTTAAGGTTAAGTACATCCTTCCTTATCAACGAATGAATAATTATTGGAGATGACAACTTGGTCAGCTCAAACATAAGAGATTCTCGGAAAATGTATTCAGCATAAGTTGGTCCAACACGCAATATACTGGTCATGAGTTATGTAGCTTTTAGTTATAAAATAGTCAGGATCGGATGAAGAAGTCTGATGCTCAACATGCTATAATATAGTTTAGTTTACATGTCATTTGCTCTTTCTTCATATATAAGGGCAAACGGTTTGTCACAATTATTGCACTATTTAACTAAGAATTACAAATAATATGATAAATAAAATTGAAAATGATATATGTGAATGAATGTTATTGTTAAGCTCTCATTTTTTTTTTGCAATGCTGGTGGTACAAAACATGGTATCCGGTAACATCTATAATATTTTTTTTTGTCAACTCTTTAATGCTTTAGAGTGCTGATCAAATAAAGAGAAAAAGAATAAAAATTGTTAATTTAAACAGTTACTTAACTTTCATTATACACCATTTGAATTTGAATATGAATAATGAGATAACGCCAAGAAAATTTAAATATCATGACCTAAAAATAAAAAAGTTGATAGGATAAATCCGGGAAAAAAAAAGCCATTGGTTTCGCAGATATCCATTTGCGCTACGAGACATTTGCTGACGTGGGGAAGTGGCTGCTTCAAAATATCTGCCGCTTCGTTCCTTAACAAAGAAAAATATCTGCCATTTTTTATAGAGAATATGCACAAAATAGCCAAATTTTTTTAAAATAATTAAGAAAATAGCCATAAACTACAGTACTTTGTCTGTTTGATGTCGAAAAGCACGTGTAATTATATACATGCTCTTTATAACATGTTTTTTTCCTCGAATTATATCTCTTTTTATCATATTATCTTCCGGTATTACACGTTATTTATAAAGAGCACATGATAGTTTTTGAAAAAATACTCTATTCAGTTTAATATCTTTCTCTATCATGTTATTTTGTAATAATACACGTTTTTTATTATGATCACATGTGATTTCTTTAAAAAAAGATTCTTATTTTCTAGTAATTCACGGTTTTTATTAAGATTATATGTTATTTCTTTGAAAAAACACTATATTCAGTTTAATATCTTTCTCTATCATGTTATTTTGTAGTAATACACGTTTTTTATTATGATCACATGTGATTTCTTTAAAAAAAGATTCTTATTTTTTAGTAATTCACGGTTTTTATTAAGATCACATGTTATTTCTCTATAAAAAGATTCTATTCAAATTTAATTTTTCCGTAACAATGTTAAAAAAAAAACACTACGTAACAATGTTTTTTCTTAAAAATTCACTACTTTTTTTAAATAGCATGTCTTTTAGTTAAATATAACATGTGAAATTTGGGTTCTTATATGCTATTTTGAAAAATATCACGAAACAATGTCGCCTACTGTAGATCTCAAAACAAACGGAGGATAGTTTTGTTATTTCACATCTTCAGACAAAGTGGGTCCATGCTGTTTTCCGACAGAAAATTTTCTCTCTGCTAGTTTTTTAATTTATGTGTCAAATTTGGCTAGTTAGTAATATTACCCTTCTTTATACAACCTAAAAACAAATATCTCGCGATAACAATAGTAGTTTTCTAATGTAGACCACTTCTTTATTTCCTCCTATTGTAGACCACTTTGCTACTGGTTGGATAAAATAATGTATTCTTTTTTTTATAATCATATAGACTCCCTCTTAGAAATATGTACAAATCCATCGAGATTTTCTTTTTCGATATCCTCCTTTTTTGAACTCTATATAAATATTGTACAATTCTTATGAATGGTATAGAACTTGTAGAATCAGAGTCTAGATCAAAAACAAAAACTAAAAAAAAAGATCGATTTGTACAAAGTTTGAAAACAATTATATTGCCTCCACCGTCACCTACCGCGGATTCTCTTCATTTCGGTGAACGTGTCAAACATCAGCCAATTAGCAATTATTAATCATCTCATGTGGAGCCAATTAATATTTTCTAGATTCTCTGTTTTAGATATATGTGAACAGAATTACAGATCCATCGAGATCATTCTCCTAATTATTCCTTAAAATCCTCCCATGTACTCTATATTAACCTTTGTACATTGTTATGCATAATATACAACTTCATAAGCTCTTGATAGCTATTACAACATACGACATTGTTGTTATACAATTATGTAATTTTTGTAAACTTATCTCTAATGCATATATGTGGGAAGTAAGTAGATTACTGGCTTTTTTCTTCTCTCAAGTCTCTAACACTACCAATGCTGTGGCGGGTTTGAAACTCTTTTTTGGGCAAAGCTACTTATATCTAATTCCTTTTACAAATGTATATTACGGAATTTGATATCTACTCATTCGAACGTATACATGCATGACCAAATTTCACATACAGTTTTTCACTATTCATTCTATGTAATGCTTCAATAATCATGTTTGTGGGATTTTTTTGTGTACTATGTTTACCATATCTTCTGTTTAGTTTATAGAATTGAAAACTTTCAATCACGATAATTCACGTCATTGTTCTAAAAAGATCTTTTAACCTTTTTTTATACCATGTTTTGAGAATACTGATGTCTCTTACTAATAAAGCATGACATCCTCATCGTAGAATCCAAGTAATTTGTAAGTGTGTGTACTGTGTAAGCTTCATTTTTCTCGTTTTGACTAATCTCTAGTTAATAATTTGCTGACATATTTAATAGATGCAATTCCATAAAAAAATGCATATGGCAATTTCGCATAACAAACAATCCATCGCGAAATTGTGACTATGTTTGGTTGGTTATATCTGTTATTTGTCTCAAATTTTCGTCTTTAGTCATAATAATGTAATGCTACCATTTTGTGAACTTCATGAGAGAGCAAACCAACCGCCCACATATACAACTGGTCACCGCAATGCATAATGACATAAAAACTGAAACACTTATACATATGTTCATTACCAACATTACATAATCGTAATACTTGATATAGTATTGCAACATAATAGTAATTCTTGAGAATACACACATCCTAACCCTCCCATGATGTTTTACATTATTTGGCGCTTACACATGTAAGGGTAAGGCTATGATTCATATCTGTAAGTGTTTGAGAAAAAAAAAAAAAAATACAATTCTTTCGACCAATTCCCAATAATCCATAGAACCACCATATAAACAATACAAACACACACACACACAAACACAATCACAAAATTAAAGCAAACAAAGAACAATTATTGAAAATCACATTGAAGAAGAATGAAATTATAATTATGGTTAACCATTAATTAGATTCTAAATTTGAATTTTCTAAAATCGCATCTATTTTACAAAACTGTCATTCCTCTGTACATGACATCAGAACAAACAAACAATAATTTCTCAAGAGGTAATTATAAAAAATAAAAGGATTATTATCCTTAATCATTATTCAAATATCAATTTGGTTCGCCGGAGAATTGCCTCACCGAACAAGCAACCACCTGAGCCCATTGCTTCAACCTCAGCTTCATCGTCTCCGGATCATCACCTTTTCAATTTCAATTCTCCACCGTCAGTTTTTTTTTTTTTTTTTACAATTCTTAGAAAACAGAGAGGAATCAGAAAATTATTCACATACCTTGATCGACGATCGTCGTGCTCGAATTGCTGTTTTCACCTTCCGATGCGATCGACGAAAGAGACGAAGTCCGTGACAATCTGCTACTATACTGTTTATTAACGGCACAGTATAAGCCAAGAGCTGGAAGAGTTTCCGAGAGTCTTGGATCTAAATCAGGCGAATCCGGCTCGAATCCGAATCCAAGCTCGATGCATCCCTTGAGCTCTTCTAGATCTTCGTCCGTCACACTTTTACTCCGACCAAGTCGGCCAGATGGTTTCTTCCCCTTCTTCCGAAGCCAAGCTTCTTCTCGATCGGCATCCGGTGACCACGAATGTTGTTTTACTAGCGGTCTAGGCGGTGGTTGCGACGGCGCTGCGTTGCGTTTCGACATTTTGAAAGTGGCTAGGTTTGTATTTGTTTGGGGTTAATCCCTCTCTCGTTCGTTCGATCGTGTTTTAATTTCATTACTAAAAAAAACATATATTTATCAAGCGCTAGGCGCTAAGCGGGCGGTGACCCAGTACCTAGCGCTAGGCGCTAAGCGGGCGGTGACCCAGTGCCTAGCGCCTAGAACGTCTAATCAGGGCTTATGCGATTTTTTAGGCGGTTTAGACGTTTATAACATAAAATATTATAAATATGATATTATATATAAAAGTTATATAAAATGTCTATATAAAACTAAAAATTATGAAATTATAAACAAAACTAGATAAAACATTTATTTATATTTATATTAGACAATATATAAATATGTATAACTATATATATAAATAAAACTCTAATTAAAATTGAAAAAATACATTAAACAAGATCTATGTAACTTTAGGCGGTCAAAACGGTTATCTAGGCGTCGCATGAGAGCCTAGCGCATAGTTGGAGCCTAGGCGACCGCCTAGACCGCTTTTTTATAACACTGATATTTATATACACATATATGATTTACTCCATGTCCGTAAATGTTAACTTCGAGAAGTGCCCTAAACTTTATACCATATTTTCAGATTTCTCCAACTTTTAGTTTGACTAAAATTGGTATCATGTATTTGATAAATGGAAAGATAATTAGCATAAATAGGAAGATTTCCTCTATATTTAAATTTGAATCAATTGTTTACCTTTTTACCAGCAACGAAGCAACACATTTAATTAGTTAGATTAGATGTCATCATGATGTTGTAGATAAATAGTAAAAGGGACTGATTACATTATATCACTAAATTCTGCAAACACCTATTTAAGTGCTTAAACAGAAGAAAGAAAAAGATGAGGACCAAATCAGAAACTTCACAAATTCTGTGTCTCGATTTATAAAAATAACATACTTACATCGTAAAATCAAATAGTGACATCGTTGACCGCGGCGGAAGAAGTAAAAAAATGGAAATTAACAGAGAAAAGCGACTCGGACAAAAGTATCCAATTTGAGTCAACCAGATCCGGTCCACAGCTGGTAATATTTTTAACAAACGTGGCAATTAAACTAACATAATTATAATGTTTTCTCATTCTCTATAATTATTGGGGGTTGTTGATGTTGTTGAAATTATACAAATTAAATAAAAACGATTGGAGTTGTCATGTTCATTTCTACTAAAATAATAAAGTCATCTTATTTTAAGAGGGAAATCGATCACATATATAAAATAAGTCATTCAGCTTTGAATTTGATGTGTGTTTACGTAATTATTACCTCCGACAAACTAATTAGAAGACTGATTACACTGTATTAAAACAAAACATTGAGGATTCAACGATTGAAACCGTTCACACGTCTCGTCCTTTGCGAGTGACTTTCTGCTAAAGTAAACCACAAGCTGTCCACATGACTACGACAGGCTGTGTCCATGGCGGAAATAAAGAAGCTTTCTTTGTTGTGACTTAACCTTCGTAAGCAAAGTTGGAATCTTTTTCCCACCCAAAGTCTTCCTAGACCAGAATAAACCGGTTCACAATTGATTGGAACGAACCGGTTTTTGAATACCGTCTCATTGGTTTTCTATGCCATCACCAGTAATCACCACAAGAGCAGACTCCATTCTTGAAATGATGAAACCGGTTTGAATCCCTCACAATGATCTCTCTCTCTGTGATTTTCGATATGAACTTGGTTACGCTATGGCAATCACCGCATACCCTTAGATTCTTAAATATCCGAATCGTTGTCTTTGCAGGAGTGGTGATAAGTGCAAATGCCATAGCCAATCTTTCACTATGACTCATGAGGATATGCTCTTTCTCGTCGTCTTCAACATCCTGTAACACAAATCTATGGTCCGGTACATACCCAACCATCTTCAGTTTCTCGTGTAATGCAGTTAATTCTCTGTACATCTCTTCATACATTGGATGCGTTTGGTTTCCCGTGTAAAAGACTTCCACTTTGTTGTCTACTTCCATTGAGCTCCAACCCGGTGTTTTCCTCAAACCCTTTCCACTGGTGATTGACCGTATTTCATCAACCCCTTCCCATTTTCCAGCACTAGCATACATGTTTGACAATAGAACGTGATACCCGACATGCTCGGGTTCAACCTCGAACAAATGTTCAGATGCGATCTTGCCAAGATCGACGTTTCCATGGACTCTACAAGCACTGAGAAGAGCTCCCCAAATGGATGCATCAGGCTGAAGCGGCATACTTTTTATAAAGTTCAAAGCGATTTCTAACTGACCAGCTCGACCATACAAATCTACCATACAACCGTAATGTTTCAAGCTTGGTGTTATGCCATAATCCGTTTGCATCATCTCAAAACACCATTCACCCTCGTCTACTAGCCCAGAATGGCTACAAGCCGATAACAGAGTCACAAATGTAATGTGATCTGGCTTCACTCCTTCATCCAGCATTTCTTTAAACAGCATCACTGCTTTCTCGCCATGCCCGTGAAACCCGTGACACGCTATCAGGGTGTTCCATGGCACCGAGTTGACTCTTGGGATTTGATAAAACAAAGAGAGTGCATCGTCTAGTCGTCCACACTTTCCATACATATCAGCAAGGCTGGTTCCAACAAAAACATCCAAATAAAGACCGTTCTTCAAGAGACGGCCATGGAGTTTCATACCTTGACGCAATGCTCCAGCCTGCGAACAAGCGGGCAAAACACTCACCCAAGTCCCTTGGTTAGCGCTAATCTCTCCACCTTCTTCCTCCATTATGTTATACATTTCAATTGCTTCACTAGCAAAGCCGTTTTGAGCATAACCAGATATTATGGTATTCCACGAAATCACATCTTTATTCGGTAGCCAATTAAACACTGCTCTTGCTGAATCTACAAGGCCTAGTTTTGCATACATAACAACAACAGCATTCCCAATGGTAATATCTTCCAAGAACCAGCCTTTCCTCAAAGTGAAACCCTGCACAGATCTACAAGCACGAATTTCCCCTAGCTGTGATAGTATAGAAGCCAAACTAATCAAAGTAAGGCAATCTGGTTGAATTCTACTCAAACGCATCTCCTGAAACAACAAAATCGCTCTAAGCGGTTGCTCATTCAGCTCGTAAGCCTTAATTATCGAATTCCAAGAAATCAAATCCCTCACATACATCCTGTCAAAAACCTTCTGGCAATCCTTAAGGCTACCAAATTCAGCATACAAATCAATCAGCTTGTTGGAAACAAACAATTCGGACTCCAGTCCATGTTTTATCGAGTATGAATGAATCGTAACTCCTCTATTGAAATCACCGGCTTCCGTGCAAGCCGAAAGGAGACTCACAACAGTAACTGAATCCATAGCTCTCAATCCATCAGACAGAGTTAACGCCTCTTTAGCATTTCCGCTTTGACAATACCCAGAAATCATCGCATTCCAAGAACCCATATCTCGAGTAGGCATTTCATCAAACAGTATACGTGCATTCACCACCGCTCCATACCGACAATACAAATGGATCAACGAGGCCGCAACATAGACATCCCACATAAATCCAAACTTCAAAGCCAAGCAATGAATCTTATTCCCATCAGTCACATTCCTACAAGCTTTCAAAACCGAAGGAAAAGTCCGGTAATCCGGTTGAAGTCCAGAACTCAACATGAATAGACTAAAACACCTAATAACTTCTGAAGAATATCCCGCACGGCCATAACCAGAAATCATCAAATTCCAAGCATAAACATCTCTGTTATGGATATGATCAAACGTATATCTAGCCAATGCGACGTTACCAAGATAACAATAGAGATTAACAAGTTTAGCAGAGATACAAACATTTTGGATTGCGTTGGAGACAACGAGACGTGCGTGAAGACATTTGGCTGATTGCAAATTAGTGCAGTATCTGAAAAGTGTGTGAACATCATCAATCTCTTTACTTTCATTCCCATTTTTCCAACAATCTTGCAAAGCATTTGCAGATGCTGAGAATTCTCTAACAACTGCTCCGACAGATTGCAAAACTCGTGTAAAGCGTCCACCTTTGCAGGTCGGAACTTGTCTGAACAGTGAAAAAGTTCCAAATTTCATCAAACTTTTGAGGGAAGAAGAGAAATATTCAGAGAAAATTTATACATTTATATATATACCTCAACATACATGCAATCAGGGGTTTTGAGAATTTCCGACGATTCCCACCTCGAGGTTTCAGGTTAAAGGGGAATACTCAGAAATAGCGATGAGAGACTACGAGATGGTAGAATCGGAGAGGCGATTTTGCGACGGTGATTTGAAGAGTCCGCCGGAGGCTTTTAGCGACGGTCGTCAGGTTTTATTCTTTGTTTGTTTGCACATTGGAATTTAATTGAACCCGGTTTACTTTTGTAAACCGTGTGGTCTAACCACTAAACTTTAAGACAGCTTAATAATATAGACAACTAAGAATAGAGCCCAATAAGGCCCAAAACATTCGGTAGCTTAGTTTAGCCCAAAATATAAAGCCGTTGACTAGACGGAGGATTTGTACTGACCAGTAGAGAATGGCTTGCAAGAAGAAACACATGATCCGATGTACACTTGAAGCGTATTTTTAATTAGCCAAAGTAATCTGACATACGTTGTCAAGCAGGGCCAATAATTGACAAGAAAACCTTTGATCCACATGATTTAGATTGCTTGTAAATAGGTGCACTTAAGACCTTCGTGCTCACATTATTCGGGCCATTCACTTCACATGCATTTACTATGAAAATAGTTCTTTTTTGATAACAGATTAAAGGAAATAAGGAATAATAGTTTATTAGACTTCACAATCTTGCTATGCCTCATTCCTCAAAGCTTTCTTCTAATCATAATTTCTTTGTTATTTTTTATTTGCATCGTCAGGACTTCTCCAATCAATAGACCTCTTTCTAAGAGTTCAACTACTCTGAACAACTATTCTTCTAGACACGAAATAAAGTATTGAAGATATATGGGCATCACATCTATTCTTTTTCTTTATCGTGGTTTAGGTTTCTGATCTAATTTTGTTATTGTTAGATCTATTTTGTAATTTTCTCTTACCATCGACTTAAGAAAGAGTAAAGTTTTTCAAACTTACCATATTGTCGCAACTTATGTATTAAACTTTTTTTGTTGTTAAAAAGGTTATATACTTATGGTAATTCAATATTAGAAAATATTTTATTGTATATTGTAAGAACTGAACGGGAATTCAATATAAACATCAATATCTTATTGGCAGTCCAAGACGATTTCTCTTCACATATTAGATTTGTACCATTTTTCATTTAGCGTTTTTCTTTGTATAATTATATTATGAGTTATCTTTTCTTTTACTAATATAATTATCACTTATTCATCGTTTCTTTGGGTTGTTCTTGTTTCCTGTGTTTTTGGATTCTTGAAAGAAGCTTATAATAATTTACATTTTGTTTCTTCACGACCTTGAAGAAGTAACTTCAATTAATTAAATCTATTTCGGGAAAGAGCACGTCTCCAAAGAGTCGTCGAGTCCCATGTGAATGATCTATATGATAGTATTAAACAAAATCACGGTTACATTTGTTTAGTAGAATGTATTGCAGAGTAGACTTTCCTAATCCAGTAGATTCTTAAAGAAAAAATAATACTATAAAAAGATTGAAAATAGAAATAAAAGATGGGAGACACGAAGGGTCACTTGTATTGTACCGAGTCCAAGATAAAGAAGAGTCAATGACAATAATGGTGAAGAAACATAATAAAAATAAAAAATAAAGAAGTTGAAGACAAGATCACAATCACATGTGAAGATCAACAACACAAAAGGATTTCATAATTTTATGTTTGTTGCTTCATTACAACTTTATTAAAATAGTTGAGAGGGCACTGAGTGCGCCACGTGGCAGATGACCATCCCTTTGTAGGTGCAGCAAAACGTGATAAAGATTCCGGACTGTTCACCCATTCCCAGCTCCATTTCTTTCCTATTTTTCTTCATACTTTTTTCCTTAAATCTTATCAATCATTATTTTTCTTTTCATTATCATTTCATTTTATAATATAACTTTTCTTAATGTAGTTTATAAACCTTACGGTGGATTTGTTTTAGTCAAGTGGTTAAGTCCACTTGACTCCGTCTTTTCCACCGAAATTTGATTCCAGTAAATCGAGTTACTCCGCGTAATAGAGATTGACTATTCCAAAGATATATAAAAAAAAAAACCCTATGGTCGATTTGCCAATGGAATGCGATCCACGAATGGAATAACTTAACGCTGCTTTTTCTTTTTCTTCAAATATCCATTTCCATTCGATCAAATAGCCAAATAGGTGGTTTTTTTTAATAAGAAAGTGTGTTTTTTTAGTATTTATTAGGTAACTAACTAAGTGTTAGTGAACACGATAGTAGATTGTTTTTAATAGGCGATCTGGCTATCCATGATATTAGTCGGAAAACATTCCAAACTCGGGACAGACAGTGTAGTGGCCTTTCGGGTAGAAGTCTACTCTGAAGCACTTCGGTGTGTTTCTACCAAGACTGACCGAATCAGCCGATAGAGTTTATCAAAAAAATTGTTTCTCAAATAAATTAGTATTCATGACTATACAGCTAAGTGCTAATGAATGATATATGAATACATAGTCAACTATTATGATATCAATTTGTCGATTGCACCGTTAAACTTTCTGTAAACTATAAAAAGAAGAAATTCACTCCAACAAATTATCATTTTGTATTAGTGTTTTCATCGTTCTATGCTCAATATAACTCTAATATAACTCTCTTGTTTGGTCTCCTAATTTAGCATAATATCTACCAAAACAAATTATCCGCTATTTATTCGTCAGCTTAAATATTTATTGGTTATCCTTAAGTATAAGCATATTTTAAGTATAAGAATATTTTTGCAAAATGTTCTAAGATGTAGTACTTGGTCTCGTAAATGACGACGCCGTTTAGGAAATCAAACGGCCAAAAATGGTTCCACTTAGCGAATTGCTATTGGTGGGAAACGCAAATGTATCGAAAATGATTTAAAGAAAAAGCAGCGTTTCTGATTGGACCACGTTGCCCAATCTCTACGGCTCACGCACGATCTGACGTCAAATTGGCTTAAAATTTATAATAACCTTATCGAGAATAAAATAATCGTCGCATCCAAACAAAAGAAACCACCTTTTATATCACGACGAGTGTCACGCCATGGGACACTTGTCCATCTCTCTCTCTCTGACCCCTTTCAGGTATTTTTTTCTTTCTCAAAGAGGAATTATCGATTTCCATTTCCAAAGGGAAAAAAAAAGAATTCGAAGGTCAGGAATTTTTTTTAAAAAAACATCTTTATTTTTGTTAGTTTGTGTGACTGAGCTGCTTAATTTTGTTTTGGTTTGATGAAATGATTTTTGTTGTCTATTGGTGATTGGTTTTCTTGTTCAGATTCATTGATTCGATGAGAATCATGATTTTTCCCGCCGAGTGTGATTGGAGATTTGTTTTTTGATTAAAGGAGATTCCTTTCCATTTTCACTATTATTTGCTCTGTTTTAGTACTTCATTGTGCATATATATATATATATATATATATCTCTTTCAGATCTTTTGTTGGGGTTCATGTTTCGGATTTAGCTTTGGAACTGATAAAAATCTGATTTTGGGTCTCTTTTGAGTTTTGGGTGCAACTGCTGTTTTCTAAATTTTGGTACTTTAAAAATGGATAAAGATCTCTGCTTTTTTAGTTTCTTCGTTTGTTTTTTCTTTTCTCTGATGAGTTCAACAATTTTACAGATGTATGATTAAACCATAACCTGTGCTTGTTTGTTTTCTTGAAGGTAAATAAATCCAGAAGCTTTGATTGTACGGAAGCTTGATTTGAGAAGAGAGTAGTAATGGGGTCTAGATTAAACTTCAAGAGCTTTGTTGATGGTGTGAGTGAGCAGCCAACTGTGGGGACTAGTCTTCCATTGACGAGACAGAACTCGGTGTTCTCGTTAACCTTTGATGAGTTTCAGAACTCATGGGGTGGTGGAATTGGCAAGGATTTTGGGTCTATGAACATGGATGAGCTCTTGAAGAACATTTGGACTGCTGAGGAAAGCCACTCAATGATGGGAAACAACACTAGTTTCAACAACATCAACAATGGTAATAGCGGAAACACTGTTATTAACGGCGGTGGTAACAACAATGGTGGGTTAGCTGTTGGTGTGGGCGGAGAAAGTGGTGGTTTTTTCACTGGTGGGAGTTTGCAGAGACAAGGGTCAATTACATTGCCTCGTACGATCAGTCAGAAGAGGGTTGATGATGTCTGGAAGGAGCTGATGGAGGAGGATGACACTGGAAACGGTGTTGGTAATGGTGGGACAAGCGGGATTCCACAGAGGCAACAAACGTTGGGAGAGATGACTTTGGAGGAGTTTTTGGTCAGGGCTGGTGTGGTTAGGGAAGAACCTCAACCGGTGGAGAGTGTAACTAACTTCCATGGCGGATTCTACGGATTTGGCAGTAATGGAGGTCTCGGGACAGCTATTAATGGGTTTGGTGCTAACCAGCCTCATGATTTGTCTGGAAATGGAGCAGTGATGAGACCGGATCTTCTGACAGCTCAAACTCAGCCACTACAGATGCAGCAGCCACAGACGGTGCAGCAACCGCAACAACTGATACAGAAGCAGGAGAGGCCTTTTCCCAAACAGACCACTATCGCGTTTTCCAACACTGTTGATGCGGTTAACCGTTCTCAACCTGCAACACAGGTGACTAAAGAACCTAAAGTACTACATTTTATATGAACTACAATCATCTGACAAAGATTAGATATAGTTTTCATGTTTTGAGATAAGCTGGTTTTCAATCTGCATGTATGTTTCAGTTATTTGACTATGGCTTGTTTTTGCATTTTTCGCAGTGCCAGGAAGTGAAGCCTTCAATACTCGGAATTCATAACCATCCTATGAACAACAATCTACTGCAAGCTGTCGAGTTTAAAACAGGGGTAACGGTTGCAGCAGTATCTCCTGGAAGCCAGATGTCACCTGATCTGACTCCAAAGAGTGCCCTGGATGCATCTTTGTCGCCTGTTCCTTACATGTTTGGGCGAGTGAGAAAAACAGGTGCAGTTCTGGAGAAAGTGATTGAGAGAAGGCAAAAAAGGATGATAAAGAATAGGGAATCAGCTGCAAGATCCCGCGCTCGCAAGCAAGTGAGTGTTCATTTAAATTTTGGAGACTGAAGTAACCTTAAAACCGTGGCAATGGTTATTTACCTTTCCACTGTGTTGCCTGACAGGCTTATACGATGGAACTGGAAGCAGAAATTGCGCAACTTAAAGAGTTAAATGAAGAATTGCAGAGGAAACAAGTGCGTCCCGTTTCTTCCCTATATCATTAAAGAATCTCGAGATTTTTCAAATGGGCTTCTTTTTTATATTCTTTGTGGTTGTGATCACTGACCAAATGTTTCATGCAGGTTGAAATCATGGAAAAGCAGAAAAACCAGGTACTGTCTTCACTTGAATATCCTTTATGGTTGCTGGCTAGGCTTTTTACTCTTACTCAATATGAATTACAGTTTTGGACAGTATTCTAAGCTTTTTAGTAGAACAGTGTAAGCTACACTATGAAGTGAGATATACCATCACATCTTTAATATCATTTGTTGTTGCAGCTTCTGGAGCCACTGCGCCAGCCATGGGGAATGGGATGCAAAAGGCAATGTTTGCGAAGGACATTGACAGGTCCCTGGTAGAGCCTATACTGGCGTCCAAGGAACTCAACAAAGAGCCGAAGTTATAGAACAACTCAGAAAATAGAAAGCTAGCTTGGTATGTAGTTTAGGCAGGTGTTTCTGTGGGTGATTGTAAATCGTGAAGTGTGGCGGATTTGACAGAGATAGATAAACACTCATCTGTTCTATTTTCCTGAAGCATCTTTTGGTTTTATCGTCCTGATGTAATGGATCTTGATCATTTGTCTTGAACATCTTTGTGACTTAACCAGAGTGGATTTATCTTTGTATTTTGTCTGCATTTCTCTCTCTAGAGTCTAATTTGGCACCACGTCAACAACTTTATAAACTTGTATAAGAGAGTGAAAAGAAGAACTGAAACATCAAGTTTAGCATCAACATCTGGTATATCCTACTGGGCGAACAAAATTAGATACACAACTAAATTGGCAAAACTCTTGTAGATATCATCCAGCTTCAGGATAAGGTGCCTCAAAGTTGAACAGATGATACTGGTGACAAGTCTCTGGAGTTGAGATACCATTGGAACGCAAGATTTCGGTTTAAGATCAGAAATGAGACATCTTCTAACTGTGTTTCTTGAACAAGATGCTTTCAAACGGTGTTTAATGCCTTGGATACTCATGCACAAGCCCTTCTGAAACACTCCTTGCTCTAGCATGTCCAAACAGCTTGCTAACAATAGCCAGGGAAAATTTGGTAACAGTTGCGAGCCCCAAACTTGTAATCACGTTTCCATCTATAACAACTTCTGCTCCTTCGATCATTTGTTGATTCATAGGCCCGTCTGTCTCTGAAGGATACACAGTCGTTCTCTTCTCCTGAAATAGGATTCAAACCGTGTATGGCGTTTGCGGTTTGTCCATGTCTACGACAAAGAAAAGAACAATAATTATCTTAACCTTACCTTGAGTAAACCATGTTTATGTAGGACGGTAGATGAAGAGTTGGCAGCTCCATATATTCGCCCAGATTTATGTTGTTCCCTGAGCAGTTTCTTCAGAATTTTGGACTTCTGCAGACGTTCTGAGCCAGTATGGCCTCCCTAGGGAATTTCCATCAAAGAAAAGAAATCAAATTTCTCACCATGCAACAACCAAAAGTTGTAGTTTGTCTAAAAGCTTCTCCTAAGCACATTGATTTGACATGCCATATGAGTTATATTGGAACATGTATATAGCAAGATTTATCTAAAAAAGTTGTGAACTAGCCAAATGGTATGAAATTATTAATGAGAGGCACGCAGGCTTTTGCTTGAAGTCTTACCGGAAGAACGATTAGATCATATGATGACTCAGCAGCTTCACCAATCAATTTGTCGGTGATAATTTTGGTGCCTTGAGATGCCGTAATCCGCAAAGATCGTTCAACTGATGCAACAGTGACATCTACTTTGGCTCTTCTAAGAACATCTGCAATTGTGACCACTTCAACCTCTTCAGACCCGTTGGCTACCGAGATAAGAACCTGGATTTATTTGCATTATTAAAACTAGTTCCGCATCAAATAAAAACATATTGTTTAAAGGAAGAGGGAATGGATAAAATTGCAGATGATCCAACTTTCTCAGCTTTCAAAATAAAATGAGATGTTCTTAGAATCAGCCAACTTTTTCAGCCTTCAAAATTAAATGAGTGTGAAAGAAGAAGGAATGGATAAAAGAAAATTAGCACCCCATAGGTATAGAAGATAAAATTAAAACCAAATCAGTTCTCATCATCTATCAAGAGATTACATGGAAATGCATTGGTCTTAGCTTCATGCGACTTACACGAGGTGTGTGGTCTAAAGACCAGTCAATGCTACTGAACTCTTTGTTCTTAGGATTCTGGTAACCATCACGCAGAAGCTGGAGAAATGATTGAAAAAGAAGACTGTGAAAAGATTGTTATATACCGAGATGGATAAAGAAAAGAATGATCCAGAAAAGTATAAGTGAATAGGATAAAGACCAGAAACTCTTCGACTGACTTGGCTGTGGTTTCTCCGAACAGCTGTTCCGCCAAGGAAAGAGCAAACTGAAAAGAAGTGCCGGGTCCACGGCTAGTTGTAAGCTCCCCTGAAATCTGAATGTTTGTCTTAACAGCCCAGAATGTAGGAAGCTTCCCGAAAAAAGCAGGATGTCCCGTTGTCTTGCACGATGAACTACACCAAGTTTAGAAATCAAAACATGAAGACAAAAGATTAGTTACTAGCTGACATACAGTCGAAGCCTTTCGATTTATACCCTCTTTCTTGTCAAAAGTCCCCATGGAAGAAGAGTAATAGCTGGAGCCATGGATATAGCCCCGTATAACCGCTTATCTTCAGCTTGTCTCTTCATGATCTTCTCAAGAATTTTACAGTCTCTTAACCTAACAGCACCAGGCATGCCTCCCTTTACAATTTGTATTTTCAGATCATGAAAACGATTCAGAACACATTAGAGATCAATGAAACAGATATGAATCAGCACATTTCGAGATTACCGGCAAAGCCACTAGATCATAAACTTGGTCAGCGCATTTCGAGATAAGAACATCAGCAACCAATCTGGTCCCTGAGGATGCTTCAATGTCTAGTTTCTGCTCTACAGAAGCAACAGTGACCTCTGCCCCAGCTCGCCGTAAAACATCAACTAACACAACAGCTTCTATTTCCTCCGTACCATATCCAATTGGAACAAGCACCTACATAGTTTCTCAGTCATCTCCAATCTCAATCTCTCTACACAAACAAGCTGGAGACTTTAGAGTTATAAGTAACAAGAGAAAAAGAGAAACCTTTCTAGTAGTTGCAGAAGACACGACGCCAACATCGGAACCTGACGTTGTTACCATACTTGGTGACATGGAAGATCTGAGCCTTAAATTTCGGCCCCTCCTTCTTGTCCCTGGTGAAGAAGAAACCACAGAGACTGAAGACAAACTAGGAGCAACAATCGTCGAGACACAACCAATAGAAGAGATAAGACTCGACTCCATCAAAGTTGGACTCAACGAAGCTATCATTGAAATCGAAAAACCTAAGGACCCCATTGCCGATTGCTAATGCAGCAGCCTGAAAATCCCGCCGCTAGACGGAGAGTTAGAGTGTCTTATCTACTCTACACTTCTCGAAGAAGGCTAAAAACGTCGTCGTATCATTGGATAAAGATTCATTTTTTTCCCCGAAAATGTAACAAAAACTGTGCTTTTCACTGTGAGAATGTCACACACGACTCTCACCTAAAGAAATGAAACGAAAATGATTTATAAAAATAGTATATTTGTTTCCTTGAGCTTATCTCCTCGTTTCTTTTTGGTTTGGGTTGGATATGAATTACAGACAATCAAGTAGTCAGAACAGAGTGTGTATAAGTGAAATCATTTTTGAGAGAGAGTGAGAAGAAAACGAAAATGTTGAGAATTTTAAGGATAAGAGTAGTTTCAGTTTCTGAAGAGCTTACTAGTATTCAACAATGGCGGATCCGACCAGGAACCGATTCTCGGCCCGATCCTTTTCGATTTTTCCGGGGACTACAGAAGGGTTTCTGCGTGGGCGTTCTACCTGACGGAGTCGATAGAAATTCGGAGGCTTTTTCTAGTAACTCGATCGCCATGGAAGGGATCTTATCGGAGCTTCGTTCCCACATCAAAAAGGTAAAACCATCTCATTTATCGATTCGTTTCTTAATTGTTTGCAGGTGATTGATATAAGTGTTTCTCGGTGGAGTTTTCTAGGTGTTGGCCGGCGGTGGAGAGGAAGCGGTGAAGAGGAACAGAAGCAGAAACAAGCTTTTGCCTAGAGAAAGGATTGATCGGCTTCTTGATCCTGGTTCTTCCTTTTTGGAGCTCTCTCAGGTTTTGTTTTCTTCATTCCAATTTTGTTTCATCAATTTACATTTGCAATCTAGAGTTTATTGTTGATTAGTACTGCATTAGTGAATATCATGAAAGGAGAGTGTTGTTGCAATCTAAGTTTGATTCCTCTGCTTGTATTGATTGCTTTGGCGCTGCACCATTGCTAGAAACAGATTTAGCATTTGTGTTTGTACGCTCTATATGGCCCATGATTGTAGAATTGGCATTGATCTAAAACTTGTTTGATTTCTCTGCTTACCGGATATGAATATGTTTGAAGCTTGCAGGACATGAATTGTATGAGGAGCCTTTACCTTCAGGTGGGATAATCACAGGGATTGGACCAATTCATGGCCGTCTTTGTATGTTTATGGCAAATGATCCTACTGTCAAAGGAGGGACTTATTATCCCATTACTATCAAGAAACATCTCAGGGCACAAGAGATTGCTGCTCGGTGTAGACTCCCTTGCATATATCTTGTTGATAGTGGTGGTGCTTACCTTCCAAAACAGGCCGAGGTTTTCCCTGACAAGGAGAATTTCGGTAGGGTTTTCTACAACGAATCGGTTATGTCATCTGATGGAATTCCACAAATCGCCATTGTTTTAGGCTCCTGCACTGCTGGTGGTGCCTATATTCCTGCCATGGCTGATGAAAGTGTAATGGTCAAAGGGAATGGTACCATATTTTTGGCAGGACCTCCACTTGTCAAGGTCAATTCCCACGTTACTTTCTCTCTCCCGTTCTTGTCTTAATTAGTTTCTTGAGAATGTAAAGCTAAATGAAAAAGCTTTTGAACAGGCTGCTACAGGAGAAGAAGTTTCAGCTGAGGATTTAGGAGGCGCCACGGTTCACTGTACTGTGTCCGGTGTGTCAGATTATTTCGCTCAAGGTATATTCATCTCTTTTCTGCAATTTATATGAATACAACAATCATGTTTTAGAGTTTAGACCTTAAGAAGCTGCTCTAATATTGCAGACGAGCTACATGGACTCGCTATTGGAAGAAACATTGTCAAGAATTTGCACATGGCTGCAAAACAGGGGATGGAAGGAACATTTGGAAGCAAAAATCTTGTATACAAGGAACCGCTCTATGACATAAACGAGCTTCGCTCCATTGCTCCAGTAGATCACAAGCAGCAATTTGATGTGCGGTCTATTATTGCTCGGATTGTTGATGGAAGTGAATTTGACGAGTTCAAGAAACAATACGGCACTGTGAGATAATGTTATACGCCTTATATTTTTATCCAAATTCTAACTTTTTTACGTTTCTTATGTGGAACTTCTTTTTGGCAGACGCTTGTGACTGGTTTTGCTAGGATTTATGGTCAGACGGTAGGAATTATCGGGAACAATGGCATACTGTTCAATGAATCTGCACTAAAAGGAGCTCACTTCATCGAATTATGTTCCCAACGAAAAATTCCTCTTGTTTTCCTCCAA